ATTTGAAAACAATTAAATAATTTCATTTGCGGATGTTGACCTCGAGTAGTAATAATTTTTATTTTGCTTTGAATTTTAAATATTTCAACACTAGAATGTATTTTCGTAAGAATGAAGAACTACGTTGAATTGATTGAATAATACTTATAATAAATAATTAATGCAAAAAATTAATTGAGTAACAAGCAAATCCCGCTGGAATGGCTTCACAGATATTTAAATATTCGCAATTGATAGCAACATTAGGTGACATATAAGGGCAGTACTCACATGTGTCAGCACTAAACCATTAGCGTGGTTTTTTTTCCATTCTAATTTTCAGAAAGTCGAGGGGTCCGTTCATGCCTCACTATTCATATTATATCAGTTAGCGGAACCGTTATTATTTTATTGCGGGCCACCGGAACACGTTTCCATTTGCTCTGAATACTATTTATTACACAATTTGTATATTTGAATTGTTTCATTTTGAGAAGGATAGTGTCCATTTTTTGAAACTTCCAAATAATGCCAATATGCATATAAATGACTTGTTTGAAACAATCAATAGAATAATTAATGAAAAAACCCATCATACCAAAATTTTGGATATTAATGAATTAACCCTTGATTGCCAAGTATACTTTTTTGCGCTATTCAAAAATCACACCGGAAATTTATAAGGCGCTCATAGAAAACGTGAAATCATCAGATAACTAATACCGTGATTAAAGTATACTTTTTAAATTGAATCGTTTTCTTTGTCAAATAAAATTTTTTGCGGTCTTCCATCTTCCAAATTTAATTTCGTAATTTTCGATGACGAAACAACCAAATCACTTTATTGAAAGCCCTTTACAACACATTTTATGCTTATGGATTGTGTGAAAAATGTATTTGTTCATATTACTCATCTGATGATGGTCTATAATGAAAATATATCATCATGATTAAGTTAAGTTGTCTGATTCATAGTGAATTTGTAACAAACCGAGAAGTGATTAATTAACTAAGAACATGAAATGGATTTATCATTGTTGTACAAAAAAATTTAACGAATATGGTGATGAAGACAGATCCGCAGCTTCATTGCAATCAGATTTTGTGTCATCTATAATTAGAATTTTAGATTTAAAGAAAGTAATTGACTTATCGGATTGCTAAACTCTCAATTGATTATCAACACAGAATTAAATCAAATTGAATGAATCTGCTCGGGGGTTTTTAAATTCAAATAAATATCACATACTGAATAGTGAACCAAATTGACATAAATTGTAAATTTTTGATTTTCTTCTATTGCAGCAGTACTTTATCCTAGAAGGAGAATTTTTGAACAACCACAATATCAACTATCAAGTGATTTTCATCAAGCAAAGCGAAATATTTAGAGTACGATGATAGTAAATCAAAATAATTGAAGTGATATAACTAATGTATTCCAGTCGTTATTTGAATAGAATATATGGAGGAAAAAAAATATAGAAACGCTTCGTAACACTATCCACCGCCAATTTGACACAAAATTCTTTTAACTGTCAATCGTGTAACCAATCAATGAAAATATACTGGAGTAAGAAGCTATATATTAAAGAAGACCTTAAATGCTGTAACCGATCGATCCTATTTTATTAAGATAAAAATATAAGAAAAGAACGAACGGGCAAAGAATGGCGGCCTCTCTTATACCGAAGTGGATTGGATCACCAAGCATCCCAAGGGCACACCTGTGAGAACTAGCGAGAAAGCCATTGTGGACCTCCGAGAACTAGACAAAACCCCGCTTTCCCGCCAGTATCCGGACCACAAATAATCCCGTGAATGTCGTCGACGATTTTAAAAATTGTTGTTGCAGATCAAAGAGACACCATGTTGTAACCAAATGATGATGATTTATTAAAACAAAAAATATATAGAAAACAAAACGGCAGAAGAGATCGCGAGCCCTTTTTATACAGAGCCGGTTTAAATCACAGAGCCACACAAAGCTGACCGGATACAGACACCAAGAAACTAAAATACGACATCTCAGTAACTCACAACAACCTCTTTTTGTTGTAGGGAATCCATGATAATACATGAAAATTAAGAACTATATTAAAACCCAAATCATAGAAGAAACTGGCAGCTCCTGTCATAAAAATTTAGGCTAAATCACAGAGCGACACAAAACCAGAAGAATGACAATAACCAAGATACTAAATGAACACATCCTGCACGGTCACAACTAGTGCCATCCAAACAAAAGCATCATTGCGTGAAGAAAATGGATGGTTATAAACTTAGGCTAGTGCGTTGCAATAGCAGTTGTAAGGAATCAATGAGAATAGATTAGGGTCCCAAAGTATATGCGAAAAAGAATCGAAGAAAATCGCCAGCCCCTTATTTAAAAACTGAAATAGATAAGAAAGCTTCGCGGAACCAGACCGGTGACCGACACCTAGGGACAAACTGTGGACTTCTGGGAAACACTCAAAAGCACTCCTTGACCCAGAAACCGAACTTCTGACGATCAGGTCAATGTGATCCATCATTTTGGAGATCCAGCAAACAACCGTTTGGCTTGGCCGAGCGGTTTCGAGGTGTAAGTTCAAAACATGTACTCCAGAGATCTGCTCACAGGTGCAATCGATAGGGTTCGCATCCCAACCACGGCCATCTAAATGGAATCATCTTGGGGCAAAGTAAAAAGGTGTTTTGAGATACTGGCTTGTGCCTTGTACCGCAAATGCTCTTCCAACGAATTAAGCAAACTCACCCGACACGGTGATTTGTTATGCGCGTCAAGCCCGATACGAGGCCAGTTCGTTAGTTTGCTTCCGCGGAAACACCCATTTTTTCGAACCACTGTTCAGGCAACAATCACGGACTTTTACACAAAATAAAACTCTGCACAAAAGTATAAAGAAAAAAAATCAAAGAAAAAAAAATCAAACCCACAACCAAGCATCTTACAATTCCAACAGGAAAATTTTGTAATATAATCACCCCTGTAGAACAATAAAATTGTAACCGTTGAAGAGATAATAAAACTAGTGACTGTGAACCAAGTGAATATCATCACTGCAGCGTAGCCGACAAAAATGAAACACACAAAAATAATTAGATTAAACCTAAAGGACATCGACATCAAAAAACCAAAGCTAACCACAAAATAATCAATGAATGAGTTTGTGGGATATTTGCACACTGGAGCGCTTAGGGTTTTTGCCAAGATATCAGAATAATTACTACTACTATCAACTCTTCAAGACTAAAAGCATTGTGGCACAACCCCCATATTAAATAATACCTGAATCAAAAAAGGTTGGAGATTCGGTAATAGGCGGGATAGCAAGCGAACTTGATAGCAGAATTGTCATCGCAATAAATAATTAATTTAACAAATATTGAACCAAAATATATGAATGCCTAAATCGGCAACACAGCTTCTTCGACTGCTTCAGTAAGTTAAAAGTGTTCAGCTTCACAGGCCAGCAAGGCCAATGAGCCCTGCTTCGTGGAGGTCCACGTAACTGGCCTTCGAAAAATGAGGAACTTAAAACCACCAACTGATACTGTATCGCCTATGTCCCCAGCCCAATCACAGTCTAATATCCAGCCAAATTCACTGACTAAGCAGCGATGTAATAAACAGTAAATTGGTTTCAATTTACAAAGCTAACATTGCTTTGGATAACCTCAACGCGTCATGCGTGGCTCACCTAGAGATCGACTGGAGAACATAACAGCAAAACCAATAACATTTTGTAGACAATTTGCGGCTGAAATCATTGATCTGACAGTTGATTTTCAATATGGAAAATTTTTAGGATCTAACTAAATGTCATCTGATTTATGTCGCACCTGCAATGGGTTAATCATCATTGGTGTAACCTGCCAATGAGAGTGAACCATTTTGAACTATTAAAACATTATTGCGACGTAGTTCCCCATAGATACCAAAATACCGTCGTTATTTTCAGGAACGTCAAGTCCAAAAAAAAAATCCAAAATAATTCTAACGGCACTCACTTTGAACAACGATTTGAGATATGATTCTCTAGGCTTAAGCTTTGAAGGTAATGATCCGGCAATAACAACATCATTCAAATATTATGCAAGCGTGAGCTGCTCATTGTTTATGAGAGATGAAGCACAACATGCACAGCTGATGCTCTTTGGAACCCAGTCAATTGGACAGCATTCTGCATTTTCTTGTCCCAACAAAGAGATCATTGATTGATTCCATAAATTGATTTGGGCAACTTCCAAACTTATAGAAAATGCTCAGCATTAACACATCCAAGAGTTTGGTTAATGTAAATTTCAGCGTCCATATCTCTATGCAGGCTTGCTGTTGCCACATTCATTCAATGATCCTTCAAACACTTTGATGCTGCAACAGCAAGGATGACTCAAACACAATCATATCTAATTGCTGCACAAAATGTAACGGTACACCCAATACTATCAAGCAGAGAAATTCTTTGAGAAACAAATCTGGCTTCAAGATAATCACCAGTTGGTGGAATCTTCATTTTATGGAGCCAACGACATCCAACAGGTTTTTCACCAGCTGGACAAAAAACCAACCGCAAATTATTAGCTTTAAGCATTGCTTGAAGCACTAGTTGACAGGCAACCTTCCATGATCGGTCCGCAGGATTTGGTTTAACAGTGGGAGCGGCAATCAATAAAGGAGACAAATATGTCAAAGAAAACCTGTTTTTCATGGTATCTTTCGAATTGATTGCAAACCGTTTAGCACGTTTTCAGTTTGATCAAGATCGTCTTGAGGAACGTTTTTTGTTCCACGAAGTTGGTCCCTGCCAGATCCAGCACTGGGGTCTGCATCTGTATCTTAATCATTATTATCAGTTGATGGAACAGATTCTTTTGAATCGAACTCATCTTCGTGGACACTATTTTCTTCTCCATCGTCTATGCTGAAGTAAATATCTTTATCATTATTTTTGTCGTTACATATCGATATATCGCGTAACTCAAATGCAGTTGAGTAATCAATGTCGTTGATAGCAGTGGAAACATTATCCCCCGTAACACGAGCCGCAGTAGGTCCGACTCCAATCGCTGATTGAATTTTTGGATTAATGGCTGCAAATGATGCTTCTTTGAAAGTAAAATCGGTTCTATCAAAGCGACGAAAACAACTGACAACAACAGAGCAATGAAATTGATTGGAAACTCTGTAGGCCTTTGTACTCATGTCGTAACCAACAAAAGGACGGAGGACACCTGTATCACATATGTTGGTTGATTTGATTTGTTTAAGGATCGTGGCGTAAGCAGCAGATCCAACCACCCCAAACCGATCAGCAGTAGATATTTGTCCTTAAAATAATTACGAAATAGACTTCCACCGATTCCATTGTTTGGTAGGACTCATACACATCAAACACACCGCACACATCGCAGCTGCATTGCACAGCCAATCAAAAACGTATAATTCAATTGATATTGTCCACACTTTTGTCACCATTGTTTTTTGCCAACGTTGAACGCCCCATTCTAATAACACCCATAAGAAACTGACTTTTTACTTTTGGTTCCTTCGGATTGACAAGCATTTTTGGACAGCTTAGATGCAAACACGTTATCGGAGCTGACTGTATGACCATTTAAATCCAATAGTAGATAAAAAAATTAATTATAAAATACAAAGCTGCAGCAGCTAATGGTAATGTAGCAGCTGAATCCACAACCATATCTCTTGAGAATTCATCAACAGTAGTCAAGAAATAACGAGTTTCTGGATCAGCAACTATTCCCATTGGCCCTACAGAATCAACATGATGAATACGAAGTGCCGTGGTGAACTGATTTGCAAATGACTTACTAATTAATTTGATAGGTTTACATTTGAGACAAAACTGACATTTTGAACTACCAGTAGCAGAAATGCCTTAGACCCTCGTTATATCCCTTGCAACAGCCTCATTTGCGTGATATATCCCTTCTTGCGAATTTGTAGTAATTAACTCGACAGAGGATGGGGCTACGAAGCATCTCATTAATTCTGAAACTGCTTTTTTACTAGCTAATGCACCGACCATATTAACACAATTGTCATTCACTGAAAAACCACGCCATATAACTTGTACCTGCGGATATTACATTTACATTTTCACTATGGGGAGCATAACAAGCACTGTTTAATAATCCACCTTTCCGATTCATCACAACACTAATTCCTTTGACATCAACGATAGTATCACCAATACCAATAATAAGACGAAGATTAAGAATTAAGTCGATGAACCACTCATCGTTAGCATAAATATGATGAGAAGTAACAGAGTCAAAATAGATCCTTTTGCAGATTCACGCCCTGTTGCTATTTTAGTTTCAACGAACGAGCAAACAGCGACTAATCAATTTTGTGAACAAGCAGAACAGCAGCAGCAGTAGAAGCATCGGCTGGAAATGATGACTTTCGAGAAACTAGCCGTGGTGCCAAACAGTTACCAACGAATTGTCATTTCTTGCTACAACGATAGAATGTGATATTTTATTGTCTTGGCCTCTTGAATGGTTTTTCACCAGCAGAAACGAGTGTTGTTGAACCTGAGCTACCAGCCAATTGTTCATTTCCAAGATGATTGGCCAAAGGTTTTGCAGTAGCAAATGCAATTATAAAATCATCAGTGACTTGATCAGCTACTTCTCACTGTAGGAGGTGTCCAACAGTGAAGCATCATCAACTCAGACAGCAAAGCAATCAGCATTTAGACATTAACAATACTGCAATAGCATTCGTTAAGCAATTTATTGTAATCCCTCAATTGGATAATGTATTGTGCCACTGACCAGAAGTAAGTGAGTTAGTCATAATGATACAGTTTCAACACAAACAGTCACAAAAATCTTCACCAACTTAGCCAATACTTGGCAGCCATACCGCTATTATACAGTACCTATTGTAATGCAGCGGAATCTTATCCGCAGCAACCGGCGTTTAGGTAATGAAATGAACAGCAATATAAACTTTGTCCAAATCAACATCATCAGCAAAAATAACATTCCTTTCATGAAAACTTAGACCAACCTACCAAGCTGAGCAGCTTTGAAATTAAACAGGATTTTCAAATAGTTAAGTGAGCTGCATCCGTTAGATTCATTGATGCTTGCAGCGAACATTTCAAATTTGCCTGATAGCCGGCTGTAGCGAATCCATGATAATATATTACGATAATATAGTATATAAGAAGAACGAACGTAGAGGAGATCGTCTGTTCCTTCAATAGGAAACTAGGTAGCACCACAGTGCGTCACGCCAACTAATCGGTGACAGACACGGACGGTCCGAATGTAGACATCCAAAGGGTCACATCAGGGTCGTGCCCGGGAAGCGCTTCTCAACCATTAAAGAATGAGGAATTGGAAGGTGCTTTGCTCTGTGCGTCAAGAAGGTTACCCGCCAGTTACATAATTTGTTGGTTTCCAAGATGCTATTTTTTTATACGACTGTTCAGGCTACAATCATGGCACCGATATAAGTGAACTGCTACACAACAATAAAGATATTCAAAAATCAAAAGTTAACTGAATGAAATTCAAAAGCCAAATAATTTTTAATATTAACACAAACATGTTGTAGAGAAAAAACCAATCATTTGTCCAACCATATTGTAACTCTTGTGGAGGTAATATTACTACCGTCGGCCAAACAAATGTTTAACAATACCGCAGCATAACAAACAACAAATCAAACAAACAATAATATTCCAATGACACCAAAAACGACGTAAACAACAGAAGCAAAGCTAACAACAATAAAATCACTGAAGCAACTTTATGAAAGATTTTCAGCCGGACCGCTTCCTGCGTTAGTCATCATATCACCAACATGTCTCTCATAATCAACTCATGCAAAAACAGAGTAAACATTGCACATGTCTGACAAAAAGTGACACTTGATTGAAAAAATCTTGGAGTTTCTCTGATTTGTGCGATGGTTAGCCATGTTGCTATGGGAATTGTTATCACCAAAAATAACTGATTCTTCATCATTTGTACCAATATATTTGAGAACCGGCATTTGGAACACAGCATTTCTGACTGGTTCAATGAGTGAAATATATTCAGCTTCCCAAGTGAGCAATGCCACTGAAGGCGGCTTTTTGAAGTTCCAAAAATATGGCTTTATATTATTGAGGGGCGTATAACAACCAGCCAATTCTCGTTCACCAACGTATCCGGCCTACCACGGTCAACGTATCCAACTAGCTCAACTGATGATGCAGCACCATAATAAACCATTAATATGTTTGCGTTAAAATACTTCAACACCCAATTAGCACAACTTCAAAAAATCATGCATGGTCTACGATGATATCGACTGAAGAGCATGGCAGCAGACGCAATATCATACCTAAAGCCATTTGGAGCAAAAATCAACTATCTAACAAATGATTTGTGAATTGATGATTCTTCAGCATTTAACTGAAACCCATTTGTGTAAAGAAGCACCATGTATGGCTTGACATCATTTATTTTGCCTAATAATATGACTCATCCATTTTTTGGCTATGAATCATCATTCAGACAGAGATTTCTAAAAATACCAAAATATTCCCGTCGCATTAAGCAACATCAAGTCCATCAAATCCATCAACAGCTTCTTCAAGGTTTTTAATTTTAAATAATTAATAAAAATAGGATTTGAGCTGCTAAACTATTACTTTGAATGAGCAGCCAATAATCAGATCAACCACCGATAGTTAAAGCATGCAGCGGAAGTTGTTGTTTAAAAAATGAAGGACAGCACGATCAGCTGAATGTCTTTCAAACCCAAGTGATTCGAGAGCATTAACAATCATTTTGTACCAGCGAACAAAGCATTTGTTGAGTTCAAAGATTGAATTTTAAAACCACCAACCTTTCAGAAAATTCTTAGCATTAGCAACTTCAAAAGTTTATTTTATCTAAGTTTGCGCGTCGATATCACCATGCAGAATTGCAGTTGCCAATTTCAGTTGATAAACTTAGAATGACTGTTGCTGCAACTGCCAGAAGAACTTTAACACTTTCAAACCTAGTTGCTGCTCCAAATGCATTGGAATCGTCAATTCCGTCAAGGGGAGAAAATTGTTGAGCAACAGGTTCGGCTTTATTAGGCTCACCAGTTGATGCAGACTAAATTTAATACCCCCAACAACGGCCAACAAATAAGTATTCTTTATTAGAATTGCCAGAATTTTCGATTGCCAAGCAACTAAGATGATTGGATACGCAGGATTTGACTCAACAGAAGTAGGAGCAATACGGGCAGCCGCTATATATGTCAATGAAGTCCGGTTTTGAACGCCATTTTTGATTCAGCTGTGATTCATTAAAATACATTTTCAATGTCATTAAGATACTTGAGGCATATTCCTTTGGTTGCAGCAACTGGAGCTTTATCAGATTCAGCACCGGCTTTAGCATTAACAAGTTGGCTTTTATCACATTTAGCGATAGAGTGGGCATCAGCAGCTTGATCATTATTATTATTGGATGCAGGATATTCCATCGAATGCAGTTCATCGTCATTGACACTATCCTTTTTATCATCATCTGAGCTGATGTTGGTATGTTGAATATCTTTATCGCAGTCATTACTTCAGGTATCAAATTGAGCAATTGCGGTTCTGTGATGAATGTCAATGGCAGCAGCAGAATCATTTCCCTATCACATTAGCAGGAATTGGTGTCACTCCAACGGCAGATTCAATTGTTGGTAAAATGGCTGCGAATGATGAAGCCTCAAACCAAAATTTTGTTTTCTTTTACGGGACAAATTATAATTAGAGCAACTCAGCCGTGAATTAGAGTGTACGCTCGGCAGCCCTTCCTACTTCTGTCTTAGCCATCAATGTCACTGAAAACTTTTGTATCACTTAATTAGCATTTTTGAACTGTTTGAGAGTCATGGCATAAGAACCAAAACCAAGCACCTTCAACGCAGCAGGAGTTGGTTTTCTTTCATAAAATAATTCAAACGGTGCATTCATTCGAGTGCTTTGCTTGATGAAATCGAATTAATCAAAATCACTGCTAACATCACAGCTTCAATCAACCGATAATGAAAATCGTTAGCTTTTGTTAACCGTGTCTCCGATTTTGTCACAATTGCTTTTGCTAAACATCAGCTAATCCATCTTGGAGAGATTCATAAGTAGCAGACATATCTTGTTTGAATGATTCAAATTCTCAAAAGTCGTTCAACAGCTTCGATGCAATTGCCTAATCAGATCTGACCGTATGAACCGATCTATCCGATAAGACTTGACTGATTTAAATATAATATAGGATCTTGTGAGCAGCTAATGATCGTGTAAGAAATGGAGCAACAACCACTTACCTCCAGCAATCATCAAAAATATTAAAAAACTAAACACTCTGATCAACGGCAACAAGTGGCATCGGCACACTATATCAACATGAAACGACCAAGAGCAGCGGTGCGGTCGTGTCGACCACTTCTTAATAATATTGGTCTGTTGTGTTTTGTGGGAAAACTCTCTTTTGCAAACAGCAGCAGCAGAAATAAAATAAAGTTTTGGGCAAAACTGTTGAACCTGTCCCATTTAGAAGACCTTAACGTTGTAGCAGTTTATAGTAATTATCGCAATATCAGATGGGGTAAGGAGACGTTCATTTAATCCTGAAGATGTGGTTTTGCCAGCTATTGCACCATTCAAATAAACGCAATCATTTTTGAATGAGAACCACCGCACCTAATCTGTAGCAAAAGAGATCCAACTTATGTTTTCATTAAAGTGGGCATGAAGAGCATTTTCTAACAATTCACCGTTGAGATTCAACAGAATATCAATGCCATTGATATGACCAATAGTGTCAGCAATACCAGCAATTTGACCTGAAAACCTACTTAATTAGCTTAGCTAATATACGTTAGCAAAAATTTGTTGAGCAGCACCAGAATAAAAATTAATCAATTTGGAATGTAACATGAGGATGCTACTTATTTTCAAGAGGCAAGGAAACGGCGTCTGATCAACGATGGAGGCATCCCCAGAGCCTGAGCAGCAGAAACATCAGCTGCAATTGATGATCCAGCACGACATGGTCGCGCTGCAAAGTTCCAAGAGACAAAATTTCCAATTTTGGGATCACCGGTAAATTGAGTAAGAAACTTTCAGCGTAAGCGGTGTCCAAAACAGAAGCAGCAAAAAGATTGGAAGCAACTTGGTCGCTATTCTAGAGCTTGTAAATATTGCAAGCAATTTCATTAAAGAAATTGTTGAGATCTGTTTTAATGGATAATGGATCTCCCAAAATACCCGAAGTGCCTGACCTGGTCATAATCATTGCATCCTCAACACCGATCGTTCCATCGAGCTACTCCAGGTCACCTATTACCGGACAGCAATCCCACCTATTCTATACCCGATCTTCCAAAGCAGTGGGATCCAGTCGGCCTGTAACTGACGAGTGGCAAACGGAACTGAAAGCAATGTTAGCTTTGTATAAATCTGCATTAACAACAAAATTTAATTTTTTTGAGATAAATGTTTGAACCAACGGACCAAACGGAACAGCTTTACGATATAATACTGCAACCCAAATAGTAGTGCCAACGGAATCCTTTAGATTTTGTGATTTTAGCCAGCAACATTGGCTGGTTGGCTCACTTGATGTTGTACCAAGCCCATCCCAAGGTATTAGCGTCGAATTACATATAAAAGAAAAGATATTAGAAGAGACAGCCAGCCCGTTTTAAAAGCAACCGGGTGTGATTGCTGAAGCTCTCGCAGCCGACCGGTGACAGACACCGGCAGACCAATAGCAGATATGCGCAAGGCTTAAAACAATTTTCTCAGTAATCACAATCAATGCTATAAAAATAAGGACTATCGTCAACAGCAACAACTGGCATTGGCTCATCAATATCCAGATAAAATGATCCGTCAACAGCGGAGGCCGGTTCGTCAGAAGACTTACTAACAGATTTGGTTGCGCTTCCATTGAATTAAGAGTCAAATTTCGGAACAGCAGCAGCAGAAACTCCATAATGTTTCGCTATTTTTTTCGCAGCACACTCACTGAGATAACCAAATCGATCATGCCTGCTTCTAGTAGTTAGCGCAACAGCAAATTAGGAGACGTGAAATTCACATCATTTTCTAACTGTTCTTTTTCCAGCAAATCCACCATTCAAGTAAATTCAAATATCTTAGACCCACAAGCAGGCCCCATCATGTGCAGCAGCTTTAATTGAAATTTGATTTGCACGATAGGGAGCTTGATGAACATTCTTAAATGATTCACCGTTCAGACGCAGTGCAAGGCCAATGCCTTTCACTTCAACAATAGTGTCACCAATACTAGCAATCTTACTTAAAAAAAGCAGATAGTGGTTGAGCCAATCAGCGTTGGCACAGATATATTTAGAAGCTCCAGAGTCAAACAAGAACCATTTGCAGCTCAATATCTAGTTCGTAGTTCGTTTCAACGAACATTCAACCAATATCTGATCAAAATGTGAACATGGAAAGCAGCTACAACAGTACAGCCACCAGCTAGAATTGATGGATCAGGAGAAGCAGTCCGTAGTGCCAAACACTCACAAACGAGTAGCCCTTTGTGGTCGCAACGATAGCATGTGATACTTTTTTGTTTTGGATTCCTGAATAGTTTTCACCAACAGAGACTAGCGTGGTTGAATCTGATCTACCGGCAAACGCATCATCACCAACATGATTCGCCATCGTTTTGCGTTGGAGAATGTAATTTTGTGATGGTCTGAAATTGAGTAAGCATTGGTTCAGCGTAGGTGGTTTCTGGAAAAGAAGCAGCATAGAAAGAAGCAGCAACTTGATCACATTGTAAAGGATGAAAATATTGTTCTGAATGTCAACAATGAATCTATTGCAATCGTTTTTATTAAACAATGTGAGTTGCCAAATACTGGAAGTGAGCGATTTGAGCATATTTATAGCTGATTCAACACATGTAGTATCGTATAGCATCAGCGAGCTCACTAGTGCTTCACGGCCATTTCATTTGCTGTATTGCATCTTCTCCAATGTTGCACGAACCGATCCGCCTGACACCAACGCATGGCAAATAAATTCCAAAGTAACCTTAACTACATGTGAATCGACATCATCAACTAAAATAACACCTGTTTTATTGAAAACCTGATCACATGCACCAAACAGCGCAGCTTTGAAATTCAACACGCAGGCCCAAAATAAAAGATTAGATGCATTCCTTATCTTATTTGATTCTGGAACCGGCTGATCGGAATTTTGCTATTCCCATGTTGTAGCAAATCAGGGATTTATATTATGATGAAAAAGTAAAGATGATACAAAAACGTTCAAATGATCGTCAGCCTTTTTTGAAAAAAACTGGAGGAGATCACAGATCGTCACAGCAGCAGCCCGGTGACAGACGCCGAAAGAAAAATGTAACCATGCCGGCGGCTCACATCATGGGCTGCCGATCTCTTCTACGTTGTTCTTTCCAATATAAGTTATAGCTTTATGCAGCTCATGCATTTGGAACAACAGTTTGCAAGTCAAACGACAAATTCATTCTGCCAACAATCGAAGAAACTAATTGAGAATGCTGACTTTGCTAATTGCTCATTGTTCTTCAATTTCAAACCTGCTCAGCTAATTCAGATGGTTCAAGTTTGTATAAAGGAACCCGTTGCTCATTCTGATGATGTTAATTCAGAGGCAATTTATGTTACAGTTGATTGCATAGGCTAGAGATCAGTTACTGCCGGATTAGTTCCCGGAGTATTAAAACAGGAATTGCACAATGACTGTATGGCCCACAAGCATTAGTTAGCAAGGAGGATATTTAGGATGCAATTGATGTTGAACTTGCGGTCCTTATGACTAACTCACTTACTTCCGGTCAAGGGCGAAATTCATTAATCAACAAAAGTGATTACAATAAACCATTTAATGAATGTTACTGCAAATCGTTCAATGACTAAAATGCTGAGTGATTTTCTAAAATGCTTTAAGCAGCCTCAAATTCGTACACCACCAACGGTCAAGAAGTGCATCCTCAAATGGCAAAACATTACAAAATCAGATTTGCGATTTCAAGACCTGTTACCAGTCATCTTGGTCATGAAGAAAAGCGGGTAACTCAGGTTTAACAGCGCTCGTCTCGCCTGCCAATTGACCATTTAAAGGGCCACAACAGTAATTTATCACAACCGATCGTTGAAGCAAGAGGAGGCAATTTACCCCAAGCTGTTTGGCACGACGCCTAGTTTCGAGAGTCTTCAGATTTAACGGTTGCTCCTACTGCTCCAGCGGCTCTCCTTGTTCACAAGGTTGATTAGTCGCTGTTTGCTTGCTTCTTGAAACTCACTAGCAACAAGCTGTTGAACTCCTAATGAATCAATTTTGACTAGGGTGGTTCTCAGCATATCAATGCTAACATTGCTTGCTTCAGGGTCAAACGTGCCGACTTTGAATCTATTACTGGTAATGGTGACATTATCGTTGATGTCAGAGGTAATGCCCTAGTGACGCTTTGGAATGGTAGATGATCAGATGAAGTTCGTTTTGCTTCTCATGGAGTGAATCAATTTTGAATTTTTGCTGGTACAAGCAAAAAGGGGTAACTCTGATTCATATTCCATTGTTTTTACTGGAATGGTGCATTAGCTGGTGAACACAGCAACTTCAATAATGTGTGAACGTTTCGTTGCCCCAGCTGATGTGACAAGCGTCTATGACATTTCCGCTGCTAGTAGTACAAAATGTCAGATTTGCAGCAATTGAAAAGGGACCAAATCTATTAACAGCCGTCTGCTACTCAGGCCACTACGGTTTTTCGTCTCCATCATGTTGATATTAAGTGCCAATGGCACCCATTGCTGTTTAAGAATCACTTTATTTCTTCACCATTACTGATGCATATTCAAACTATGTGGTTGCGGCCACAACTGCTGAGAAATCATTGACTGATGTCCGCCTTGTATATTGATCAGAATGGATTTAACGCGGATTGCATAAGACTGATCAAGCAGTTTCATTGATGACAAGTACAGGTCCATGCTACATAAGAACAGTTGCAAATACAAAGAAATCAAACGTAAAGTTTCAGATTTCTATAAGTCTCATAACAATGTCGTCGCTTTACGTTTGCAAACCAAAAAAGTGACAGAAATCACGTTCATGTTAATCAAAGCAAATGTTCATGAATCTTCGTCTATTAAGTCGGTGCTGAGGAATGTTCTTCGAAAGAATTTGATCTTCACCAATTAAGACAGGCGGTCAATTGCTCACATTAAATGACTTTAGGGATGTTAATGAACTGCTGTGCGGTTGAGGCAGTTTGGATCAGATGTTTTTGCCATCATTGACAAATTGATCAAGCAATTCAAGCTGCGTGATGCTGGTGTCTTCTAAGTCCATTTTGGCTCCATCATGAGTAGAAAAGTTGATTGAGTGTCCAACTTCCGAAACGGCAGTATAGGTGTTAGGTTTTCATGTCGCAGTGATAAAGCCAGCATTGCATTTGATGAAGCATCATCTTTTGCCATGAAACCAACAATTTCACTTGCGGCCGGAGTTATCGCTACTGTCGCTGGTCTGATGATAAAAAATTTCACCACTGCCATTAGTGACAGAGGTAACTCATCCACAATTGGGTTACACAGAAGATTTGATAGTTACATCAAATAAAATAATGACTAAAATGGCATCAGGTGAGATGATCGAAAAAATAATAATTCCGATGTCAAGAAATTGGAATTAACGGAGTCAAATGCATCCAGAGTTAATAATAATGACGTTAGTAGAGCAAACTCCAGTGCTAAATTGCATACAATCCAGCTTGCCGCAATCCAAAAAAGCAGTCATCGAGATCTTGATGACATTCACATTAGCCAGAAATCATTAAGACATGGCTCAACAAATGCCACTCAACACAAGTCAAAGTTCACATATTCCATTGCTGTTACAAACGCCGCCAACGCTGCTAGAGCTATTCATGCAGTTCCAATTATCAACGGTGCTTCCTAATTAAAGCATTAAAGCAGGTTTCCATAGCAAATCTAATCTGATGGTATATCACCCTGATATAATTAATGATGATTGCTGTTGTAAAATCCTTACCGGCAAGTCAGCATACACTGGTGATCCTGCTAACGCGAGATTTGTTGGGTGACGGATCACCTAGTTTTCACAAATTACATTTCCTGAAACTCCTTCCATCGTTAATCTGTACGAAAATGCTACAGGGTTCCTCACCACCGTAGCATCAAAACCAATGAACTGCCAACTAAAAAATGTGCAACTGAAATATTTTATGGTGAAGCACTGCCGCAACATAAATGACATAGCTTCCTGCATTTCTTCATTGTGAGTATTTTAAATCAGCACGACAATTGCACCCACTCAGTCAATGCACTGATACTATGACTGGTGGCCGTTGCTAAAAACAAATTTTTAATGCATTCAAATCCATTGCGTTGCGACATACCTTAGCAGAGCAACGTATACTAAATAGATCAAAAGACAAACGACACCGCGTGCATGAAATATATGCTGAGCAATATATGATTGCCGAAGCAGCTGAGGCGTCAGTGTAGCCGATAAATCACGTTTCAGAATAAACGGGAGTATGAAAGCCGCTGCGGGAACTCTCACACGACTGCTTCATCTGCAGTTGTAGCAAAGAAATATTGAATTTTCAAAACGGAAAACCGTGTCAGAGTGACGCTCCACACTTCAACGAAAATGCTATTCAGATCCATGGTACACCATTGATATTTTGCGCGTACGAAGGGATTGCCACATCAGGCGCTTCTGAGTTGAGGGTTGAAGGATCATTAACTACCGGATCACTTGTTGCATTATTATCTGCTCTCACCGCATGGCAAATGTCTAGTTGTGCAATTGCAATTAAATTGATCAAACCGGATGCGGGAGGGCCACCCATATTCAATTTAGAATTTGAATGAAAATCTCTATGATCTTTAGTTGCATAGCCGTTGTCCTTTGCTAACTGACTTCTGCCGTCAGATCAGTTTTTTCCATATTTCCAAAACAACTCAGCGACGTATCTTGCCAATTGACTGCGACGAAATCAATATTCAGTGGATAAGAATGTAGACAAAGTTAGTTGGAAGCGCGGAAAACCTAATTGTCTTGTTTTGTTCACTATTAATAGAGAGTCTATTTGCGCTTATAACGCGGTCAACCTACAGTTCGCCAAATGTGGTTAGTTAAATCGATTGAGGCAATTGATGCTAAACCAATCATTTACGCAGAATACAGCTCCTCAAATGCCTCGGCCATGCATCAATTCAATCACTAAAGTTGTAAGCATATTTTAATTATCGATTACTAGATACAATGTGGTGCAACGTTTTTGTTGCTGTAGGAGGAGGTGATCTTCACAATATTGTTGCTGATATGCTGACTGACATTTTCAGTTGTGCACTGTTCAGCTAGTGCAATAGATGTTCTCAACGATTGGATTGGTTTTGTGTTGGCTTTGCCGCTCGCCTGGATTGTTTAATCCAATTATATTTATTTGCTCGATATTGTGACGGATATGCTGCAATATTGTCATAAATTTTGGTTGGCTGAATATAATTATATTATTTTTTCAGAGATTTCAAGTTAACTATATTACTGGTTTTCTTTTGTTTTCTTCTCTCCAAAGGTTGAAGTTGGTATTATAACAGACTTGAATTTGCATTTCATGTGATTACTATTCGATTTTTAATACTTTTATTATTGATTATCGTTTGATTTGATATAGAAGTCTATGATTGTAGTCCGAACAGCGGTTCAGAAAAATTGGGTACTCGTGAGCAAACGAGCTGGCCGGGTAACGTTTTTGATGGAGAAGGCAAGAAAGCTTTTCATGCCTCATTGCATGAGAGGCTGGAGAAGCTATCCTAGTCCAACGCCCATGCCAGCATTTCATAGAAACCTATTTTTCTCATCCCAAGATGCTTTTCATTGGAAAACTGTGGCTGGGATTCGAACCTACTACCCTGCGTCCGTCAGCGGACATCTGGGGACTATGTTTAGCACTCACACCTAATAACCGCTTGGCCAACGGGAATGGTCGCTGGCACGTTCTCTACAATGTTTGACTACATTGACCCTATCCTCTGAGGTCTAGTTACTGGGTTAAGGGCTGTTCTGAGCCTCCCGGATGCCTACATTCGGTCCCTCGGTTTCTGTAACCGGTCTGCCCCGGTGAGGCTTTGTGACCACCCAGTTACCTATAAAAGGGACTGACGATCTTTTTTTTGTTCCTTTTTATTAAATACTCCTTTACCTTTATATATTATCATGGATTCGCTACAACAGTTTTGCCTTCAAAGTAGCTTTAGTTATAGAAATTTTATTGAATTTGTATGATAAAGTCAGCATTTTGAAGAATTGTGTTTCACGTGAAGGTTGGTTTCTATTGGTAGGAAGACAAATATCGGCCGGGTCAATCCTAAGGGTTCACACTTAAATTCGCCTTAATATTTTCTTTATTGACAATCATCCATTGATGTCGTTCTGAATATAAAAAACATTCATTTGGATGAAGATCAAACATTGAGCGAAAGTTGAAAATGATATACGGTTATCTGCAAAGGAACTGTTTTGCAGCTGAACATTTCCGAAAATAAAATTTCTCCCACAATTTGTCATTCTGAGATTCACTAGGTATATTTGGGTTATCGAGTTTATGAAACTTATCCTTCATGATCACTGCCAAAAAAATCATTCCATGAGTCGATAAATAAGTATACAGGGTCGTAATTGTTTTGTTGAATGTAGTTTGAGTAAGTATTAGTGTGAAGTATAATTTTCTCCAAAAATGAGCTTTCTTGGTGCTCATAAAATTTCAAGATAAAGGAGTTTAAATCCATAAAAACATCATGTTTAAATGAATTAAATAAATTTAGATCCTGTAAAATCAAAGTGTTAAATTTGGAAAAAAGAACAAAGTCACTTTTTGTTTTAGTGGATAAATAGCTAAATGCTGGTGCTTCATGAATATCACCTAGTTTTTTCCCAATCAGTGTAATTGAGTCACATAAAATTAGGTTGATGATTCGATTTAACATCTGGGAAATTTGTTGTGATCCATTAAATTCGAAAGCTAGCTGTTGAGAATACAAAACCGCTTTATTTAATTGGGTGTTGGATGGCTTTACTTTATTTTCATTTTTTAGATTGATGTAGTCCCGAAATAATTCAAACAATTTGATAGCTTTTATTTTGAAAATAAGATTTTGCACTGGATTGAAGTCGAAAGAACTAATCATTTGATTTGATGGAGGAAGCTTAGTTCCCATTTTGGTTGATTTACCAAAAAGTGTAGGATAATATGTTTCAAGAAAATTTAGTAGATCATCAAATTTATTTGTTTGAAAGAAAGATTTGATGATTTTAAAATTCAAACTGAAATAGTTTCGAGTTGCATTAGGAAGCGCTTTTTCATTTAGAAAAGCTAGAGAGTGAGATGACCCCATTTCTTCTTTGAAAACATCATGAGAAGAAATAAATCCAGACTGCCTGAAGTAGCTCAAAATAATTTTATCCATTAGTAATTTAAGACTGTGTTCTTTAAGCATGCGCGAGTTAATAACTAATGATCCAGAACTTGCAGCTCCACCAAAATTGTGTGACAGAACCGGTTGTGGGTCGAATAACTGACTGTTTCTCATTTTCATGTTAATAAAAGAGTAACATTTCCGTTTTACTTGGTTTGAATATGATTCAATGTCATAAATGAACGGTTTGGAAAAGTGAGAAAATTGCCCAAACTTCGAACCAGGTCTAGTATTTAAGTCAAAATTTAAACCAAAATTGATGAAAAGTTTATTAGATAAATTATTAGAAACATCGGAATTATAGTCAGCCTCTGGCAGTTCTTGATGATTTTTTTTTTCCAATACTACAGCCGATGGGTAACAGCGCTTCATATTCGTGAATAGATCCAGAAAATTACACAGGTCGTAATCTTGAAAGAAGTAGCCATCAGAAACCAATTCCGAAAAAATAGTAAATGAGCATTCTTTTTGAAGTTCTGAGGTTTGGCGAGAAAAAGAAAGAACAGGAATCACCGGAAAATTTATTGATTTAAACGCTACTCCAGAGAACTTTCCATTTTTTGTGAAAAATATTATACTATTGAAGTAATCAATACCACAACCAATGACATCATCTGGTTGAAATGAGAAATCGTGGCAAGAAGTTTCTTTTCTATTATTTATAGCACGGTTTGTTTGTTCAAAGGAAAGAAAAGAAGAGTTGATAGCAAATGAAGACTGACTTATCCCGGGAAAATCGTTAAGGGTAAATTTGGAATTAATATCATCGGCTGAAGTCTTATGAAAGCCAACCGAAAAATTACGTTCCAAAAAGTATTTTCCAACTCGAACTTCATAATAGAACAACCCATAAATTGGGGTTATAATTTTATCTGCTGCAAAAACTAAAGTAGATTTCTTTTGCTGGCCCGGTTGAAAATTGATATAAAGAGGTAGAGTAGAAAACAAACTTTGATTGATGTTTGAAGTACCTGCCAAAACTTTACTGTAAACCATATTACTAGAGCATGGAACCAAATTCATTGGAAATGGAATGTCATTTGCATCAGAAAACGAACCGTTTTTGACACAGATTTCTTCAATCCTGCTGTCAAAATTTCGAGGCAGAATATTCATCTCAAAATTTTCATTTGTGATAGAACCATCAGAGGACTGTTTTTGATGAAAATGCTCATATAAGCAAATGTTTCTCAGATTCTCTAATGATAAAAGTCTTTCCTGAAATAAATTTGAAAAACCTTGCAAATAGGGGCAAATCAATGACAAATCCGATTTTTCTTCTGATTTGAAATTATTAGTAAAGCAGTTGTTTTGAATCAAATTGAATATGTCGATATCGTATGAACAACAAATACCTGAAAGGTGGTCTAAAATAGACAATAGGTCTGCTTCATCAATGTTCAAAATTAGTCTTTTTCTTTTTGAATAAACACTTTGACAAAGATGTTTCCCATACGAGGTTTGAAAAACATATACAGGAAAATGCAAGTTAAGCTCATTCATTCTATCAAGTAATAAAGTCAGATTTTCCAATATGGTAGAATATCTAATCTAAACTTGCCTTTAATAGTTGAAGAAGATAGAAAATTAAACAAGACAGATCACGAGCCAAGCAGTAGACTCAAATCTACAATTGCCATCTTCATGAACCGCTTTCTGGCGATTTTGGAATCAATGAAACAATTAAAATACTTTCCTACGAAACTGGGGACTACCCCTTTCTTTTTAATCGGCTGATGAGAAGTGCTACCTTATTAACCAGTAGAAAAATAAGTACTTCCTTGTTTCAATAATCGCCAAAGAGCAGTTTTTCCTGCGGGCAGAATAATAGCGGTGCTCGCTCATTCCAAAAGCATACAGTGATGCACTGATATATTAATTTTGCAATTAGTTTATGGTTAGCGCTACGTTAGTTGAATAGAACGGTTAGAATCACTGTAGATAATGTAACTCCTTGTAGGAGTATTACCAAAAATCATAAAAATCAAAAGTAGGGAAACGTCAATTGACCTGGTATATTCTGGGAAATCATCCGATAGGTCCCTCTATTGAACACAATATCACTCTAAAATACCAATTATTGAGTATGGACATTTGTAAGATAGTTCACTCAACCTCTCAGAAAGATAAAAATGAGATAGCGTCATTAAGGTTTCATAAGTATGAACTTCTTAACCCAAAATTCCGGTTATACATTTTTGATTTCTGTATCGTTATCACTAACTTCAAACAAATTACCAAAGGCATATAATATTCTCACGTCCACTTTACAATGTTTCTACAAAGATGAGAGATTTTGATCATGAAAACACAAGAAATAAAATTGAATTGGCTGAAAATTTATGTGAATTTTTAAAATTTTATACTAATTAATTCTGATACTAAGCTAGGATTTTGAAACCTTTTTGTTCTCTGTGTGGTTAAAAAGGCATTGTCCATCATTTTTCTTCTGAACAGGCTAATATGATAAGTAAGATTATATTTCTTTCCAGAAACATTCGAATAATAGTAGAGACAAGAACTGAGATTGATTTTGTTGAGTTACTTTCATTTCCGACACTTGAACATATAAAATTAATTTATAAAGATCAAAGTAAAGCAAGAACTATAAACATAAACCAAAATAAAACCAGTACTCAAATTATAGACTTTCGAAAGATTCCTCTTATTAAAACATCTACAACTAAAAGCTCAACTCCGCAACAAAATGACACGAAGCCACCCAAAAATCATTCACCTAACGACTGTTCACTAAATATAATGAAACAAACTCAATTTAAAACTATTCAAAATAAAGGTGGATAATTTGTTTTTAAAGCCCACTGAAAAATAGAATCTATCCAAAAGGAGTGTAAAATTTGCTGGTATTATCAGAACAAAAGCAATTCGAATGAGAACAGCTTCATTCATGTCTGGCAAGTCAACAAAATTAAAAAATAAAGGAAAAAAGATTCTTGAAGAAATCCAGTATTTTGTATTAACTTCGAATATCTTTATTAAAATTAGTGATTCAAACATCAAATTCCAGATATCCTTATGTTGGTAATAATATTGATAAACTTTGTAAATTGTCTGGATTTGATGAAGCAAAAGTCAGAACTTGATAAGTATTTTTTGTTGTGTATCTAATCCTTTGATTGGTTTTCTAACTCCAATTTTTCATTGTTTTAGGTTTTCTAATCGAAGGTATGTTTGTATTTGTTGCGCTTTTGAGTGTTTTCGCTGAAGTAATTTTATATATACTAAGTGCCCTACAAGAAAGAATAAAATTCCCGGAATATCAAACGACCTTAGATCATTAATTGGATCTTAAGCTGAAATCTTTTGGAAAAAAAATTGATTAATTAATTTTCTAATTATTTACCAGAAGATTTAAATATCCTTTAGATTGGATTAACCAGCGCACTTTGCATAACTATCTATTCAATAAAGTCGTATCATATCGTTATATCATACTGCTATTTCAGTACTAGTAAAACCATTCACTTTTTCCGCTCCTAGTGTATTTTTGACCTTACTTTCACAACTAGAATTTTAGTCTGAGAAACATTAGCTGCCTATTTTGATACTTTTACTTTTAAACTTAAATACCATAATACCAAAGCGCCTCTTCACTTCTCGATTTAAGTTCGATGTATAGAGATTGCGCCGATACTCATTTGTCTAAGCATTTTAAAGGTTTATCTGTTCCGTTTAGTGATATTTTTCATTTGATCCAAAATTAAAACAGTTTCCATGAAAGAGTTAAAATAGAACTAGAGAAATTTCTAGTTAGAATTACTGTTGATTGAGAACTTCTAGGTTATTTGTAGTTACTGCGAATGTTGACTGATCAACAACTAGCGCAATGTAGTATGACATTATCTCTATATAGAATCTGTTGATGTGTTGCCTCACTTTCTCCAAGGTTTTCTATGTACCTAGTTGTAGGTTCCCCAAACCACGGGAAATTTATAAAATATTTAGATCAATAATTGTGCTTAAGCAGTCTCTAATAGGTGGTTCTTCAGATTAAAATTAAAAGCTATTGATATTATTGATAGATAGAATAGCCTCAATTATCTTAAAATATCAAAGTTACATACATTTGTTTTAAATTTGAGTTTGGTTCAAATTTTTTTGCTGGTTTCTGAAATTAAAGGCCACTTGTTTTTAAAATATCCACAATATTTAATAATAAAATCAAATCAACTTTTTGATTAGTCAAGGTTCTTTGTCCAAAAACCAAAAAATAAAAGGAGAACAAAAAGAAAAAATCAGAATCACTAGCTATAGCTATACGTTGATGAGGTCTACATTGTCAATAATGTTTTTGGAATAAACCAAGTTGAAGATAAAATAATGAAATTTGTTTTCTAGGTGGATATAAGTGAATACAATCTGATTTTATAATTTTCTGAAAAAATTATTGAAAATTTACCACCAATAATTTAATAAAAGAACTGCCTGATTAGATGATTGACAGAAGAAGTACGGTAATGTGGTTTGAAACAATTATGAAAAAAATACCAATAAAATTATTATGCATAAAAACAGCCCCTCTAAATAAATTTATAACTAACGCTTCTAATATTACAGTTTTCACCTTTAGAACAATTTAGAAAATTTATATTTCCAATTCAAATTTATGGCTTTGAGAATAAAAACAGAATTAAAAAACGAAATTCTAAATAAAATATTCAAAAGCAACGCCAACTCAAAATTTCAAAGAAAGAATCGGTTTTCATTTGTGGTCTATGTATTCCAGCAAATGTATTTCAGCAATTCGAAATACCTCTCCTAGTTTAGAAAAGATGGAAAAATTAAACTCTTTTGAAAATATTTCATTAAAAAAAAACCCACCCGCTTTGATAATTTTGAAAGAGTTTTGAACGTTTCTGTATTGATTAGTTTCATAGCCAGGAACATCATCCTTCTCTGAAAATGAGGTTTCAAATGAATAATTTGACTGAAGAAATTGATAAATTTTTGAAAATAAAAAGGAAATAGATTTATAATATTTCAAGTTCGCATAAACACATTCATCATTTATCAACCCCAAAGTGGTTAAATTTTTATCCCAACCACTTGAAAAGTCAACCCTTTCAGTATCAGTTCTGTTTATCCCTTTGTCTATCATATAACAAAAGTTTTCAAATTGAAAACAAAATCTAAAAAGAAGAATGAAAACATCAAATAGTACTTGCAAATACAATGATAACATCCCACTTATGTTTTCCTTAAAAAAATTTTGGTTTTTAATTTTCCTTGCAACTTCCAAAATATAGTCAGGTTTTGTATTTACAGCCGGAGATGAAGAAAACTCTTTGATATTAATTTCTTGTTTTGATGCTATTTTAAAGTCAATAAGAAAATTGATTAAAATGTTAATTGAGAGGTCGAGAATTAATAAAGAATCCCTATTTCTACCTTCATACAACATTTCATTTGGATTTAGTGCAATATTGGTCTTGAGATTTGTGGTGGGCTCTTGAAAAATTTTATCAATGTCTGATTTGTGGTTATTCAAGGATAAAAAATAGTCGCCAAGAACAAGATTAGATATCTCTTCCGATTTACAAGACCATATATTTCTCTTAATACAGTTTATATTAGCAAAGTTCGAGGTTAGCTGATTTAAAAGAACATAGTTATGAAGAATAATTGAATCGCGTCGGAGATAACTGTTTGATTGATCATCCTTGTTGTCAGAGTTATATTCTAAAAACAAGGCCCAGCAATTTATTGCATTGATTTGTTTGACATCTAGCTTATTAGTTTGCAAAGCCTGATCCAACCCAAATTGTAAACAAATTAATCCAAATTCAGATGTTTTGTAATCAATCTTGTTGTTTAGAATAATATCCCTTAATATGCTTTGAAAATTAAGATTGATTCTTTCGAATTGATTGTGAAATAATCTCATGAAATGCTTAAATTGTTCCACGTTCAAACATCGCCAAAACATTTCAAAATCAGGCAAAACACACGTCATTTCTTCCACAGTGAGAATGTTTATCCCTTCAACCTTATAAAGCTGAAGCAAAAACGTTGACAAATTGAAAACTGTATATACCGTCCTTAGTTTTGATTGATAGATAAGATACTTTTCAAAATAACCAGAGTCGATAATAGTTGTTGAAGTTTCAGTTTCAAAATCTGAACTTTTGCCTTTATAATTGAAACTTAATTGGTTTAGTTTTGAAGTTTTTATTAAATCAATCAAAGCATTCACCTGATTTACCATTGATGATATTTCTGGGGTTTTCTGTCCAAATAGCCCATAGATAGTACTTAAAGTAAGTGCTTGAATCAACCAAAGAGGAGATGAGTTATTGGGACCGGAAGAGTTCCTTTTGCGGATATCCAAGTAGACATGAATACATCTGCGCGAGGCCTCATACAAGTTTGAAGAGTCCGAGTAATCACCATTAATGGCAGCGCCGGTGGAAGCAAGTAATAATGGCAAGCAGACAATTGCAGCATCTTTCTCATCTTGAACTAATAAAGGATCTACTCCATTATTGATAATAACTGAGATGTTATAGTTATGTTCTTGTTCCCAGTGGCAATTGACTAATTTGAGCATATTTGTTTCATTAAGAAAAAAATGGTGAATAAATGGAAAGTGATTCAAAAATTTCAGTTTAAAAATATGAACATAATTATTTAATTTCGAAACGGAAGGAATTTTGGGGGATGTTATCCCTCCAAAGGGATATTTTTTAATTGTATTGTAAACCTTTGATTGCAAAGATAAAGTGAAAAGTACTTTATTGGAGAAAGAAGCAGATTTATAATAAAATGAATCAGAAACCTCTTCTGGCATTTCATCTTCTAGTTTATTAGCAAAAATATTGGAGGAAATAGAAGATAAGGGAGAATTTTCATTAGTTGATTTGTTATTTAATTCAGTTAAAAAATCAATAGAATTCAGCCCTTTGGATGAAGGGAGAATATCATAATAAGAATAGCCATGCATTTCACGATTTGAAGAAGTTTTGGGGATATCAACTTCATTATTAAATATATCTTTGATTAACCCATTATGAACGCGATCAATAGGTAAGATTGATGACTTTAAAGGTTTTTGCAAATAAATCTGTTTAATATTAGAATTGTCGGTTTGCTCAGAAAAAGATAATAGTGGGGTTGTGTTTGAGATATTCTTACTACTACCAATTTTTGAAAGAGAATAAGCATCTTCTATCGCCTGCTCATAGTTTTCAGTTATGGCCTTCAATCGAAAAAACCTATTATTCTTATCAGAAAAACATGAGTTTGTTTGATGCTGATTTTTGGAATGGTCAGAAAAATCAAGCTGTTTTGAATTATTAAAATCCTCTCCAAAATCATAAAACGAATAACCAAATAAAGAATCATCAATCGTGCGTGAGCTTTGGCTGTAACCAAATGGATGATTCTCTAGATAATCAGATTTGGTAGAATTATTCAATTTGGAAAAATGAGGAGATGAAGAACCTGAAGAACTGACTTTCTGCATTTGATTTTTATAAGAAAGAACCCTGTTATGAATTTCTGCAATATTTGAGTTTCTTAAAAGATCATGAAGTTTAGAAAATGAATTATCAGTTTGGTTCTTATGAGAAATCATCACTTTTTCATAATCATCAACATTATTATCAGCAAACCGTTCAGAATCATTGTAAGTTTGTAGGACATTTGTTAGCCACTCCTCAGCACCAGGAGACTCAACTCCATATATATTATAATCGCCATATAAATTATTTTGAGATGAAATTTCAAAATTCGGTTTGATTGAATCTGGCGGCAAATTTTCAATTGGAAGATTTTTTGTACTTATATAATCGAATTCAGAAATAGAGGTTTGGTTTTCTGCCGAATTGGGATTCACAAGTCCCAAAGAGTTTTGATTATTATTTTCCAAAGATAATTCAGGAACAACTTTTTGTGAATCTTTCAAAGCACCATCCAAAAAACCAGAATCAAGTGCAGTAAGTTGAGGTGTAGAGAACCCAATCGAGTCAACAAAATAATGTTCTTGAAAATGGTTTATTTCATTACTTGGTGAAAAATTCGAATTATCGGCTGGCATATTTAATCTTGGAATTGCATAATTTTCAGCACTTGCGGCCGAAAATGAAGCCCTTCGTTTTCTGGGGATTATTTCATTTGATATATTTTCATTTAAAGTTTCAAATTTGGAAAAAAGAGATTTAGGATAAGCGTTATTAAAAATTCCAGTGGGTGGGTTGTTCTCATTTGATTTTATTTTACCGGGTAAGTTTTGACTAATATTATTCTTCAGAATACTATTTTGGTTATCCCTTTCAGGCAACAGCTCAGGAAAAACTTTGTGCAAAACAGAATGGCGATTTGAATCACAGGACAGTATTGATTCTGTGCTATTTGATGACTTATCGCTAATTTGGCAATCTTCCTTTACCAGTCTTAAATTTGAATCAGTTTTAGAAAAACTACTATTGGAAACAGTTGAAAGGTCTGAGCTGGGTTTTTTGAGTTGCCTATGGAATTGATTTCGTTCAACTATAGAAGCAGGAACTTTTGCATTGGATCTTCTTCTCCTTAACCTTTTAACAGCATCAGCACAACCCCCATGCAATTTTTCGGCATGCCTAAGTAACAAATCTCTTCTGGAGAACTTTCGGTTACATACACCACATACAAACGGCTTTTCTTTAGTATGAGACCTTTCATGTCTCTTTAAATGCTCTAGTCTGGCAAAAGATCTTAAACAAACGCCACATTGATATAGCCGAGGTTTTCCAGATGGGGTATAGCCAAGTACAGTGGAATTGTTGTGAGAGATCAACGGAAATGTTTGTTGATGATTCTGCTGCTGCAATTGTTGCTGCTGCTGCTGCTGTTGTTGTTGTTGCTGTTGTTGTTGCAGCTGTTGTTGTTGCAGCTGTTGTTGTTGTTGTTGTTGTTGTTGTTGAAAATTTTGCGGTATAAAATTCTGCTGTTCAAAATTCTGCTGTACAAAATCCTGCTGTTCAAGCTTTTGTTGTTGAAGCTGATGTTGATTGGGCAATAGTGACAGCAGTATACTGGAAGGAAGAGCTGAAAACTGAGAAGAAAATAAATTCGAAGCGCCCATATTTAAAGATTTGCAATTTGATGATGAAACTGAGTTGCTATTGTCCAGAAAAAAATGATTATTGTTTTGCTGCTGGAAGAGTGTGGGTGAATCCTGGTTATATTGAGAACTAAATTGTAAGTGTTGGACTTGTTGTAAATGAGTATTTTTCGCAATAGTTTCAACAAAAGACAAAGCAGTCCTATCTTCTGTGCTGGCAGAAAGACAAATATTTGAGTTTTGGACCTGAGTTCCCTTTGATGTTTCTGCAGATTTGCTCATGGTATGTGATTGAGATGAGGAGGAGAATAAAATGGAGGAAAAAACTAGTAAAAAATCTTCTTTAATAAAAAAAGAATTTTTTTACCCTATTATAGTATATGGCGAGTGGTATTGTTCTTACCAAGAAAGTAAAAAGACAATAGTAAGATAATCCTTAGTGAGCTATTGAAATGTTATTGGAATCCAGAAAAACAGTGTGATATGGGGAAGTAAGTAATTCGGAAGCTTGGAACATGTAGGGTAGTCAAAACAGCCCCACACTATAATTACCCGGCACACAACTTAATAGGATTCCATTGGAAAAACTATTAGCAAGTCTCACGCATAAAATGGAGGCACCTGACTGATAATATACCGGTGTAGCACTCGAATCCTCTAATTCGCGGTTCAAAATGCTTCATTCGATTCCTGTAAATGCTATAAATAGGTTCAATAATATTTAAACAAGCAGGTAATTAAAGTAAATGTTATACCCGCAATGGAATTGGTTTACATTAGGTATCCCAACCATAAGGGGATAATTTAGAGAAATCAATTGAACCATTTTGCAACCTCACTAAAATAAAATCAATTTCCAATTACCTTTTGTGGAAAATTACGAAGCTTTCGGAATACCAATGTTTGAACAACAAGGGGTAAACATTTCATTTGCCTTTCGAACAACGGAAATAAAGCACGCCGCAACCAAAAAACCCAACTGCACAAGCAATTTGCTTATCTTGAAAAGTTAACCAGACAAAGAATTTCAAGCCATTTAAAAGTGATTCCGTTAGTAGTAGGATATTGAAGTCCGCCGAAATCTGATAGTTTCCTTAATGGTTCCGTAATCCATTTTCGTTATTTGAAAAGCGAATGAAATGTCTACCCCTCGTTGTCCAACTGCTGCTAACAGGGGAAAATCATCCAGCTTAAATACTATTACCACTGATTTAGTCAAGACAATCTAAGTTAAAGCCTATACATTTTTGTGCTGGAAAACCACTGGACATGCCTTTCAATCAAGCCTTTATTCCTCCACTTCTGGAATAGACACACATAGAACTTAATAGAAGACACTCTCCTAACGGTCTCTATGAAGTGGATGAGATCCCAGATAGTATTCCTTGGTAGCTAAAAGCAGATTTTCAACCTTCAGGATTTCGCCAACAGAAATCTTACAGAAGGTTCGGAAAAACAGACTCAACCTTTAGTAGGTGTTGTGACCACCATTTTTCTTTTGACAAGCCAACACAGTGCAATAATCAACATTTTGGAAATACTAATAAAAAGAAATTTGGTGTTGATTAGGTCCATGCTTTAGAGATTTTTGGAACCGGCTTGGTTTATGACGAAGATTCAACTGTAAATACAAAACTGTCAGGAAGCCCCCACACTGTTTGATTAAGTACTCTGAATCCCACAACAAATTCACAACTTCTTTCAATCACTTACAGTAGTTACATTACATGATCAAATTTAATTAGGAAACTTCAAGAGAAATATTGTGTAAGAACCAATCCACCTCTCACACAAGTTTTTTCCTACTTTGAAAAATTTTGTTGTAAATTTTTTGATGGGAGTTTTATGAAAAAAGTTATAAATTTCTTGAGGAACCCAGACTATAAATTTGTTCTAGTCAATCACTCTTATTTTATTTGACTTAATGATTGAATGTTAACTAGAAAATTGGCAAAAGAAAGAAAACAAATAATAAAACAGCAATGAATGAATAAATGAGATCAATGAATGAGATAAATGAATGAGATGGCTAAATGCCGGATTTTATCCTCTCATATTTTTTTTATATATGTTAAATATTGATGATACACAAAATTTATTTGTCGAATTTAATTTGGATGATGATAGCTTTTCTTCGTTTTACTTAAATTATTAGTTTCTTAACAGATCATTTTGTGGAGGTTGTTTGATTAATAAATAGTTTAAGTTTAATTTGTGCTGGAAAGATTTTAGCAGTGAAATGAATGCTAGTTGGAAAGTTATGATTTGAATTGGCACTTAACACTACTTTATATATTTTGATTTGAGCGTTTATTAGTAAATAATTAGAATTCAATTTAAATCGACTTTTATATTTAATTAGAAGTACATCAATCAAATGAACAGTATATTCTAAAGAAAGTTGCAAACTGAAAAGAATTATACACTTTTATTATCTCTATAATAAGCCTCTTCCTCAGCATCAATCACATCTTTATAAGAATATAAATCCATTTCTTCAAAAGATATAATCTTAGATTTGAAAAAATACTTATATCCAAAATATAAAATAAAAAATATTGGAATGCCAATGTAAGCACTGATAAAAGTTTGATAATCAAATCGAGATCCAAGACCATAATCCAAGAAAACAGAGTAGTTTTTCAAAAACAATAAAATGATAATAAAAGAAAGAGCAAAATACGATGAATATGGAGAGCCAAAAGCAGTATAATACATTTCTGTTTTTCTTTCAATACCCTGCACTTTTACTGCTTTAACAAATCGAAGATGACATATCAAAATGCCAGCATAATTCAACAATACAAAAACAGTTACCACATTTACAAAATATTGATAAATCTTTTTTGATGATTCAGTTGAGTTCATATAACCAAGAACATAAAACATGCCACAAAACCCAAGAGCATTATAAGGAATACCCTTCTTGTTTGTTTGAGAAAAAACCTTAGGTGCCATTCCATTAACCGCTAGCCCATAGAGCGCCCTTATAGCAACATATAATTCCGTATTAGAAGATGTAAAAACAAAAATTAATATACAAGCATTAATTATATGAGGAAGAACTGGAATACCGGCGTTTCTAATCGCAACCACAAAAGGAGAAGAAGCAGCAGAAGACCGAAAGGAAACAATTGAAGTATAAAGATTGGGATCATCATATGAAAGAATCATTCCCAAAAACAAAACCAAAAAAATATAAACTGGTCCAATTGTCCAAAATATAAGATTGTGAGCTCTATAAATATTTTTCCTTATTGGAGATTCTGTTTCGCCTAGTGCAATTCCATATAACTCAAAGCCAAATAAAGCAAAAATAGAGGGTTGAAAAGATGCAAAAAATGCAGCAGCTTTACCATTACTTCCTTCAAGAGTTTTGTATGGAGCAAAAGCACCTGGATCATTCCAAAACTGAAAACCGATTGTTTTGTGTTCCGGATTACCTCCAATTGTCAAAACCAAAGAAAAAAGTGTTAATCCAACAATAACAGTTATTTTAAACAGAGCAAAAAACCTAATAAATATGGCATATGAATTCACGGCTAAATAGTTTGTTGAAATGTCAGCGATCATTATTATTGTAATCCAAACTGCTGGATTAACAGTATCTCTATCAACCCAATAGCCAATTGCAGATGAGGCAGCGCTCATCTGAGATGGTCCAAGAATAAGATATTTAAACAAAAATGTATACCCAACTGCAAAACCAAATGCAGGCTCCACATACCTAGAGGCATATCCAGCAAATCCATCTGGTAAAGGTATATATGTCGCCATTTCACAGAGAGAGGAGAGTACAATGTATAGAGTAACCACTCCAAAAATAAAAGTTAAAAGTAAGGTGGCAGGTCCACCAGTAAATAATGCCAGTCCTACCATTATTGTGATACCTGAGCCTATTGTTCCACAAAACGAAAGAGCAGCTAAATCATAATATTTTAATTTATGGACAAGTTTATGACCCTCTGTTATCGCTAAAGGTTGTTGTGATGTAATTTGGTGTAATTCGTAGGAAACTTGGCGATATAAAGTAGAAGAGGTGGATGTTGTGTTCAAAGATCGATTTTCAATCGTATTTTCAGATTCCAAACCAGGTAGAGAATTTATCCTATCTTCAGTTCTGATAGAATTTTTATTTTCTTTTAATGATTCTTGATGATCTAAGCCAACGAAAGACTCTAAGTCAGAGTTTGATAAAGGAGGATGAAATTTAAAAAATGAATTGAATGAATTTTTTCTTCTAAGGTGTGGAGAATCTTCTTCTCCATCCTCGACTGCATTTTCAGATATCGAAGTCTTTCTTGAAGAAAACTGATTCGCCATAAAGATATATAATCCTAGAAAATTACTTATACCAAAGAGGAAGATATGAGAAAAGAGAGAGAAGCTCTATATCAAATACGAGTCATCTAAATCCAAGTATTTCTATCATTTTCAGGATTAAACAATTTATAAAATCTTTTTCTATGCTCCGATCATCTTTAGAACTTTTATACATTCTGCACTGGATATTAAAATGTTAACTTAAACGAATCTAGAATTAACAGAATAATAAAAGTAATAAAAACAAACAATCAAAAAATAAAACTTAACATAGCAAGAGTACCGTAAATGTTCTTCAACAGGACAGCTCTTCTATGTATTAGAATATCTAATTGTTTAACACTAATGGGTCTCATTAAGCGAGAATATTCATTAACATTTAAGAAGCCAAAAATTACTAACATATGATGATCATCTGTTAATAGAACCGAATCATCAGATAATGGCTGAAAAAATAGCAGATCCAACAAACTAACAAATTTGTACTTGTCCATCAGTCTGGATATTTTTTAGTGGTCAAACATTATAAATGTTAGGTTTCTACAAAAAAATACAATAGAAAATATGTCCTAGATGCTAGTTTTTACAATTGGTTGCACAAGAAACGAGCGCTTTTTACAAGCATAGCAGCACCAACAACGAATCACTATAGGGTTGCCGAGTTCTCTCCAAAACCACAATTTAGGTGTCTCTTATTGAATGGTCTATATGGAACTAGTAGCTGATGACCTATGTTATAATCTCTATTGGAGCACATCATATTTGATATCTTGGTTTTACTCATATTTCTTAACTTTCAATTGTGTTGATTTAGTTAGTTTTATTCTGTTTTTTTTTTTTGGTTTTTGATTAATCAATGACAGTAGTATTTTATTTCATCAATAGGCATTGTCAATCGTGCGCCAAAAATTTAAAATTTTGGCTTGGAACTTGCTTTAACAGTTTACAGCTTGCTCTCAAAACTGACAAAAGATACTGTACCAACAGTAGACACGAAAAATACAATTACAACACTTTTTCAGGAACAACATAAAGTGCAATTTTCAGACAATTGGAACTTGTCGATTTAATGAGAAATCAATAACTTATTTCTTTGCAAAAGCGAGAAATTACTACATTAGAACAAAGTTCACTTGAAGGTATAATTGAAATATGCAAGCAGAATCCAATAATAACTGTTATAGCAAGTTCATGATAATTTATCAAGGTGATCCTTTTGCTGGAAATGGTGTTATGTTGTAATAATTAGCTAATGCTTAGATAATCCCCCCGAGGAGGGGGTACTAATCTTTCTAGGTTTTAATACACAATAGGTCTTGATAATATAATGGATTCACTTCAGCACAGGGATTATATTTGAAATCTGAAAAATTCAGTCATCATAATAAGCAAATATATTTTAAGATAACTTAACTATATACTTATATTAATGATTTATATTCTCTTTTTACAGGTTATATTTTAAAGGAGAGCTCAGTTTCTTTATATACTGATAGAGCAATGATTATCAACAAAAGTCGTAGTGGCCGTAGCCTTAACATGGGACAGTGCCCCACCCCCTCCTGCCTCTTCTGCTCAACAAACTGTAGCATTTGATATGAATTTTTTTTTAAATTGATCTTAACAAGAGTCTCTATGTCCCATTTTTAAGGCTTCTGCTGTAAATTCTATGAAGGGAGTTGAAGGCAGAGTTGCAAACTTTTTGTGAAACTCATAGTACACATGTGAGAATTTCGTCGCGAAAAAATGCAGCTTTACTTCAGTTTGCTGACAAGAAATATATCTTGCGAAATTTTTTTCGTGCAGAATTTGTTTTGCAAAGAGACTCGTTCTGATCCAAACTATCTCTACTTTAGTATATATCATTCATTCATATCATCACCGTTGTATTTCTCAATAAAAAGTTGCCCGCAATTAGTAATCATATTCAGCTGAAAGATCTTATTTTGGTTTTGCACTATTTCTACCTTTCATTTTGATAAATTTATTTTTATGTCAATGTGTCCAGAAAGCTCCTCTTTTGATTCTGATGATTTAATTTCCAAAACCCTCAATAATCTTTTATTCAGTGAATCGTTGGCTGTTAATCATTTACACGAGCAGTACAAATTTTCACCTTGGTCAATTAATCTGTTTCATTATTCACTACATTCAATTAAAAAAACTTTGCAATCCAATGGAAAAATAGTTGTTTCTGGCATTGGAAAAAGTTATAAGCTTGCGAAAAAAATGGTTGCAACTCTATCTTCATTTTCGATTAATTCAGCTGCTCTTCACCCTGTTGAAGCTTTGCATGGTGATTTAGGTGTGATTAAAGAAGGAGATGCACTTATTGTTATTAGTTCTTCTGGTAACTCAATAGAAATATCACAATTACTAAATCATGTTGATAATGAAGTTAAAATTATTTTATTAACTTGTCAAAGAAACTCAAAATTAGAAAGAAATGAAAAAGTGAACAGTCTTATATATGCCGAATTACCTTTTTCATGCAAAGAAGAAAATGTTTATGGTATAAATGCACCAACGATTAGCACTACATTGTTGATGATTTTAGCCGATTGTTTTTCTGTTTGCTTATTCAAATCTTTAACAAATGACGACGACGAGAGGAAAATATTGTTTGGCAATAAGCATCCTGGAGGTGCAATAGGTGAAGCTTACAATTCACAGATGTCCGCTATAGATCCCGAACCAACTTTTAAAGAATATTTTCTTGAACCTAATTTGAGTTCCAGTCAATCCTCAACTACCGATTTTGATATTTTTTCATCTGAAAACCAATCTATCACCTCTGCCTGTTATTCACCAAATGAAGGATTGAAAAAAAATTCAAAACCTGATAGTTTTCAAACTAATATCGAACTATCCTTTGATTTTGATTATTCTTCTCAATTTGTTATTGATTATTCTTTGTCTAGAATGATTCACTGTGAAAAAAATAAAGCCAAAATGTTTTACTCTGAAAATTTCAGAAATCAAATTCTTGAACATTTCAATATTGAATCTGAATTAAAATTTCTTCAGACGGTTTGTTCAACCGACTTTATTGTTGATTATGATTATAAATCAGGTTTATCTTTTGCAGCCAGATCACTGGAATTATTGCGCACGTACAATCTTTGTAATGATTCGTATGGATTAAATGAAAATGACGCTCGGTTAAAAGAACTTAATTGGAGGCTTTGCAATATTTTCAAAAGAGTTGTAACTAATTAAATGACCGTTTTCTCTTATCATTAACAGCAATCTATTTGATATGATCTTTTTAGTTTTATAACTATCATAATTTTACAGTTTATCAGTTTTTTTGTTTTGTTTTACCTAGACGCTTCGAAGTGAAACAAAAACATTATATATCAATAGATTGGTCGAGTTCTATTTCTTTAAAATCAATACATGCTGCGACTTAAAAATATTCCTTTTTTTATGAAATAGTGGTTATTATATATTTCCAAAAGAAAAAGTCAAATAATGTTTGAACATTATTTATAAATTGGTATATCATGAAATGTGACATTTCCTTCCATTATATATGCAATTTTAACTCACTAGCTTTTAGACATCTTTAGATTAACTAAAAAAATGATTTCTTTATATCTTTAAAGCTCTTTATGAGTAAATTTATAGGAAATTTGGAGTAATATTACTCTACTTTTGATTTTTTTTTCTGTTTTTGTGAAAAGTGGAAACTAGACAACCAAAACCTAACGCCACTCCTTTCTATTATTCTGCTTTTTGGCACTCATTCAGACTCCTCTCAACTGGAGGCGTATTCGTATGGTAGTGTGAGAAACATATCAAATTTTGTGGCCAAAACATATTTGGTTGGCGGAAGTAACGTATTTGGAGCGGATTTAATTTTAATTGTTTGGTGGTCCATTTGAACAGGGTACCTGATCCATATGAAGTCGACAAAGTGATTCATTATGATCTTGACCTATTCACCCATACTAAACCTCATCAATCTAGACAATCATATTTTTAATCTCGAAATATTAATTGTTTTATATGCTGTAACAAAATAATCTCTCATAGTGCTTGAATTCAACATAATCAAATTATGCTGCGAAGTAAACGAACTTTTTCCAGTAAGAAAACTAGAACGAACACCAAGTTGATCAAAATCGAAAAAACAAGCTCTTCTAATAATTACAGCTTTAAGCACTTTTCTCGGTTATTTGTGAATAATAATGTTCCAGATCATTTGAAGAAGCTTTTTGAAGGTAAGTTAGTGTACAATAATCGCTATGAAGCTTCCTCTGATGAAACTGATGAAACTGATGAAACTGATGAAATTGTGTCTGATAGTGATGATTGTCAGATTGAAATCCCCCGAAAAGCTGAAATAAAGAACATTCAAGCTGGTCATAAAGACAAGTCAAGCGCTACAGAAAAAAAAACCAATCCAGAAAAGAAGCCAAATGGGATTAAAGTTTTTGATATATTCCGTAATAGAAACTCTTTTACTGTCCATATTTCAAATCCAAAACATTTGCCCAAACAAACTAATGACTGTTTCTCAAATTTAAATCTGTTTTCAAATGCTGGGTATTTTTCAAATTCTCTAGTACACGAGCTTGAAAGGCTAAATCAATGCTATTTTAGAAGCTGCTATAGAAATTTTTTTGTTAATACCAATTATTCCACACTAACACCAAACTATAAAATACTACTGTCTACAGAAGTAAATGCATTTGCATGGTTTTTGAACGCTGAGCATATAAAAACAGGAAAATCAAAATATTGTTTTTTGATAAAATTTAATCAAGAGAAATTTCTTCACCCGAGAGTATTTCGATTTCACCTTATTGCAAATAGAACCATTTTTATTGATGACACTGTTTGTTATATACATCAACCCCTTGATGTTTATTTCAATTGGAAAGTTGTGCTTAATCCATCCAATTCATAGCTCTCTTTACTCCCTTTTCCCATAATTCCCATTCTCTCTGTCTCTGATCTTCACTCATTTGACAGTGGAACTCTCTTTTTGAATTGGCAGAATTTTTCGACAATGTTTTGGTAGCCTGATTTGTAGCAGATCTGACGTCATCTAAGTCCTTCCATAATCTAAGGGAAGAATCTTGAAAAGACAAGCCTGCTGCAATTGCCGCACCCAAAGCTGTAGATTCAGAAGTTGTGGACCTTTCAATAACAATTTTGTCACCCAAACAATCTGCTTGCATTTGCAAAACCTCGTCACTTTTTGACATTCCTCCATCCACTCGTAGCAATGAATTGGTGATAACAGCATTTTCAGCGCTTTTGAAGTCCGCTTGCATTGAGTTTATAACAGATCGTATTTGCTGGCAAATACCAATAATTGCTGCCTTGCAAATATGTGAGCTATTTGTGTATTGTGTTAGTCCAAAAATTGATCCTCTTGCTTTGGGGTCCCAATAAGGAGAGAAAAGTCCAGAGAAACAGGGTACAAAGACAACACCTGCAGTGTCTGCTGCTTGCGAAGCTAACTTTCCAATATCGCTTGACTTTTCAATCAATCTTAAGTTATCTCTTAGCCACTGCACAACAGAACCAGCAACAGCCACAGATCCTTCTAATGCATATGTTGGTTGACCACTAATCTGTGGAAACCAGTAACCTACTGTTGTCAAAAGTCCATTGCTTGAAATAATCTTTTGTTTTCCGGTGTTATATAAAATAAAACTTCCTGTCCCATAAGTGCACTTTGAATTATTTAACTCAAAACATGTCAATCCAACCAAAGATGATGATTGATCACCAATAGAGCCGCAAATCTGCACATTTGATAAGTGTTTTTCGATTAATTGAGTTGCATCAGTTGAAAGTTTAAAGTGTTTGCTACCAAATTTTTCAAAATTCGGTAATGTGAAAAAACCAAAATTTTCTGAGCAGGAGGTTATTTTAGGAAAAACAATGTTACGATGATCAATATTCCAGAGCTCAATAAGAGAATTATCGAACATATTGGTTTCCAAATTCATAAACATGGTCCGTGAAGCATTTGTAACATCTGTCAAATAATTGTGGTCTTTCGTGAAATTGTAAATTAACCACGTATCGATTGTACCGAACATTATTTTGTCAACTGAAGATATATCAGTGGTATTGTTATTTTTGCTGGAATTATAGATCTGTTTAACTTGGGGAGCATTATCGATCAACCATTTTAATTTTGAGCTTGAAAAGTATGTAGAAGGAACCAATCCCGTTTTCTGCTTTAAGTCCAGAAGTTTTTCTGGCCTGCAAGAATTGATAAATGAATCAACAATATGAGATGTTCTAGTGTCAGACCAAACAATACCAGAATATAATGGACAGCCAGTATTTCGAGACCAAACAAGAGTGGTCTCTCGCATATTTGTGACTCCAATACCCAAAATCCTAAAGGGCTTTTGATTTTTGAATTTTGAATTTGAAATCAGATGATTCTTTTTCTCTAATAGTTCAACAACCCTGGATACACATTGCACAACATTTTCTAAAATCTTGATTGGATTGATTTCAACCCAACCAGCCTTTGGAAAAATGAGAGTTGGGGCAGCTTTATAATTCATGTTTTGCTCAATTTCAACAAGCGATGATTGCTTAATTTCAACACCTTCGGCCGATAAAAATGATTCAAAACCACTGCCTCTCGAAAAATCGGGTTTGAGTTTGATAGCATCAGTAGGCGTGTTTTCATCTTGAGCACAATTTGATGAGGTTGAATATTCAATTTGATGATTTGCAATTTCGTTGGCATTGCGGTCAAAGATGATAGCCCTCGTGGAGGTAGTTCCCACATCGATAGAAAGAATAACAGGAATTGACATTTTTTAAGAGTGTTGAAATAAAATAAAATGTTATCAGATGAATTGAAATAAGATTGTTGATGTGAAATAAAACCCAGTTCATGTGTTTGTGTAGACCAGAGAATAACGACTGAAGTGGCCCTGACAAGATCAAATGAAAAGCAGATATTAGAAACCAGTTACTGATAGATTGTATAGTCTTACTATTTCTCCGCAAAATAAATTGCTGTATTTGATATTTATGGTTGCTACCAGGGAGAAAAAAAATTGGGTTCCAAACGCTATTAATATCCAGTGTGGGTTTTGTGATTCAATTGGGAGTAATATGCTAGAATTCTTGTTCTTGTGATGTCGCCTAATATTGAGTCTGATTTTGCATCTCTACCAGCAGACATTTCGCAAAGCAGAAGTTGTACCAGAGAACTAATGGGCGGTATGCAGCCTCTGATGGTGATTGGCATTCAAAGCAGGAGGATAATCAAAGTGGATTTGGAAAACCCTGGTAAAAAAACACACAGAAACACTATTTATAAAATTAAAGAATGTTTGAAGCCAGAACTTGGTGAGTTTTTGGGCACGATGGTTCTAGTAACATTTGGAGATGGAGTGGTAGCTCAAGTTCGACTTTCAAACCAAAATGCTGGCAACTACACTTCCATTGCATTGGGGTGGGCTTCTGCTGTGATGTTGGGATTCGTTGCTAGTGGAGGAGACCCAGGTCATTTGAATCCAGGCGTGACAATAAGTGCAGCAATATTTAGAAGATTTCGCTGGAAAAGAGTGCCATCTGTGATATTAGCACAGTTGCTAGGTGGGTTTATCGGTAGCTGTGTGGTATACGCTACATACGTTGGATCAATCAATCAATTTGAAGGTGGACCAGATATAAGAAGCATTTTTGGGGAGAAGGAAACTGCATCCATATTTTGCACGTTTCCTCAATCGTATTTAACTTGGAGCCAAAAATTCATTTCAGAATTGATTCCAAGCATTTTACTTCAAATTGGTATATTTAGTTTGTCAGATTTCCATGGCCATACATCTCCATCAAACACCTGCTTGCCAATCGGTTTATTTATATTGATTCTTGCCATCGGCTCTTCTTTTGGGTTTCAGACTGGTTACGCTATTAATATGGCAAGAGATTTTGCACCAAGAGTGGCTGCCTCCTTCTTAGGTTATGGAGTGACGATGTTTACAGCATATGATCACTATTTTTGGATTCCTATTGTCGCTCCAATAATAGGTTGTATTATTGGAAGTATCATTTACGACACACTTATATATACAGGGGACGATTCTCGTATCAACCAGAAAGTGTTTGGTGTTACCAAAAAGATGAAAATCAGTTCAACCTATTTTTAAATTGGAGCTCACAATTTCATGGTGTGAGTAGCATCTGGCTGGGGGAAGTTGGTGCTGACGCTGGTGCTGGTGCTGAAGAAGGAGATGGAGCAAGATTTACAGTCAAAGTGAAGCAATTACCCTGTCTACGAAGCTGCCTTTCTTGAGTCTACCCTTTCTAAGGTGGGTAACGTGACGTCTGGAAAGCTCGTTTCCCCTTGGAAATAAGCCATACTTCCTCTCTATAGTCTTACAATCTTTTCCTTTAATGTTACACCTAATTACCTTATTCCACCCTGCTATTATCACTTGGAAATAAGGATACGTACAATCAAGTAATCTATATATACTAGCTGAAATGTTAATCACGTGTACCGTATCTCAACAGCCTTGTCAAGCTTGCTTTGTAGTTGCTGCTTATCAAGCCTGGTTATTACTTGGTTGTTAAACATTTTTTCGACTGGTTATTGGACACTAGTGAGAAAATGAATCCTCCCATTAAACACTCAAAAAAACTAACTAATTCGTTCTATACTTCTAGAAAAAAAAATTCACCACTGATTGTTGAACGCTTGCGAAACGCTTCAAAAAAACGAAAAATAAGTTTGGATCCACCTGAGATTATATGTCTTCTGGAGGATGAGGAAGATGTGGAGGATGTAGAGGATCTGGAGGATCTGGAGGATGAGCAAGTGCTAAAAACTAATAGAACCGTAATCCAGTTAAACTCCGATGATCTTAATCTCCAAAACACAGACTCTCGGAGTAACCCATCTTTTTCCTCTGCTAAAAACTCAAAATCAGAGCAGAGCACTTTTTCCAATGATTTTGAAAGCTCTATAAATGGAGAGCAAACCATCATTGATTTAGATTCTGATAATGAGACACCTCAGACAAATGCCAACGATAATGTGATAAATCTTGGATTAAAAACAGCTACTGTCATTAAACCATCAAGTTCTCTTGAAACCAAGTTGATTAAATCCGAAAACAAGCATAAATCGCATGACAGATTTCACCAGTCAATTTTTATAAATCTTGCAAAAAATTCATCTGAGGAAAAGCCCTTGCAGAAACAGGCAAAATTCTCCAGGTCTTTCTACTATCAGGGAACTGGTGAGTCTGTTTCAGCTACAAATACGGCTGTTTTGAACATTACGTCTGGAAATATAGAGGGACAGCATTTTACAACAAATATTAAAAACCACAACTGTACTAATAGTTGTGATGGTCAAACAAATAAATCCCATAACAATTTCTGTAATAATTGTGCTCTTCAGGATACAAGTTTGCTAGTTAACCCTAACCAAGATCTTTCCAAAGTTACAAGTGAAAGGAAACCAAAAGTTAATTCAGGTGGGCGAAATCTCATTGAACTCACAAATAAGGTTCTGTTTGAAGAAAAAACGAATAGTACTAATAATGATGATGAATCAATTCGGCGGTTTTGTCTTTCAAATAAGTTTATTAATAAAAACTCACATTTGGCTTTTCTGCGGTCTATTTATCCTACACGCTTTAGTGATTTTTTTGGAAATGATCATCTTGTTCATCCAGTGTATGGGTTTTTGCCTTGCTTTGCTACTGGGAATATGCTACCCAAATTACTAATTTTCTATGGGGAAGCTAAAAGTGGGAAAACAACATTGATCAATTTTTTTTTGCGCCAACTATCATCTCAAAAGTTTTTAATTAAATCATATAGTTTGGTTGAAGAGAGAAACGTCTCTCAGATTCGTCGAGAGCTTCGTCAGCTTCTGGACTTAGTTCAAACACTGAATTATTTGAAAAATAAAAGAATAATTGTATTTTTAGATGATTTTCAAGAATTGCTTGGTATTTCTCGTGATGGCTTTTTAAAATTGATTGAAAATAAAAAATTTCTCTTAATTTTATGTTTTAATGCAGATCCTTTGTTGTTCATCTCCAAATATTACTTATCATTTGCTTTTATTTTAAGAATTTCATCTCCGACAGGTGCTGCTTTTTTGGAATTTTTTAGAAAGAATCTCAGCAAAATCACTGACCTCAAAATTAAAGTGAAACTAAATAATATCCAGAGTAGTGTTATTGGGTCACCAACTAAAGATGGAAGTCAACAGTGCTTTAGCAACGATTCTTTGAAACTAGCATCCAAAACCTGCGGAGAGCACCTATCTATAGCCATTTTAGTTTTGAACACAATATTTCTAAATTATGACTTTTTTATGAAATGCAATCAAAACATCTCAACTGAAAATATGAAAACTTTTCTAAGAAAGCATAAATCTTATATTCTCGACAGTTGCTACCGAAAAGATATCATTACCTTAGATTTACAATCAGCACTCGAGAATGCGATTTTTAGTGATAATAAAAATTTAAGCATATATTATTTCTACAAATTGTTAGATTTAAATGTCCAACCTTTGACCATTGCTGGGAACTTGATTAAATTTGCTGGTAAGAGATTTTTACTGATTCCTCGTAAAAATAGGTTTAGTGATAATTCTGAAGATCAGCTATTTATGGAACTTTTAGACAAAAAACAACCTACAGAACTGATGGATGTTTCAACACAGCAGTCTCCCATAAAGCACAATTTTGGCTTAAATGACAAGGTTGAAAATCCTTGGGGACTTGTGCAATCCGATCCCAGAGAATATTCAGCTTTGACAGCATCAGTGGCTGCTTATGATTCCTTTGAAAATCTTGGAATGGATGAAGGATTGCTTTCTATAATACACGGGATTTATATAATGAGTGAAGTTGAGGATAGAACAGAGTGTCTTCCTAATTTATATCAAAAGATATCAAATTTGGAACTATTTTCAGCAGAAAACTCGGGTTTGTTGGACGCTGTAGAAAATAACATCAACGATATTGTTGTGAACAATATCAAAAATAGGTCTGAGTCATTGATAGCGTATGAAAAGTGCTTTGAGGAGTTTGATCGTTATTTTACTAATCTATAGGTAATTGAGCAGAGTGAGTGAGTTACACAACTCACTCTGAGTTTCGTATCTTTCTTTCTGTTTCTCAGTAACTTGGGTTTGCTTGGGGTCAATTTGGGGATAGCGCCTAACACGGAGAAGGCAAAACTGAATCTCCAAAAATCCAGCGTCTTGAGAAACAGAGAACACACCACCACACAAAAGAAAGTGCTGTGCTTGCTGTCTCCAATGGATTTTTCTGGTTTATTGCAACAATTGGACAGGAGGCCTTTAGATGGGAACATATCTTTATCTAATTTGGATGATACAGAACAGTATAAAACAACTCAAAGAGCTCTGCTTGCTTTCTCGCCTGTTGGTGATTACAATGCATCCCTACAAGCTACCAAAAATATCATGACTGAGCTTAAGGAGATCAGTGCAGCTTCTGTTGGTACGCTGGATAGATTCGATGATTCTATTTACGATTTCTTGATCAATAATGAAAAATTCAAAGGAGCCTATCATTTAATATTTGATAACCAAAGTAGGAAATCAACAATTGAAAATAATTACTCCCTAGAATTTAAGATGAAACCCCAATGTCTTGATGATATAATCGGGCTAAAATTTCACAAATCAGTTATTATTCACTCAATTTTTACGCAAACCAACCTACCCTCGTTTATTTTATACGGCCCTCCTGGTGTGGGTAAAACCTCCTTGGTAAATGTGCTTCATAAAGAATTTAGCCAACGATATAAATGCTTCAAAATGGATGCGATAACCATTGCCACGAATACGATGGAAAATTTGTGCAAGCAATACGCAAATGCGAAAAACCAGAATTGGAAAGCCCACTCTATTCAAATACTAACTCAAGAAACATTAGTAGAGGGACCGAAAACAATCATATTTATTGATGGATTGGATATCATTCCAAAGAATCAGCAGCAGGAATTATTACGATTGTTGGAGTTGGAGCATATATCCTTGATTGCAACATGTTCAGAAAACCTTTCAAAGCATATTATTGAGGATATCATTTCAAGATGTCACAATATAAAAGTCGATATCTTAGATAAAACGAATATGAAATACTTTGTTCAAAAGGCTATGAGCGCAATCAATGAAATTAGGTCCAGATCGTCTCATAATCGTGATGAATTATTGAATGAAATGTCTCATTATTCACTTTTTAAGTTTAGTCCTTGCTCAATTGATTATATTTCCCAACTATCCAAAGGCGATTGCAGAAATGTGATTAAAATGCTTAATGTATTAGATGGAGTCCATAGAGATTTTAATTCAATAGTAAACATAGATATTTCAAGCTTGGAAACGTTACTTAATGATGACATCTATATTTCCGAATGTAAACCGGTTCTTGATATAAACCTGGATTCCAATTTCAAAAGACTTGTGGTGGGTGAAGATGCGTATCTGAGAAATGACGGTTTAGCCTCTAAAGTATTTTTCAAGGTTTTTTCTTCTAATTTTTCAGTAAGTTTTGATCCACTTGTATTTCTGTTCTTTGAAAATATGGTTCGAGGTGAGGAGTTATTTTATTTGGATTTATTAGATCAAATTCAAAAGTATTACCAAAATATTTATCTTAACAGGAAGTTTTCTTTCTTGGATTTGAGAAATTTTATTAAAAATAATATGGATGATGTTGAACAACTAAAAATATTAAAGGATTTAAATTTGTTTTTTTCTGATATTTCAAAGGGCAGTGTTTCTGACTTTGTGATTCAAAGAAAATTTAGTATTATTGAACAAGGGAGATTTTGCTATGATATTTCTGCAATTAATGACTTTTATGAAATAATTGATCAAGCGGTTGATGATGAGTTAATGTTTTCTGACTGCTCTGCAGCCCCAGATTACGATAATTATTCAGACGTTTTAATATCATCGGAAATACCTAGTTATGCCACATTTATGGAGGTTTTTAAACACAAATTTTTCAGAGAAATAATTATAAACGGCGATGTCCAATGTTTATATAATTTGCTTTATCGATCAATATTAGAGAAAGAAAACTTTCGGGCTTATTTTTTTACTCTTGCTTTACTTTATGAAGATAATTATCGTTTTTCTCCTTACACTTTTAGTGTGAGTGATGTGTGTGATTTTTTGCGCCAGATTTCAGCAATCAGCATACCCAGCATAACAAAGAAGGAGTTCTCTTACAATATCTATGAGAGCTTTTCGAATCTTAATGATATTTTGGAAATTTGTGCTACTAAAGCAAATTTTCTAATTAAATATTACTATAGAAATTTCACAATATTCATTGATAAGTTGATTGAAAACATTCAATCTGGATATTTAATTACAAATATACAAGAAAATTTTGAAAGACACAGCAAAATCAACTTGTATTATTTAAATTCACAAGTTCCTTATCACCTAAGGAATGCTCCTGATTATCGAATGGCTGAGTTAGGGTTTTCAGTTGGTTATAAATATAATCCAAACTACAAATTCGGAAGGGTATTTCAAAAGTATTTACCCAATGAGCTTGAGGATCTATATGAAATAAAGTTCAACATAAATAATAAATGAGAGAAAAACAATAATTAAAGGAAGAACAATAATGATTTTGCAAAATAAGTTATATTAGAATATTTTGGAATTCAATAAAGGCAGCTAGACATCAAATAAACATCGGACCGAAAATGAAAAGCTTGAGTTCCATGCAATCAAGTATTTGATTTGATAGATACTAGAAATAAAAATAAAAAAGGTAAAAAAAATTGGGGCGCAAACACACCTTGGAATGACACTAGTAACTAAGCAAGAATGCAAAATTAAATACAAGTAATAGAATAATAGAATAGTAGAGTAAATAGTGAACGGTCAAGATAAATCAATCTCGCTAATTCTTATCCTGAAAAAAATCAAATGATTCCCAATGTTTGTTTTCGCTATATTTCTGTGTCTTGTGCTTGGAATAAACTACATTTTGGTCGAAAGTAAAGTTGAAATCTGGAAGATTTAAAGTCTCAGAGTTTGAAGTGGGTTGAATCTGTGTTTTGTTCACACTATCAACTTGTTCCCCAGAATGGTTATTAGTGGTGAAAACAATTTTGGAAAGATCCATTGGTTGCTGCAGATAGTCATGTCTTTCTTTCAATCCTTCTGAGATAACTCTAGAATTAAATTTTACAGCCATAGGAATTGCAACAGGTTTGCAGAGTGTAGCTTCTGTCTCTTTCTCTTTATACAATGAATAGGAAAAATAAACCTTTGAAGATTTGAAAGTACTTGCTAGCAATACACATAAGTCAATAAGTTTTGCCTTTATAAGTGAGTGAATATGCAGGGTATTCATATTATCACAGTTTGATTTGGAGGATAGTATCATCTTAGTTATGTTTTGGTAATTGGATAATACTAAGAAGAAGCAGCGGTTATTTGCAACCCCTATATCCTCAGAAGCAATAACCATTAATCGTCTCAAAATGTATAAATAAACATCAAAATTGTGAGATTTAGTCATTCTCGTCAAATAATAAAGAGAGGCAGTAATATCCGAGCCTCTGATAGATTTTTGGAGTGCAGAAATGTAATCGTATTTCATTTCCTCATTGAAATTTGAAAACAGAAACCTTTCAGAAAATGATGACAAATTAGCCTCAAAGTCTAGAAATCCAGCTGAGACAATACAACGACTACTCTCCTTAAAAAATGTTTTATGGATGAGAATTAGATTATTAATTGCAACTATTAAATTGCCTTGAGAAAAAGAAATCAAAGTGGATAATAAATTACTGGGCAAGTTGATATTCAAAAACCTAGCACCTTTAGATAGAACCAACGACATGTCGTTGGGGTTTGTAGTTTTGAAATCTAAAATGCCAACCTCAGAAATCAAAATCGCCAGTTTTAAAGACCTTGAGGAATTACTGACCAATAGGTTGGTAGAAGAGCAGCATATCAAACTCAACTTTTTAGTTTTAATATAATCACCAAGTTTTTCAAAACCTTGAATCTTTTTCAACCTCTCAACCTGATCGAAAAATAAATAGCAGTGCGTCGACAGGTTTTTGTTCAGTAGGGTTTTCAAACAATTAAAAACCGTTTCCTGGATATTGACAGTATCAGAAAAGATACTGAAGACATGACATGAATCATTGGCATTTTGGAAAGTGTAATCAAGCAAAATCTTTAGAAACGAAGTTTTGCCTGAACCCGAAGGCCCCCATATAAACAAGGAGGGCAAATGGGACTTGCTAAGAATGCTCTTAACCACTAATTTGGCAAACCTGCCTTTTGGAAAACCAAATAAATGAGACTGCCCAATAATTTCATTTAACGATTTTGGTCTTAGATACTCATTTAACAGCGTAATCTGTTCACTCAACATTATATTATCAATTGGTTTCTAGATAATATCTTGTTGTGTATTCTCTTCGCAACTTATGTTGAAAGACGTGGTCACGATACTCAATCGAGAGAATCGGAATCTGAGCTCTTAATGTGCACCAATACAAGAATAGCCAGTATCAGCAATAATAACAATAAACCCAAATGTTGTTGATGTCTTCTGAAGCGCAGATTGATTTGATGGTCTAATGGAACAAACAGATGTTGGCAATATGTTGAAAGAGTGTCTTGTTGACTGGCCTGAAAACAAGAACCTTATGAAAGTTTTAGGGTTATCCAAGGACAACCTTTTTGAGATTTTAAAACAACAAAAATCAAAGGATGATAAGGTTTTGATGACTCCAATGGTTTTGGAAAACTGGAGAGTGAATTCAATGATACTTATAGGATCTACTGGGTCCCTCAAAGAGTTGATAATTGATTTGTTTAAAGACTATTATAGCAGCTTTAGCAACATTTCATTTTTACATTATTTGAAGGATGGTGAGCTTTCAACAATAGAAAAATTAAAGTCCAGGCTTATTCGGTTAAGCAAATTGGTACAAACCAAGAGGTATAATTTTTTAATAATCAATCAATTCAACAAAATTTCTAAAACCACACAGTATTTGATTAAATCACTCATTGAAAATAATAAGATAATTTTGATTGGTCTAGTGGATTTAGATTCTACACAGAATTTCCAAAACCAAAATTTGATTAAAGCACTTAGTTATATAGATAAAGGTTTGCTTTCAATGGCAACCGTTTGGAAGATCAGTGATTTACAAAGTAAAGAGAACACCGAACAATTCATACACATGTACATTCTGAAATTAAATAAAATGTACATGAATAAAGCTGAGAATTTTTCAGATGGCAGTCAACTCAAAATCCTGATCGAGTTTTCTGAGAAAAGCATTGCTTATGTCTGCAGTTTATGTGATGGAAATATATTTTCCATGGCCAATTACTTGAAAGTTTTACATAATCATTATTGTGTTATTTCTCAATTATCCTATAATAAATTGGAAGCTAAAAATTTTCCTGGAGATCAATTATATCAAGATGACAAGTATAGTCAATTATTTGCCGATATCATAAAGAAAAGTGATAGGGCTGTCAAATATGCTGAAAACTCTGTTCCTAAACAAAAGATTGTTTCAATCGTTGTTGATGAGAAATTGATCAAACACTTGATGAAAACAACTTGCCTCTCTACCAACTATGAGTCTGGTTCAAGTCTGGACAATACTAACGAGATTCATTTCCTAAATTTAGAAAACTTGCTACTTGAAAAGAAAAACTATAAATTGGCAATTTTTGAGGTGTTGTTTATTCGAAACAAACAACAGCTATCAACAGCTAAAATCCTAAGTCGGTTAGCAATTATAACATTAAAAGGAAACTACAATAAAAAACAGAGCATCTCATCAGAGAAATTTTTTCGTCTAAGTCGAGTCTTAGAGGAGCTCAACAGCTCTATCAAAGCCATCAGAACAGTAGGAGAAATGGATAGAAAATTTGTTGATATTATTTTAATTCGATGCATTTTAAATATATACAAATACTTTCAATACGAGGATAATCTATAAAAGTAAATTGGATGATTCCAATAAAAGAGCAAGGTATGTTTCCAGTCCAATGGGTATAAATTTGATGCGTGAGTCAAGTACTTTTTTGTTTCTTTCGTATATGAAAATTGATAATAAATGTTTGCAGATTCGTTTGTTGAAAGGAAAATAAGAGGCACTTTTCTTGCTAAATTTCTCACATGAACAATACCAGTTTGCATAATTAGTTTTGGACATTTTAAAATTGGAAAACTTTGGGTTATTGTTTTTTATAAGGGATATGTATGCTTGGGCTTTCTTGTTATGATGAGTTTTTGAGTTTTTTAGCAAGTTAAATTCATCAAAAATAATTATTGAGTTAAAAGAATTTTTTTTATAATCGGTGTCAAAATAGTGTCTTTTAGAATGGAAAAGAGAACTTTTCAAAAACGTTGAATTTTTATAGTAGGTATTGGAGTTGAATAAAAAATTTGAATTTAAAATTGAAACTAGATTTGTGTAATTATGTGTCTGATTGATGTAGCCTAAGGTTTTGTTCAAGACTAATTTTCCATCAGCTAAGTAGTTGAAATTTATTACAGCATTCAAATACCTTTTAAATCCAAGTCTGATCAAGTCAATGTCGCTTTGAGTTAGATATAACCGATGCCCTTTACCTAAAACAATGTAATTTTGCCTGAAGGACCTGTTGTGAGTATGAGAATGGCTTGGTTCCCAAGTCTTTTCAAAGTTTTTGCGAATATCAACAAATTTGTCTTGTTTAATGTTGCTATCAATTATTTGCAAGCACCGTTTAATTGCAGCTGTATTTTTTCTTCTAAAATAGTTTTCAAAACATGAACTGTAGAACAATACATATATGGATTGGTTTTCGATGAGTGAAATTGAGTTGATGAAAGTTTCCGGAAAAATAAAACATAAAAGCAACGAGGTTTTTCTGTTGATTTGAATTCTATTTTGGGAATCGAGGTAAAATAGGTTATCAAAAATAAGCAGCTGCAATGCAAGGGGACTGTCGCTGTTGAGAGAAGAGTGTGGAATCATAATCCCAATCGTGATTTTCAAGCCAACTTTGAACAGAAACGATGTTTGAAGATGCGATTCCAAAAGAAGCCAGAATGGGCGAGCAATTCAACCTCCTTCTATTGTTGGGATGTTTCACCTTTCAAACCGCCCGTGAAATCGGATGTTCGCGCGTTTCGCGGCTGGTGGACGAAATGAAGTAATCATTGTTAAGAAAACCACCACCACTTGGCCATCGCTAATGCTTTTTGATCTTTGATTACTACACGAATTCAAACAATGGGCCAAGTAACCAGCAAAGATTCCTCTGATAATTTCTCTTCAGCAGTTGTGTTGACGGATCCAAATCTGTTCAATCTCAACAAAATTATAATAAAACAGCCTGATTCTGTCCGTCACAAGTCGTCGCCCAAGTCGTCAACTCCTTCTTTAATTTATATTGAAAACCAGAATCAGTTTCTTGATATTTCAGCATCTTCCAATGGCATCAATGATCTTTGTTCCTTTAAACAAAACTATGACACTGCAGATTATAAGTTTCCCTTCTTGTTGCAAATAGCTTCAGATTCTAAAATTTTATTCATCTTTGAGTCAAGCGCCAATTATATTAATTCATTATCTAACCCCACACAAATATCGTCTCACCTCGCTGAAACTGGCAATACAGAAGTTCCAATACAAAAATCAGGCCCTGAACCAGTGGAGGGATTTTGTTTTGAAACCGAATCTGAATTATATTCTTGCCATTCTACGAAAAAATCCGAATGTGATACGGACAACTCTGGGAACCACTCTTTACAGAACGTTGCTCCTCAAGAAAATGTGCATGGATCAAAACAATGTGCCAAAGAGTTAATCAAACCCGAGGACCCAGGCATAATGGCTTTTAACAATTTGTGCTTTGTAAGAGGGAAATCTGAAGCTGAAATTTCTCGAAAGCTATCGCTACTTGAGACTGCTAACTATCTCGATGAAGATATTTACATGGTAGGCGATGTATATAGAGAAGCAACCTCTGTCAATAATACCAGCCAAATCATTAATTTTAAAGATTTCTCAGAAGTATCTTCATCTACAGAAAATAACAGGCCTCCACAAGACCTGAATGCTTCATTTAAATTCTCGTTGTTTTATGAACCACCGCAAGGATCGTCCGGCAAATTTCTATATTTTGTTTACTCCTACAATTCTGCTATTCATGGCTTTCAGGAACTAGCAAGGTTTGGAGTATGGTTTGATCTTCCTCCAGAAGGATTTATTGATTACTCACAGGATTTCAATTTGATTCATCTGTTTGATATTCACGAATCCTTTTCCGATAAAAGTCTGGGTGACTTACAGTTTAAAAAGAGAAATCCCAGCAGAAACTCTAACGATATGAGTTTATCCAAATCGAATTCCAATCAAAATATTAATAGAAAACCGGAGAAAGCAATACACCATCAATCTAAAATGTTTCAAAATATGACCTCTAGTGATGCTGCTAATACTATAAAACATCAGGATGTTTGGGCTGAAAGTAATGATGACTCCTTGAAAAAAGATTTTAATTTTGTTCCAATTAGCTTATTGACCAATTATCCCAATTCTTATTACTCTTCTGAAAATGAAACATCAAGAGGCTTTTTTTTATTGGATAGTTCAGAGATTCCAGATGAAGCAACTTTATTTTTACTAAAAAATCTATTGAAGGTCCTTATTAAAAAATGTGAACTAGTTGATTTGAGTTTCCAAAATTCAATTCGAACGAAATCAGAGTTTTTACTGAGTCTAAACACTTTTATTCATACTTCATCATCCAATTATTCCACTTGCTTGCAGTTTACTATTATTTTTGATTATTTTAGCAATCAGTTGAAACGAAGCTTAGAATTTGACAACAGTCAGCTGCAATGCTTCAAAACCTATATTGCAAAACCTTTGAAATCTTTTTATAATAAAATTAATTTAAAATATTTCTCTTTAAAAAAAAAAGAAGTTGAAGAAAAGACAAAAGGTGTTCATATTTCGTTTTCCAAAAATGACTTTCTAAAAAAAGAAATTCAAGACCCAAATTGTAAAGATATATTAAAAATTGACTCTGCTAAAATTAGTCAAAAGAAGTATCTCCTGTTGTTTCTGTTTTCCTCGCTGTCAAATAACCAAAAACCGTTTCTGATTCAAAAATCTCTCTCAATTTTTCAGTTTGACTATTTAAATAGTATTGACGTTTTGTTTAATAAGCATTTTGTCAAAGAGATTGTTTTAAGCTTTTGTTATTTTCTTCTGGAAACATTTTTGCAAGTGCTGAAATTGCTTAGAGGATTTGATACCCTGCTTCCTCCAATCCGGAAGTATCTTGAATCCCAAAAACATTTGATTACTAATTTTACCTCTCAGGTTCAAAATTTCCTTCAACGATGGGATTTTTATCAAGAGGTTCGATTGACTCAAAAGAAGAGATTGGAATGTTGTCTGGAAAGAAAAGGGTTGGAAAAAGTAATTAGCGATATCTGTTCTGAAAAGTTTTCTGCTTTATCTGTTGCTAAAGAAGGAATTTTATGGTTTTATATCTTATCTGAAAACTCTGCTTGGAGGAAAAGCAGCGCAATTTTAAAAGATGGTTATCTTACTTGTATTCCTATTTCTCATAACAGCACCAAACAAGGTTTTGATTTGAGGAATTTAACGGTGAAACCTTCTAGCTTCAACAACGACAGAAGGTTTTGTTTTGAATTGAAGGATGAAAAGCAACTAAAGGTTCTTTTTCAAGCCAGTAATGAGCAAGATAAAAATTCTTGGATCACTGCAATTCAATTTTGGAGTAAAAATCACAATATCCATCCATTGGTGGATCCGAAATATCACTCTGTTCGTGATTCCAGCATTTCACTTCGACAATCACATACATTCATGGGTCTACCAGAAGAATTTCCAAATAAAACTGGTTACCAAACCACGAAAAACCTTACGAAGTCGGCCGAAACCACTAAATCAATTGAAATAAATTATTTGGAAGTTGTGAGAGAAATTGATTCTTCAAATTATTTATGTTGTGATTGTCTTTCATCCAAAGCTGTTGAGTGGATATCCGTTAACATGTTAATTGTTCTCTGCATTGATTGTGCTGGTGTACACCGAAGCTTAGGTACACATATCTCTAAGATTCGATCTTTGACTTTAGATGTTTCTATTTTTACACGGGAAATGACTAAATTGTTATCCTCTGTCTCAAATGCTGTTGCCAATAGTTACTGGGAATTTAATCTCTTAAATAAAACCAAATTAATTTCTGCTGATTCTTCCACTGCACAAAGATCGATTTTTATCACTAATAAATATAAACATAAACAATATATTGAACATGATATTAAAGTGCACAATCATTTGATATATGGTATCCATTCAAACAACATACAAATGATACTTCGTGCGCTTGCTAATAATGGAAATCCCAATATGGTTGTAATTAAAGGAAAGAATCAAGAGGTAGAGTCTACATTACTAGAGTACTCTCTTACTCATTTTTCAGAAGCAGATTCTTGTCCCATATTTGAAATTGCTGAATTACTAATCTTAAATGGAGCTTTGGTGGGTGAGAAGATATCTAACCGAATGAATCTATTAAAAGAAGCAAAAGATTATTGGCAGTCAAAGATAGATCGTTCAATTGGAATGTCCAAAGAACGCAATTAATTGAGCATATTTTGATTTTTATTTTCTTTATATAAGAGCGGTGATTTGTTTTTGGTTACAAGAGCTATTTTCGTCTGGATAAATCAGAATATCAACTCATCTGGTATTGAATTTTATGACAATTAAAATGACAACTTAGTAAATAAGTTTTTGATAATATACACGTTTACAATTGTTTGCTTATTGGTTGGTACTGTTTTGTTTTCCTACTCAATTTACCTCTTTACCCTAAGGATCTTTGTTATTTTTAGTGAAAAATTTCTATTTTTCTCATCCAACTTTTTAATAATGATTTAACCCTTGTTGTTTAGTAACAATATATTTAAGCTATTTAAAATATGAAAAAAGTATAAGTCATTTTGAAATTCAAAAAATTATACATTGTTGATCTCACTATTGTCAAGGGTATAGTCGAACAGAAAGCAAAAAAATAAACTCTAAATAATAGTATCTTCTTCATTAAGTAGTATCCAAGATAGCCTTTTAATTTGAAGCTGTTGAGCATTTTTTATTTCCATAGTGATTACAGAATAACACCTAAATTGATAAATATAAAGGGGGACTGTTTGCCTTTATCAAACTCCATCATATTATTAATATTCGCAAAGAAGATCAAATGCTGTAAATTAATTTAACTGAGAGAGGTTTTTAACTGGACAAAACAGAAAAAAACATCAATACAGAATTTCTGACACCAACAAAATAACCAAGGGCTTTTGAAAAAACTGTTGTTTTTAAACAAGAAAACTAAAGACAAATAATTACTAATTCTTAAGTGTCATTGAAGTGCATTTTCTATCTTATATATTTTAGGGGACAAAAAGATTATGATTGCATACAGTGATGTTCTCCAGAAGTAAAAGTTTGAAACTACATTTAATATTACTAATATTTTCATAGTAAGTGAAATCAGTATTAACTATATAGAATAGTGGGATAGAATTACTGTATTTTATATAGCACTGAGAAGAATGGCTTTAATAACTTCTGAGTAATATTGCAGTCACTACTGTAACTTTTTTCTTTTTATAGAATAGAAAGAAAACAGATGATAAATAATTAAGATTGATCAATATTCTATCGTTGTAGAAACTTGAGAAAGAATTTGATGTAAGCAGTTTGGTCTACAAAGAATATATCTCATTCGCTACAAAAACGTCTATAAACGCCAGTCTCCAATCGACTTCCGAGGCACAACTTGTCGGAGAGCGAAACCCGATAACAGCACAAAAACGCCGCCGATCGCTGGACGACAGCCTGAAAAATTCAGCGTAGAAAATTGCCTAAGCGGTAAATCATGGAGAACAAATTATCTCCACGAAAATGGTTGCTAGCCGCGATATCCTGATTTCATCACTTTCACTCACTCACAATACTTGCAAAACCATTCTGCTCCAGCTCACTATCTCAAAAATAAAAGCAATGAAAAGTTCTAACCCAATCATTGGTTTGGTGGAACAAGTAGCTGAAAGAAAATTGGATTTCCTGGAGATCGACTTGATTTTAAACTCTACTTTAGATGACAAAATCGGAGGGGTTTTTTCATCAGAGATTTCCCTCTCTGATGCTCAGCGACAACAAATATATCTTCAGAAAGTCTCCAGCACAGACTCAGACAGCAAACGTGAACAAGCCGGTAATTCAGCAAAAGCAGTTCTCAAGAAACCTTCTTCATCTACCTCTTCATTTATTTCTGACTCAAAAGTTGAGGATGCTTCTATTGATTCATCAGAGGATGATAAATCAGAATCCAGCAATAATACAACCATTTTATCAAAGCTTCAGAGAAAGTTTTCTAGAAAATCCAAGGTAAGGCCAAAACTGCAAAAATCTCTTCGAAACCCATCAATTTCAAGACCCTCATCTCTGTCACTGTCCACAAACATTTCCTCAAATGAATTTTCCAATTATTCCTTTGACGCTGTTAAGGACTTGAATGCTAGAGCTAATCATCTTAATTCCAAACAGTTACAAAATGGCACTAAAGAATTAAATCTTCTTGATAATCGGCTTGAAGTTTTTCTCAAGAGTCATAATTATTCAATTCCTAATCAAGTAGGGGATTTACTGTTAGCCTCAGGACTACAACAGGCAAGTGAAATTTCCACTGGTGTTTCCAAAGTTGATGTCCTAGGTCGTCCAATTCCATCTCACCCTTCAAAATCAGTTTTGCCCCCTGCTCTTAAACTTTCAAATGACTCAAATCCTGAAAGCCCTCAACCAAGAAGCATTGTTGGGTCTTTTTTGCATAGACGACACTCAGCAAGCACAACCAATAAAAGGGTTGAAAAGAAAGGTAATTTACTGTTTCTGTTAAGCGTTGAATCCTTGCCTGGTTATGAGGTGTTGCCTGATTTTAAAAGAGTTTCATTTGGAGGTGATATCTTTTTGAATGACCCTCCTCAGCAGATTCCAAGCAGACATCCTCGAACTGGAGAAGTTGAAGTTCTAAAAACTGGAGAGAAGATTATACACAAGTTGAGTGCAGAAGAGAAAAACCGACTAACTCATAGTGGTGGCGGAATTGTTGTTGGTGGTTCGGGAAGGCTATTATCCAACACTTCTCTCTCTTCCACTGAAAATGTTATCAGAGACCCAGAGAATATCGATGAATCCGGGTTGTCTAATACCCTTGCCCAGGTGTCCATTGATAAACCAATGATTCGTCATAACAGGCCTTCATCAGATGCCAATTCTGGAAAGTTGCTGAACAAGGTTTCTTTAGATATATTGTACACTCGATGTTGCCATTTACGTGAAATATTGCCAATCCCGGCCACATTAAAACAATTGCCTTCTGGTTCGTGCAATAAAATTAAAATATTGAAGTTCAAAAATGCTCAGCCTTCGTTGATTGAAGTTCTTACATTTGCTGATTTTATCAGTATTGCCCCCATTGAATGTATATCTTTAGATGGCGTCTCTTTTAGTTATGAAATGTTTAAAATTTTATTATCATCTTTGCATTTTAAATCTGATTTAAGAAAGTTAAGTCTTAGAAACACAATTATTGATTTATCTGGTTGGAAACTACTTTGTTGGTTATTAATGAAAAATAAGTTTATTCAAAGTTTGGATTTGACACTGTCTGAATTTTTAACCGTCTTCTCTAACAGAAAAAAAAAAAAAAATCAAAACGCTTTAAATGTCACTCGAATGACTCAAATTGAATTTGGTAGGCCTTCTATGGATTGGTCATTGTTTGTTGCTACTCTTATTTATCGGGGAGGGATTGAGGAGTTAATGGTCAATGGGTGTTCAATAGGATGTTTTCCTGTCTTTAAAAATTTATTCCAGTATGCATTGACTCCAAAATTAAAATATTTAGGGTTCTCTTTAGTTAGTCTTTCAGACTTGATGACTGTAGAATTCTGCAACTGGTTATCACTACATTTATTTCATCTTGAGAGTCTCGATTTTGGCTATAATTCTTTTCTCACTATCCAGTCTTCTCACCCCTCAAATTCTTCCTCCCATCAAATTTTAGAGCTGAAAACCTTGATTCATTTTAATATAGCATTGTTAAAAGTATTAGAGAATAAAGACAATTTTAAGATACGTCTAAAATATTTATCCTTGAATTCAGTGGTAAATTTGTTTCTTAATAATAATCGAAATGAGTTAAGTGATTGTGGAGAAGTTTTTCCTAAATCTGAGATAATTAAACTTATGTTTTATCTTTCACAATTACCAATGTTGGAATATTTTGATTTCTCAAATAATCCAGGTTTTTTTAACCATTATTTCGATATTTTTGTGAATTTGCTTTCTTCTTTTAAATCGCTATACCGAGTTGATTTGAACTTTAATAATTTTTCTCAAGAGCAAATATTAACTCTATGTGAATTTGTACCATTTTTCACTAAAGTTGGTTGGATTTCGTTGTTTGGTAACAATATTGAAAACTGGGTGGTTTCTTCATTGGTAAAAAACATGAATTTATCTCTGAGTTTCTTTGGGACTTTTTTTGAATATCAAAATATTTCGACAACACTGAGGAAGCTTCTCGCCTCTCATTTACTTTCCAAAATCAATCGTGCCCATAAGTCCTTTAATCAAGGGTTCCAAGATATGATCGAGGCTCTATCACCTTCAAATTTATCTGCTTATATTCCCATGACTATTTCATCATCAACAAAAAAAATTCATAGTTATTTTGATCAGGTTTTTACAACTTCTCTTGATCTACCTTTCATTCTTGGCCGATACTTTTCTCTCAATGATTTGAAAAATGTCGAGGAATCTAATTGTTCACTGGAAAGTCATAACTTCAATGATTTATTGAAAAACATCACTGATCGGTATCGTGGATTCCTATCGGAGTTACTGGTTTTGTACTTCAAGGATGAATTGGATGATTTTGGAATCAAGATCTTTATTAAATTATTTTTAATGTATATTTCTTTGATGAGAGCAGCGAAAATTCTTGAAAAACTTAAATATCAACCAGAACTAAATAAAGACCTAATTGCTATTTACACGACTATTTTTATTTCCATTCCTGGTGCTAGTATTCCTAAAGCTTCTACAAAACTACCTCTTGTTAAGATTGTGCAGAACCCTATGGAAAATGGTGATGGAATCAAAGAGGCTGCCAATCACAATTTAATTTTTTGCTCACATTCTAATATAAAAGAAATTCTTTTCCACAGCCAGAATATTGGTATAATTGGATATATTCTAGGACTTTCTTTGGAAAATGGTGATCCACTATTTTCCATTTTTCGAATGAAAAACAAAAGTGAAAAGTTATCAAGTGATTTGCTATATAAATCAATAGTGGATAAATTTATTGTTATGAAAAATGGAGGAAGTCCGTGAAGAAAATAGTAATATTTATTTGTCTTTATTATGAAGTGCAATTAGATACATAAAGTTTAATTTCCGAATTTCTTTCAATAAGATCATCCATTCTTGTTTCAATCTCTTCTCGGAAAAGCCTGTTCCAAAAAGCATGTTTTCGACACTTTCTCTTCTCTTTTTCGCATATGTTGTTGAAAAAAGGGGATGCCGAATTAATAGATGCGGAGAAAATATCATCATCTTTGAAATTCGAAAATAAAGAATATTTGTTCTGCACAACTATTTTAGCAAATTCCAGGAATGTCAATGTTGAAAGTATTGAATTATAACCGCATATTTTGTAAGATTTCAATTTGGAAGAAATAATATCTACAAGAACTTTGTAAAGTTCAAGCTTTAATTCATAAAAATTAATTTCTTGAATGTTCAAAAGAATTTCATTTTTCCAAAATCTGATATTTCTTTCGACATCTGGATTAAATTTGTATTCTATCATGCATGGTTTGCTATTCGAGGAGAAATTATTATACTTCGAGAACAACAAACTTTTGAGTTTCAGCTCCAACAATTTATTATTGTTTATTATAGCTTTTATATCTTTAGAATTGATGTCAATCCTCACAGGTGTTTCGTTTGTTAAATACAAATTTTCGAAATATTTGGTAAATCTGTTGTCCTCCAAATAACCAGATTGATAACTGGAGACAAAAATATTCTGAAGAATATCAAAATATGTTTGACCATGTTTGAGTGAGCAAAACTTTGAATTTTTATTGATTGGATTGAAACATTTTTCAAGCAAACACTTCTTGTAAAACATTAATGGGTCTTTCAGCGCATCTTCTAAAACACAATAAGGACAGTTAAACTTGAAAATCAAGCTTTTTAAATTGGAATGAATATTCAAACAGTTAAAGTGATACCACGCAAAACAAGAGTCGCAACTTATCATTATGTCTCCATTGTCTGGCTTCGAGCACAAGCAGAAAACATCTTCAATTTGATTTGGATTACTCAAATGAAGAGGTTTGGGGTATGACAAAGACAACTGATGAGTAAGATAAACAATTTTCATACTCATCTTGAATGTAACTTTAGATATGATTAATCTAACATTCTTTCAAAGTGCTACATAAATGTAGAAAAATTACCCGCCTTCATTGTTGTGAGCCTCCTGCATGTCTGCATTGGGTTCCGTGTTATCTGTCACCGGTCTGCTCCCTTGACGCTCTGTGATCTAACCCAGTTCCCTATAAAAGAGGCTGGCTGCTGTAGCGATTCCACGATAATATATTAAGCTAACGAATTATATAACAAAAAGAACAAAGAACAGAACGCCAGCCCCTATTGTAGAGAAATGGGATTGATCACAGAGCGTCACGCAAGCAGACCCGTGACAAACACCGAAAGAAGGAATTGATGTAGCGAATTAATGATAATATATTAAGGTAAAGAAGTATATAGGAAAGAAAACCGTCGAAAAGATCGCCAGCCCTTTGTTTGGAAAACTTGGTTGGATCAAACAGCGTCACAGAAAAAGACCTGTGGCAGAAACCAAAAGCCCAAATGTAGATACTCAGGAGGCCCACAACTGGTGGAGCAGTTATCAACTGCAGTGCAAAATATCATCTCCGCAAATCTGCTATCAGGCGCAGCTGGGGAAGCTCGCATTTCAACCACAATTTTCTAAAAAGAGTCAGTTTTATAATAGCAAAATGAGTGGTTTTGAAATGCTGGCTTGAGTGCTACACTAGGACAACATTTGAACTCTTCAGAAAATTTGGCTTGTGGAGGTCTGTTGCTTTGTAGGCAAACAGCTCTCCCGGCGGGTTTGATCGTTTGCTCGCTTGCGACACCCACATCTCTGAACCAGTGATCAGGTTACATTGAACGACTCAAACATCAAGTTAAAGACTAAACACCAATTCCTCAATAGAAAATCAAAAGATACACAACTCATTTGCAACCCTATCTATTTCTAAGTATCAACTTTAGATTTTGTCAGTCAAAAAGAAAAGACGTATCTCAATCAATTAGTAACTGTTGCAAATTCAGAGCAAAGCGAGTCGGTTAAGCCGTTGATTAACGGTGCCGTTGAATTATCAATTCACAAATATAATACTATTATTAATATGATGATTGCAAATCGACGGAAGCAGCTTGACCTATCGACAACAGCAACTCCCTTCAGGAAGTCATTCACTAAAAGAAGTTGTGAAGCGTCTCAACATTGAAGTGTTTATCATTGTGGGCAACGGATCAGCAACATTTTGATTGGAGTTATCACTTGCAAGAATAAAAACTACGACGCACTGCCTGCATATCATATGATACTTGATTGGCATCTGTTAGGATGCAGTGAGATTGGTGCGAATGATTTCCAAAATGGTGACAGAAATTTTTGCACAGTAAATAGTGTATTTGAGACATTCGTGCAAATGGCGTTGAGGCCCGGAACTGGCAGCGGTTATTTTGTCACTGCTGCGGCAGCAAAAATGTACTCAGTTTTACTTGTTTCCAAGGCAAGTGAAGCATGCTTCTTGCGATGTCCAGTAGCAGCATTTGATTTGTGTAGGGAGATCATGCACTTACTTTTTGCTGATCGGCAATATGTCGTTCCCTATACATGTAATTGTAATCCAATCAATTTGGTTGATGGGGCAGTCACGTCCGGAAAAGCAATGGGTTGAGATTGTATATCTTGCTTTCTTTAAACAAATATAAAGTGAGTTTAATGGTGCACCTTCATATGCAACCTCTAAGCACACGGTAGGAGCACAGTCGAGCTGTCTAAGCACTTGCAGCGGAAAGCTACGCTCGACGGATTTATCTGCAACGTGATTATTCTTCACATCTTCAGAGAGCCATCTGATTTAAATAGCACTTTGTATAAGATAAGCACTATTGGTGCTGCTAGCAGCTGAATCTCATCTAGTTTAAAATGTTGTCTGACTATGCTGCCGTAGATTTCAGAGAAACCAAAATCATTTTTGTGTTTTGAGGAACATCAAGTCGCAGAAACGGACTGTTAATTCTTCTCCATCATTTCATTCTGAGCAATGATTTTAGATATAATCATCCTACCTTGACTTTTGCATCTGAGGATTCTCAAATACGTAGTTCATCAATGGATAATTCAAGGATACATTGATGTAGGTGCCTTTCTAAATGAAAAACACCATTTGCTGCTAAAGAAGTTTTGACCCTCTAACCATTGGAGAACATTAAACATCTATTTGTCCCAACGAAGAAAAGACTTTTTGAGTCTTTAAATTCATTGGTGCCATTCAAAACATCGGGCAATACTACGCTGTAACAGTGTAAAAACCCTTGCTTGATCTGAATTTACGCGTCGCTATCACTATGGAGCAATGCATTTCACAACGGCTTTTCATCAAGTGCCAATGCTGTTGACACCGCCACTACATGAAGGAGTCCAGCACTGTTGTGGCTAATTACTGAACTATATTGTTGAGTGTACACAATAGTCCCAATCTCAGGAAATCTTTGAGCAGCTAGTATTGTTTCAGAAGATTCACCAGGTGCTGCTCACGTCATTGTAAGCACCCAAGCAAAGCCTTCTGCATATTTACTGCAGAGAAATTCAATCAACAGCAAAGTATTTTTCTGAAGCATTGCCTGAAGGTGTGATAGACAAGCAACATTGCAGAATGGGCATGGCAAATTTAATTTAACTGTTGTTGCGGCATTAATTGCTACCGCAAGATAAATCAGACGAGTCCTGTCCTTCATGGAATCCCTCTAACCAGTTGAAAGCCATTGATACACATTTTTAATGTAATGAATATCTTCTTGGCGAACTGACTTTGATGCAGCACACATGTCATTATTCTAATCAGCGCTAATGTTTTATTTGCAATTTGATCGTTTTCATCAGCTGATGCAACCCATTGTTTCGAATCCAATTTAGGGTGATCGATACAATTGGTCGCTTCATCATCTGAGCTGTTGTCACTATATTTCCCAAGTTCATCGGAGAAATTTCATGATGTAATATCAGAAGCAACTGCAGTTGTGTTTGCTTGTGATAGACAGCGATAGTCAGCTCTCCCTGAGCACTATTGACGGCAATCGCTGTAACTGCATCGGAAGATGGATTTGTTGTTTTAACGGCAGCACATGATGGATCTATAGCTGGTAATCTGGTTTCATCAATGCAACAGAAAAGCCTGACAACAACACAGCGGTTGTTATGATTCTACACTTTGTGAATTTTGGCAATGATGTCGTAGCCTCCACCAGCACTGAGGACACTTGTATCATCCAGCTTGAGTTGGTTGATGTGATTGGGAGCTTTGAAAAAGCAGCGGACCCAAACACATTTAACTCCGCGGAAGTTTATATTACTTCATAAAATAACTAAATGGAGTAGTTGATCAAGTCACTTGCTAAATGCGAATGAGTTCATCGAAGTCACTCCCCATACCACTGATTTTTTTCACAAGATATCAACAAGATTAACTCAAATTAGCACTGTCGTGGCTTCGGCCACATCTGTTGCTTGCCGACGATCAGCGACTCACTTCTTATGAACCTCCAAGAAGACTCACATCTAATGTTTGATTTCTTCAAATTGACACTAACGATTAAACAGGTTCCCTTCACAGTCGTTATCAAATCAGACAGTATGAACTGGAATAGCGCATAGTGGATTAATAAGTTTAATATATTATATTTTCGTTGGAGCGGCTTATGGTTGTGTGGCAATTGGAGCAGCATCGGCATATCCTGTTTAGTCATCAACATGGTGAGAGAATTGCGGGTTAGAACGACAGCAACAACTGTCATTGGCCCAAATATAACGACATGAAGAAAACCATTAGCCACGATGCTTGTCGTGCCGACAAGTTATTAATAATTTTGTTAGTTCTTCCTTTCTGATAGGACACAGATTTTGACCATCAGCAGCAGACACTCCTTTGGTTTTGGCTACATCTCTTGCAACAGTCCAACCTGCTAGAGCTAACCGTTCATGCCAATTTGTGCTAATTGTAGCAACACCAGGTGTGACTCAGAAGCAATCATCTGAACCTGAAGCCGCTTTTTTACTACCTATCTCACCACTCAAACATGCATAATGATGTTTTCACGAAAAAAAAGCCTTTTTTTGTGCAGCAGCTGAAATTGAAGTTCATTATGCTACATTGGCAGTGCAATAACCATTATATAAAGATTCGGCATTCACAATCATGACGGTACCAATTCGATTAACATTAACGATAAGGTCATCCATTCCTGCAATCACTCCTGAGTGATTTGTGAAGTCCGGGATCCAATCTGCGATTGCACAAATATGTTGGGCAAGACCAGCATCAAAATAGAACCGTTTGGCATTCAACATCAGCTTGCCAGTTACTTTCAAGAACCAAGAAGACAGCGACTGATCAACTGTGGGGGCATACAAAATGGCTACTGCAGCAGAAACATCGGCTGCAAGTGATGCTCCGGCAGAAACTGCCGGTGGTGGCAAGCAGCCACTGACCAAATGTCCATTTTAATGTCAACTTCCGCAGGTCATCGTTTCTCCTTTGGATTTCTAGAATGCGCTTTTGGCAACAGAAGTGAACGCTGTTGAAACTGAGCTATCAGCAAATGCAACATAACCAGTTCACTGGCCGAAACCACTGCATCAGTAAATGTAATTTTGTTAGGATATTTAAGCTGAATACAAACCCTTTCAGCGGAGGTGGAATTCGAATCAGCAGCAACAAAAACAATTGCGGCAACTTGCTCACCATTGTAGACCTTGAGAGTATTGCAATACAATTCATTAGAAATTTGATGGTAATGACGTTAATTAGACAATCGTTTTAGCCAATCACCAGAAAGAAATGAGTTGGTAATAATCTTAGCGGCCTCAACACCAACAGTTCCAAAATGCTCTTGGAAGCTAGAACTTGACGGCCATTCCTCCAATTATATGGTGAAGGGAATAGCATGCAGCGTTATCAATCTATCAATCAGCTTCGCCAGCTAAGATAATACCTTCTATTATAACGGGTTTCACCAACGGTCAAAATAGAGAAGCTTTGCGATTCAAGATCGAAAGCGACATACTAAAGTTAGTTGGATCCACTTGCTACTCCGGTTCTTGCCAGCTAGCAATTGCAATTTGGCTCATAGCATGTTGTAGCAAATCCTTCATATTTTATCGAGCTGAAGATGTATGCGAAGCAAAACCCACAGAGGCGGTCTCCGGCCCCCTTCATAGGACCTACGTTAAATCGCATAGCGAGACAGGAGCCGACCGGTGTCATACACCGAGGGACTAAGTGTGGACACCAGGGTAGATTACAAGCAAACAGATCACCAGGCGGTTTTATAGGAAGGTAGAGCTGATCAGCTAGCGTCACGTGGGCCGTCCGGTGATTGTCACTGAAGGACCGAATGTAGGCATTCGGCTGGATCACAAAGGCCATCCTTAAGCTGGTAACCGGACCTCAGACAATCAGCTCATTGTAGTCAAACAAATAACAGATGCTATATCCGACCAATCGCGTTTGCACAACGTGTTCCCGGTTTGAATGAAAACTATCGCTTTTATGGATCCGCTCACGAGCGAGTGGCGGTGGTTGGAATATAAATTATTGCTTCCAAAATGAGATAATCTTCGATGAGAGAAATTGATGTTTTGACAATACTGGGATCTATGTGGCACTGAACAAGCCTTTCAGCCCTTTGAAGCAATACGACATAAAGAGATCTGTTGCTCTGTGCATCACAACTGTTACAGTGATGTTGGTTAGTTTGCCTCTTGTTTTGTTCGGGAACACCCTTTTCTCTGAATCGCTGTTCAGCGCACAATCATGGACTCCAAAATACAGTTAGTAAAAACACAAAACTATAAACAGATCAACTGCAAATGAAAAGCACTTGATAAACGCAACATAGAGAATTTGAACATGCAAACACATCCCACTAATACCATTTCAATGTAACCGTTTAAAAAGCAATAGAATCACAGTCTGGCACGCAACCACGGCTAACAGAGTCTTTCTTAAAAAGGGAATCCGCCAACAGGTATGTATTGGTTTCAAGGATCTCTTGGAGCTATGATTGACTTGCAACATTTTAGATCGGCTCTGCAGGATTTGGATAAATAGTCCTGGTGGCATTAATGGCAGCGGCCATTTATGTCAGAGGAGACCTGATTTTAGTGGTATCACTTAAATTGTTTGTAGTTCATTTTAATAAATTTGCAACGTAGTGAAAATCCTTTTAACAAATCCTTTTGATTTTAGCAAGTTGGTTTTTATCTGATTCAGCAGTTCGGTTGGCATAAAAAACTTAATCAGGATTATCGATGGTCTGATGAAATTCCATAGAATTCAACTGATTGCCATTGACACCATTCCTTTTTTTATCATCCGAGCCGTTGAGAATTAATTATTCATCCCCTTTGGAGTTATCTTTTGATGTATCGTCTGAGGCAATTGCAGTTGCCTTATCATTGAGTTTGGTAGCAGTGGACACGTTGCGCCTCATTGCACCAGCTGCAGTAGGTGTAACTTCAACGCCAACTGGAAATGCTTGTTCAGCGGCAGGAAATGATGGATCTCTAAAAGGAAATTTGGTTTCATCAATGCGACAAGAGCAACTGAGAAGAAGACAGCACTTATGAGGATTGTACATTCGGTACACATTTTTTCTCATGTAGTAGCTAACAACCAGAAAGGGGACACTAGTATCACAGACTTGGCTAGTTTAAATTGCTTCAGTATCATCGCGTAAACAGCACATGAAACTATTTGAACATAGCTGCAGTTGATTATTTTTCATGAAATAATTCTAAAGGCATAGTGAAGAGAGCCCCATCATTTGTGGGGATTGAACTCATCAATGCCACTGATCCCACTAAAGCTTCATTCTACAGGTAATCAAGAAGTGTGGCTGCAATTTAATTGTTCAAGCTTTTGTTTTAATTGTCCTTTGCCAGCGTTCACGGAAACCACATTGATCAAACTCATAAGGAGCAGACATTTCATGTTTGATTCCCTTAGAGTGAGAAAAATACTCGAACAGCTTGGATGCCAACCGCATATCAAATCAGATAGTATGAACCGTTCTATCCAATACTCGTTTAGTATGTTTGATATAATATACAAACCTGGTAACAGCTAACCATCGTGTAGAAATTGGAGGAACAATGTTCTATCTTCAGTGATCATCAACAACGGTTATAAACTATAGATATTAATGAACAGCATGGACTGCCATTGGCATAGCAACATCATCATAAAGATGCCAAGAGCAGCTGTGGGCAGTCCTGTAGACAACTGATTAGTAGTTTTGGCGGCTACTCTTTTGAAACGACAATCACTTTTCGAAACCACGGCAGCGGAAATGACAGAAATTTTGGATATATTTCAATGGAAAGATAACTCCCTATCACCTAATTGTTTATGCTGACTTGACGTAAACCGCCCATCAGCAGATGGGGCAACGAGAAATCAATAAAGTTGTCCTGCTGTCTTTGCAGGTATTGCATCATTCGAATCACCACAGTATTCTTTGAATGAAAAGCGCGCCCCTTTATTTGTGGCAGGTGAGTCTAAAATTCGATATACATCATCCATAGAATTGAGAAAATACATTAAAGATTGATCGTTCAGAAGCATTACAGTACCAATAACTGAGGGATCCAAAATGGTGCCACCAATTTCAGCAATTGGATCCGAATAAGGATTTGAGAAGGTGAACAAATCAGCTTCAGCACAAATAAGTTGTGAAGCACTAGAGTTAAAGAAGGGCGGTTTGTAGTTTAACATCAAGTTGATAGGATCTTTGTCCACAACGGAAACGGCGACTTAGCAGCGTTGGGTGCATCCAGAGCAGCTGCATTAGCACAAAGATTGGGTGTTATTAATGATCCAGCAGTAGCTGGCCGTGGTGCCAAATATTTTCTTGCCGAACGTCCCTTATTGTGTCAACGGTAGCATGTCATTTTAATTTGTTCTGCCTTCTTGATCAGTTCTTTACCCAAAGGGGCTATCGCTGTTAAATCGCAGCTGCCAGCAAATGCTTCACCACCGCAATGATTTGGTCAATCCATCGCATCTCAAATATATAATTGTGAGGGTTGGTAAATTGAGTAACGACTCTTTCAGCATTGGTGGCGTGGGAATTAAAAGCAGCATTTACAATGGCAGCAACTTAGTCTTCAATGAAGACCCTAAAAATATTGCAATTAAATTCCTTATTGATTTTAATGTAATACCTTCTATTGGATAATGTATTTCGCCGCCTAGCAGAAGTAATTCACCAGGAAATGATAAAAGCACCTTTCACTCCAATAGCACCAAATATCGTTTGCAAGATTTCTAGTACTTCACAGCAGTATCATCTATTGGAAGCACCTCTTCCAATACTGCTGAATCATATCGGCAAGTAACCAAAGTATGGCAAGAGAAATCGAAAGCAACATGAGCTTTGCCTAATTCAATATAATCAGCAAAAATAGCATTTTTGTTGATAAAGGCTGGAATCGTCGGACAAAACTGAGAAGATTTGTAGTTGATTATTGCCGCTCAACAATAAATTTGTTATCGTGCATTAGATCCGATGATTTCTGCAAGCCGACATTCCCAATTTTGCTAATAGCCTGTTTTAGTGAATCCATGTTAATATATTAAGCTAAAGAAGTGCATAAAAAATCGAACGTGAAAGGGATCGGCGGCCCCTTTTACAAGGACTGAGGTCAAATCACGAAGTCTCACTGAAGCTGACCTGTGAGAGACACCGAGGCAGGGAATGTGGACTTGCGGGTCGCTCACAATTGTGTTCAGGCCACCAACATGGACTCCCTACATAAAATCATACGCTAAACAACAAAAAATGAATTAGATACGACAGCTTAATCAGATTAAAAGTAAGAGAAAGGGTTTTATAATACCAACTTACACATTATCAAAATGGAAAAGCAAAGCCCGTAATTAATTGATATTGGAAGGCTTGTAGAAATGATATCACCACAGTCAATCAAGCAAAGCAATAGCATTAATCTAGCTTATGTAACACAAAATAATACAAACAAGAATATTGAGCTAAATCCAAAACGACCCAAACAACAATACCACAACCATCAACGATTCAATCATTGAAGCAATTCTTTGAAGTGTGTGAGCACTGTAGCGCTAAGCGCCGTTGTAACAATACTAGCACTACTACTTTTAGTATCAACTCTTGCACAAGTAAAAGCAACATTGCAGATCCCTCTTATAACATAACTTTTGATTGAAATATGATTATGGATTTGCTGTTTGGTGGGATGGTTATCCAAGTTCATAGCGGAATTGATATCGCAGTACATAATGTTGGTCATAACCCTAATGCCCATACTCTGTCCCTGGCTGTTCTTCACCGGTCTGCTCCACTGACCCTCTACGTTCTGACCAGATTCCTTATAAAAGGGGCTGCCAATGTCTTCTAATATCTTTTTTTTGATATTGTTTTTTACGTTAATATATTACCATCAATTTGCCACAACAGATTATCAGCCAAATTGCAAATGTTTGCTGGCAACAATCCGATAAACTAATGGATGAAGCAAACGCTATTGTAGAGCGGCGGTCTTCCATCTCAAAATTGTTCTGTTTGCCCGTTCGTCCAAGCCTTTATCGTAAAAGGAATTAGTGTTTCTAAAGATGAAGACCGAGACAAAGTTAAAGATGTAGATTCAGACAAAGTTAAAGATCACTTTCATTCGATTGGCCTCAGGTTGCTTGCTGACGGGATACTTCCTGCTGCGTTATATACGATGCTGAACAATTTTGGTATGACCATCATGTGTCAGATAACTTGGTGAAGATCTATGACTCTATCTCGGTTGAAGCTGTTATCATTGTTGCCAGGTCACCTACTTCTGGTAGGTGGCAAAATACATTATCCAAAAAATGAATTCAAATAAATTAATTAATGAACTGCAATGCAATTTTCTCAAAGTCTAAAATGCTGATGTCGTTGCTTTTACTTTCTTCGCTCCTTCTGTTTGGCACACTACCTACACTGTAAAAGTTCTTACTCAGTTTGGAGACCTTCAAAATATTTGATTCTCCGATTGAAAGGCTGTGGCCAACTATGTTGAAATTGATGCATTTGCTGGTGGCTCAGCAGCATCAGTGTCATTCATTGTTGGTAACCAACCATTGGACAAGCCAAAGCAAAAATAAATGACATTTAGTCGTTCTCACAAAGGAGGACATTTCGTTAGTAACGCTTTGGCATCCCGGTGCCTTCCGTTAAATTAAGAGATCCAACAGATTCATTTTCTTGTGCAGCTGTGCAGGATGCGGCCAGCGTTGATCAGTCGCTGCTTCCTTGTTCGTCGAATGTCACTTGCTACTCGATGTTGTGCTTTAAACAGTTCTATCCTAACTCAGGTGCATCTCAACAGATTTCTGCTAACGCTGCCTTGTTCAGCTACCTAATTCCCAGTTCAAGTTTATCTGCCGCTATTGGTGTCACCATCATGGATGTCCAAGGTAGTGGTACTGGATGCATCTCAATGATGAATCATTGGAATATGGTTTTAGTGCTCCTGACGGTGCATATCTGATTTCAATCTTTCTTTCCACAAATAGAGAGGGTTGCTTTTTATTTAAAGATGTTTGTTCTTATTTAAATGGAGAATTGGCTACTAAGAAAACCGGCTGAAAATTTTATGATTGTCTCTTTGCCCCATTTTCTGATGCGTGAATGACTTCAAATTGGCATCAACGTTTGGAAAGTTTATGTGTGACTCTTGTTAAAGTTACACCACAATATTTTGGCAAATCTGCGGCAGCTGGTTCCGACTCTGGATACTTTTCAAAAGACAATCCATTAAAATCAATAATAAGTCGTGTGCAAGACACTCGACCGCTGCTACTTGCTTTTTGGATGTTGATATTGCTTGGTCACCGACCATTGATGCTATTGATAAAAGTCGTTCTTTTCCTTGATTTGTTGGTGAATTCATGGAATCGGTTGCTGCAGGTCTGATTGAGACACGATGATTGCCTGTTGTCGGTTGTAGCATTTTATTAAATTTAGTTAACGAATTTGAGTTAAACTGGCACGTTCTGTCCGATTTGATAGCTCGTTTGCATTCAAGCTCTTGAAATATTTTTGTGAATCTGAATGAATGAAAGATGAAATGACAGTTCGTTATGAGTCTCATCAAAATGGGTTCATTGAATGTTGGCAACGAAGAATCAAGACAAATCCCAGGACAATTTTAATTAAACTTGATGCTCCTCATTACTTATAAAATGGAGCGGTGACGTCCGCCGTGGGTTTGATGATTATCACTCCCGCAAATCATGGGGCTATTTATACAAAATGATTTGCATTGCTTCATCGAAATAACTTCACTGCTGCCATCTTGAAGGTGCTTGCATGAGGGGATCCTGTGGTGATTCCCAAAGAACTCAAGCAGCCCATGTTATGTGATACCGGTGTCCACTGTGTTCTTGTTAGCAACGAAATCAGGAGAGAGGCCTACAGAGTCAACGGTTCGAATATCAGCTGCGCTGTTGCCCGGATTTTTTGTCGCTTTGGAAAACCGTGCGTTTCAATTAAACAGCCATCAATTACTGCGAATAATCCAACGATTCCAACAGCCGGTGGAGTTACACGTATTACTGATGGTGTGATTAAAAGAAATCAGCCCTCACCTAGCAACTACTATCATTTGACGACTGCAATTGCTTCATACCACTGATCAAACGGTAACTTGAACGATCAAGATAAAAATATTGACATCGGCTATAACCATAAAAAAACAGATCGAGGTGAAGGCAATGAATTGGTTTCACAAGGACAGTTCAATTTTTGTATCATGCTGATGAGGTTGCCGATGCTAATACTGCCGCTTAACTTGATATGGCCGAACTTTCTCGAAATAAAGGAAATTGTCTAGGTTATCTTGATGTCATTAAACGTGAACGGAAATGGCTTACCAATGAATAAAGAAAACGATTGCAAGCCAGGCCTCTTCTGACATATATGGCAGCTGCCCTTATTGCCGCTACTACTGTTAATCCATATCCTCCCAATTCATTCTACACAGTGGCGTGTCAATCGGGGCTTCAGCCATCGCTTGATAACAATGAGTACTTGTTGTTTGATTTTTCTTCTGGAGACGAACCTGTTGGCTGTCGTTGGGTCTTAACATTGAAGTCAACACTAGTTGCTGAATTTGCAAAGTCCTAGACTACCCGGTCAAGGTCGTTTTCGTTCTAAAATGTTAATTGTAGTGAATTATTTAGTCAATTTAATGGGAATGTAATCCACAGAAGACTTCATGCCGATGCAGCAATAAAATCATTGATGGCTCATCAAAAGATTTTCACAGCAGCGGGTGTTCATCGGGATATCGACCCTAAAAATTACATGAAATTACCTGCTGGGTTTGCTAGTGCTAAGCATCATCTAAAAATTTAAACGCTTGACAATACAATTTGTGGGCTCAATCGGTTTCCACTTTCGTGCGGAATGAAAATCTGAATTCTCCGTATTCACATGCCTTTCAATCCGTTTCAGCCTATCATGATGCCTTTTGTCTCTGAAAAAAACCTACCAAAGCATGCAATAATTAAGCTCGAATAATGATATTACCGCCGGATCCTGAGATGTGTTGGTGAAGCCGATACAATCATATATCAGTTGATTTTTCAAGACGAAAGGTTTTGGTGTAATTTGGGGTTGCTTAGTTGGACTTGTCGCTGCATAAGATAACGACGGTATTTCAGTCTCTATCGGGACCCCCTCAGACTGATCGGTCTAAGGATCAAACTGGATGAGTCTGGATCGCAGCCAACTACAATGATAATTGACCCATTGAAGGTGCTACTTGAGACAGTTTACTATCAGCTAAGTGCTGAAGAGAAAACTTTGTAGAGATGAATTGTTGGGATGGTGTTTCTAACTACAAATTTTATTGACCGTGATGTTGTATTGGCTGAATACTAACTCAGTCGATAGGTTGTTTTACGAAGGAAAATCCATGTAAAGTCTGCTAATAGGGGCTTAAGATATCTGAGCTGATATCCAATAATTGTTTACTACAAAGTTTCTACTTCTCATAATTGTTTTCGATACACTGACAGTGATTGGGCTGGTGACATCGATGATCGAAAATCAGTATGTAGTTTTGATTCCCAAATAATGAAAAACCATCTCCTTGCAACTCAAAAGCGCAGGCTTCAGTGGTGTTTCTGATTTGCGACCCTGAATACAATTCACTAGTTGAAACAGTCAAAGAAATCTGGTTCCTGATGCAGCCCTTTAGATATATCGGTGCAAATGTTAAAACCCCAATTATATATTATGACAACAATTTATCTATCGCCTTGGCTAGCATCTCACCAATCACTGAAACTCCAAGCTTATTTGAATCCGGTAGCATTTTATTTGAGGGTTGTGCAAAGTTGCTTTTACTCTTGCCAGAGATGATACTAACGTAGCGAAGCAAATATGTTCAATAAATTGCTAATACCTCCAGTGATCAAATATCTCAATATGTTGCTTCAAAGATTCAGTTGTCGATAGTTTCGGTTTTGTTGGATCCGTCTCTTTGGTTTGACTTGCATATTATTGTTTGCTTGAATTCTTGTTGGATGCGCCACAGTATTATTGTATATTCGTTAGACGAACTGTGGTGTTAATATTTCTACAACGGAACCAGATGATGTATTACTGGATACTCAATTTAATGGGAAGAATGTTTATGTTGCAATTATAGAGATCTTTCATTTTGATTCGATATGTCTATCTTTTGCTTTTTTCATTCATTTGCTCTCGTCCAGCTTTTGAATCTATACATGAGTCCATGATTGTAGCCAGAAAACTGGCTCAGCGAAAATGGTGTTTGCGAACAAAGAAACAGGCGAACTATCAAACAGGACTAACATCGTTCTTGACGAACAATCCAAATCAAGACTGCATGCGTCTTTGCTTCCAGAGTTGGAAGCCTTTTCCTGCTGGAACGAATACGGCTGTATTTCAATGCACTCATTTTTTTCATCCCAAGATGCTTTGTTATAGATTGCCGTGTTTGGAATTGGAACACGCTTTACCACGACTGTAAGCGGATACCAGGAGGCCATGTTTCGGATTTGCACCTGGTAACCTTTCGACCAACCACAACCATCCTTTGCCGGCTCTTTAAGATATTCGACTAGCATTTGAAGTTCCTCGGAGATCTGATAACGGGGATGAAAAGGGTTGCTTTGAGGCACTCCGATGTCATCATTTTTGTCCCTGGTATTGGTCACTGGTATGGTCCGGTGATGCTTTCTAATTTAAACGCATCACTTGTAAATGATGCTGGCTGGATGTTCCATGTTGTGTTTTCTTAAATACTCTTTGTCGTTCATAAAATATAGTGGATTGACTACAAGATTTGTGAACCTGCCGGATGTCGCCATCCGGCATCTTCGTGTGGGTCACAGATCTGCTCACGTGACTGCCTGTCATCTAAGCCAGTTCTTTGTAGAAGGGCTTGGCAATATCGAGTAAGCTGTTTTGCGGTTATGGTTGTTGACCTAAGTATATTATGAAAAATTTGATCTGTGCACCCGGCTCACCACATTCCGTCCCACCTTGACTGTCACCGGTCTGCTCCAGTCACGTTCAGTAATTTAACCCACTCTCCAATAGTAGGGGCTTCTGACATCTTTCTCGGATTTCTTTTTGCGCTCCTGTTTGCCTCACTATATTGTTATGGCTTTGCTACAACAAATGGATCAAGAATGCCGAACCATGATATTGGCTGACTGACAGAACTCTAAACCCCATATCGTACTGATATAAGCTCTCCGCCTAAAGAAGCAATCGACCAATTCATCTGTGAAGTGATGACTTTAGAGCATCTTACTCTGAACCATTTGTTACAAGTAGCACCTTGTCTGGGTAGATCATCGGAGTTATAGCCTCCGAATTGAAGTCAACCAACTTGAACAGTTGATCCATCAGTCAAATATAAGTTTTCGTAGATACCACAATACTGACTTTAGTTTGAGCTAGATCAAGTTTAACATGACAACTCTGATTTGCTTCAAAATCATTTGGTTTGAACAATGAATTGAAATATGATTTGACCCCTTTGTCCATTGCCGCTGACGATCCCGCAATACTATCATCATCCAGATATAATCCTTTCATGCGGCTGTTGTTTTTCCTTTAATGCAAACGGACACCATGATCTGCTTGTGAGTCTTGAAACGCAAACAATTGAAGAGGCGTTAGCATGCTTTTTACCAACAAATAAAAGAATATTTGAGTCCATACGTTGCTTTGTGTGAGTTCCGTTCTTTCAGACGATATTGACCGTTCACAAATTCGGCACAGTCATTCATGTAAATGTTAGCGTCGATATCATCATGAAGAGATGCAGTTGTCATTTCCATTTAATGAACTATGAATGTCAATCGTTGTGGAACAGCATGAAGGGCTATGACAGTACATATGTAACTACCGCCCGAATCCTTTCGTATAATCAGTACTTTCAAAATGAGAAAGCCCCTGAGCAGCTAGTCTATCTGCTATATATTTACCACCTGGTGCTGACTGTTTTGTAAATAATCAAAGAGTGGCAACAGGATTCTTGCAGAGACAAAGTTACCTAACAGGTCATTACTATTACTATGCTTTGCCTGATGCTTAGAATGACAAGCAAATATTCGGATCAAATCTGCAAGACTTGTTTTGACAGAAGTTGCGTCAATAGAGGCAGCATCCCTTTATTTCTCAAAAAAACTGATTTTACTAGTATTGTTGAATTCAGTTGTAAAACATTCAAATTCATTTTCAATCCCATCAATTTCTTCTTGAAGAACTCTTTTGGTTAAAGCAAAGTAGTCCATCTCAGATTCAACACCGGTGTTATCCTTGGCAACTTGAGCAGGACCATCCGCAGATCCAACAGAGTGCCTTGAATCCAATTCATTGTGATCGGGACCATTTCTACCTTCATCATTATAGTCGAACTCAGTATACTCATGATCTGCGTTGTAGTGATTCTTTCATGTATCTTTTGAAGTAATTGCATTACTGTTGAGTTTGTCTTTGCTAGCCGTGGACCGACTTCTTCTCGTACAACCAGCAGCAATAGGTGTAGCTGCAACAGCACACGAAATTGTGGTGTCCATGGCACCAAGAAATGGCTCGTCAAAAGAATATCAGGTTTAAACATCGTGACAAAAGGAAGTGACAGAAGCACGGCGTTTTTGAAAAGGGTACACTCTGTGGGCCGTTTTCATCATTTCGTAGACAAGACAAACACATTTGAAACTAGTATCTCTTATTTTGCTTGGCTTGAATTGATTGGAAATATTTGCGTAAGAGCTACATCCAAAGATTTTCGACATAGCAGCAGTTAATTTTTTTTCCATGAAATACCTAAAAAGCGTAGTCGGAAGAGCCCCATGTATTGTGGTGAGCAAACTCATCAAACCCGCAGGACAGATCACTGCTTCATTCGACAGGTAATGAGGAACATCAGTGTTAATTGATGTTGTCTTGGTCTTTGTCATGATTCGCTTTTGCAAACATTCAGCGATTGAATTTTAATGAGACTGATCGGAGGAGACATTTCAAGTTTGATTCCATCAGATTGACAAAAATATTTGAAACGCCTGAATGGAAACTAGTTATCAAATCTGGCAGGATGAGCTGCTTAATCCCATAGTCGTTGACTATATCTAATATAATATACATATCTCGCAACAGCTGAAATTGGTGAAGCAATCAGAGCGTCAACCACATATTTGTAGTGATTATCAACAATAATGAGACAATCAGGATTCTGATCAACTGATACAACTTGCATTGCGCAAAGAAGTTCCTTATGAAGATGATCAAGTGCAGCAGAGTCCTGTCTTGTAGCCGCCTTATTAATGATTTTGGTGGCTTTTTCTTCAAAACAAGACTCACATTTTCAATCAGCAGCGGCAGAGATTCCATAGAGTTAGAATCTATTTTTGGCAAAAGTCACACCTGCGTGATCTAATAGATGATGCCTGCATGTAGCAGTACAGAGAACAACAAATCGGACGGCATGAATATCGTAAAGTCCTGACGCCGCTCCATTTTCAGGGAATGCACCAATGCAATAAACACAATTATCTTTCAAAAACGATTCTTGTCTCTTTACAGATTACTAGTGATATTGAAATTATATTTGAATCATCGGAGGCATATTGAACATATTTTACGGATCCATTATTCAAATGGATCACACTACCAATTTCATTGAGAAGATCAATTGTGTCACGGATGTCTTCATTATGCCTGGAATAACGACATAAATTGCTACATCAATCACCGTTTGCAGAGATATGATGGGAAGCACGAAATTCCAAAAAGTACTATTTGTTTTGGTTATCAGGTTGCAAGTTACTTCTAATGTGCAATGAAACACCGACTGATGATTGTTAGGGACACCCAAATCAGCAACAACAGCAGATGCATCGGCTCTAACTGACGATCCAGCTGAAACAGGTAGTAGTGCGATCCACTCCCTTGCTAAATATCCCTTTTTGTGACAAAGATAGCCTATCATTCTTTTTTGTTTCAGTCTTTTGAATGGTCCCTTTGCGACAAAGACTAATGCTGTTGAACCAGAGGTTTCTGCAAATGGGACATCACCAAGAATGTTGACCAACATTGTTTCATCAGTAGATTTAGTTTTGTGAAGATCGGCAGATTGAGTGTGAACCCTTCCAGCCCACATGATGTCCGAATCAGAAGCAGCATAGAGAATCGCCCCTCGTTGGTCAGCATTGTAGAACTTAAACTACCGCATTAAAATTAGTTAAACTACTTAATCCAATCCTTCTTATTGGATATTGTCTTTTGCCACGTACCTAAAGAGGGGAACCTGGAGATAGTAATGAGAGGATGCAAACCACTGGTATCTTAGTGTTTTTCCATGTTAATCAAAGGTTGAAGGGGATAGCAGTCATTGTACACTACGGATTCCAATACGACTAAAATTAATCGACCTGTATCCAACGTATGGCAAATCAAATCGAAGGAAACCTTAAATTAGTCCCCATTAACATCATCAGCCAAAATAGAACTTTATTTGATGAATCCTTGATGCAACAATCCAAACAGAGCAGGTTTTAAATTCAGGCGTGGAACCAATTCGATTAGCAAGCAACAGCAACTCCTTTTTGGGATTCTGGCTAGCGAGCATTCGCAATTCGGCCCATTAACAGATGTCGAATGTTGATCGTATTAAATTGAGATGAAGATCGCAATAAGAATGATGAACGTCAAAATAATCCGCCGGCCTCATCTGTAGAGAACGGCGTTACATCACGGAGAGTGACGAGCGCTGACTGGTGGCAAAAAGTGAGTAACAGAGTGGAAACGTTGCGGCAACTCACAACAAGATCAGCTCTGTCGCCGGGTTGGCCGACCTCTGGACTAACATGTCAATGTAGACAAACATTTTCAGATCTGCAAAGGACGGATCGCGTTGGCCGAGTCATTACCAGGTGTGAGTGCCAGACATCGCCTCAAGAGATCTGCTTGCGGGCACCGCTCATCGGAACTGAATCCCAATCACGGCAGTCTAAATACCCCATTTTTTAGTGAGAATATTGTGTTGTCTTGAAATACCGCCATGTGCGACGCATTTCAAAGGGTCTTCTAACCAATGAAGGAATGTGCCATGGAGGGTTGGAGTTTTTGTCAATGAGGAACGTTACATGGAGAGCTTGTTTGCCTCTTGCGGTGTTTGCGAACACGGATTTTGGGCACCACTGTTCAGGCTACAATCTTGAGTCCAGTATCAAGTCAATTGCTAATCTAAAATAAGTTAGTAAGAGAGTCAAGAAAAACCCAAATATCTTCTAAATCCAAGTATTCCATATTACCAAGATAATCGTTTTGTAAAAGAAAAAGAAAGCCAGCAATGGATTCAAGCTCTAACAGTTGTAGAAGTAATATCATCGCACACAGTCAAACAAATGTATGACAGAACTGCGGTATAACCAACAAAAAATGAAAACGTCAATATTAATCAGTTGAAGCCAATGCAACGCATACCAGAAAAAGTAGAACAGTCGACAATTCAATCATCGAAGGAATTGTTTGCCATATGTATTCACTGCTGCTCTAACGGCCTTTTGCAATAATGCAGCAGCACTACTTTTAGTACTAACCCTTGTAAAAGAAAACCAACACTGCACAACCTTTTATCAAAAAGAATCGTGATTGAAATATGCTTGCAGTTTCTGTGATTGGTGGAGTTGATAGGGAAGAAAATAACAGAATTGTCATAGAATATACCACTGGTCCTTGATCATATGTTCCATTATATTTGAAGACCTGCCTTGGAGCAGCATTGTATTTGACTGCATCGGTCAGAGAAATGCATTCAGCTTCACAACTGACGATAGCCGCTGACGCATGCGTCTTTGAGATCCAAGTAACTGTAGTTTGATTAAAGAGCAATTTATATCCACCAACTGATTTTCGATTTCGAGTCACTGCAGCCCAATCGCATTCAGAGTATCCCCCTAACTCGATTGAAAAAGGCAGTTTTTTAATAAACAGTTATTCGGTTTGAGTTTTAACATCCCCTCACCTTCTTAGCCCAAAATAAAAGGATCTTGCATGGTGACCCAACATTTCAACAAAGTTTGCGTGCAGCAGAAGCAAAATCGATACGGAAAAGATTTGCATCCAGAAGCGTCAATCCAACAATGCATTTGAAAGAAATGGCCCTTCAGCATCTGACGCATAGCCATCTGTTTAAGTAGCACTTTCAATGGTTGATCATCAGTTGTGATGGATGTCACCGAGAGTCATCCATTTTGAGCTCTTGATGCGCCATTCTGCACTTGGATTTCATACATCCCGACATCCGCTCGATTCTTCGAGCAACGTCAAGTCTAGGAAGGCGACCCGGAATTACTCCCGGATCTATCGGATGATTGATTAGCTCATATTGAATTTCACCAGCTAAACTATTGCATCCGATGAACCGGCAATGGCAAGACCAAACATTTATACTCGTTCCTTATAGTGGTGTCTGTTGGATGAATGAGAGATGACAGGATGTTGAGGTGATTTTTATCGAAACCTGAACAATGGAAGAACATTTAGCTTTATATCGTAGCAACGAAAATGAGAATGATTCATTCCATTAATTGATTTGTGCGACATCCAATTTTTCTAACCAAATTTTCCGTTAACAATTGCGGGAGGCCGTGTTTTGTAAACTTCAGCTTCGAAATCACCATGAAAGGATGCAGTGGTGACATCTCTTTGATGAAGCTTGATCGGCCTTGATGCTGCAACAGCAGGAGGAACTCCAACTCCTTCATGCCTATTTGCTGGACTGAATGATCCACAATAATCAATACTTTGAAGCTGAGATAACCCTTGAGAAACTACTCGCACCTTTTCAAAGTCACCAGTTGGTATTCACGTTATTGCTAACTCTTCACCACCACCGACAGAGATTTTTCAAAAGAAAAGATCAACCAAAATATAAATATTGTTTTATACCATTCCTTTAAACTCTATTTACAAGCATTTCTGCACATTGGGTCTGCAAGGTTAGTTTTAAGTAGTAGTAGCGGCATTAAGAGCAGCAGCCAAACAAGTGACAGATGACTTGTGCTTAATGGTATCTTTCGAATTAAATGAAAAACAATTAAGCCCAATTTCGATGCCTGTCAGATCTTTTTGACGAACATCTTCTGTTCAAGGAAGTTAGTCCATATCTGATTCAGCCCCACTGTTAGAATCAGCATCTTGATCAGTCTAATCTGCGGATCACACTGACTGCTTTCAATGCTGGTGATAGTCAATGAGAGAGTCATTTTTCTCAACATCTGGGTGATTTCAAAATATTGATCATTCTCAATATAGTGATTTTTAGATGCATTGTCAGAAGCAAATGCAATATTGTTATTCTGGTAGTTAATAGTACTGGACAGATTTCTCCTTGAAAAGGCACCAGCACTACCGGATTCATCTAAGGTAGCATAAATTTCATGTTTTATTGGCAGCAAATGATGGCTGTGTAGTAAAAACTCTGGTTTCATGAAAGCGACAAAGAGAGCTGACAGGAAAATACCTGATATACGGATTGTACAGTCTTTAGGCCGTTCGACTCATCTCTTGGCTATCAGAAGCGCATGAAACCAATGTAGCAACTTACTGCGTTTGCTTGATTTGTTTGCAGTTCAGAGAATATCCGGCTGATCCAAAATCCTTTAACATATCTGGAGACGATTTTTCTGCTTAAGATAATTGTAAAGTTGTTGACAAAACATGGCCATGCATCCTGAGAATTAAAAATGTCAAAGACACTGCAAACAGCACACGTCAGATTTTCATTCTGCAAGTAATCTAGAACATTTACTTTAATATCATTGACCAGTCATTGTCTTAATTGATCGGGGGCATGGATCGGGGATTCCATTTGATCAGGCTCATAAGCAACAGACTTTTCTTCTTTGATTCTTTCAGATTTACAAACATCTTTGAAAGGTTGGTCGAGATCACATTATCGGAGTAGACAGTAAAAACCGTATTATGCAATATATTTTGTTTCAATAGACTATAGTAAGCTACCGGCCAACACCTAATGTTTGGTTATTAGTCGGAGCAGCGACATGGTTTTTTGAGTAATCATCATCAATGCATAGAAGATTCAATCTCTCGTCATCAGCAACAACAGGCGTTGGCCCTACAGTGTCACCGTGAGAATTCTTTATAGCAGCGGTGACGTGTGTAACAAACGACCTATTAGTAATTGAAGTGGCGTATCTGGTCGGATAATACTCAGATTTCAAACCAGCAGCAAGTGGCTAATCTATTGAATCAGCATGGATTCCGGCCATATCGCTTGCAACATTGTGACCTCCATGAACAGATCCGTCATGCCCATTTGTAGTAATTAACGCAACAGCAGATGAGATAACGAACCACTCATAATGTGGTGACGCTGCTCCTTTGAAGCCGTGACCACAGACAAATTCGCAGAACGAACTTTGAATGAACAGCGGGGATCTTTATTTGTAGCAAGTGCCTTTAAAAATAAATTTGCAACATTGGACGCATAAGACCATATTCCAATAATATGCGACTCAAGGGCGTCACAGCCCCAAATCGTTTGATTTCAACCACACTGTCACCAATATCATTAATCTGACCTGAATGACAAATTAATTCGCTGAACCAAATATTGTTAGCGGAGATATTTTGGGAAGCACCAAAATCAAAATACAACCGTTTGCAATTGAACATCAGCTAGCTAATTACCTTGAACGACAAAACAAACAGTGACTGTTCAACATCCAGAGCATGCAGGACTAGTACGGTGGTAAAAGCATCAGCCGCAAGTGAAAATCCAGCAAAAGCTGGCCTCTGTCCCAATCATTTAGTAACCAAATTTCCATTTAAGCCACAACGACAGCATCTCGTTTTTAATCGTGTTGGCTTTTTGACCGGCTCTTTACCAAATGAAGTTGTCGCCGTGGATCCTGGGCTACCAAGAACTGCTCTTACACCAAAATAATTGAGCAAACCCTGGCATCAATAAATGAAATCAAGTAAAATTGGGGAAATTAATTCAGATCCTTTTGCACGTACGTGGGATTCAAAACAAAGCAAGCATGGAGATTCACAGCAACTTCATCAGTATTGTCGACCTTGAGAATATCGCAATAGAATTTATTAAAGTATTTAATGAAATCCTTTAATTCAGTAATCTATTTCGCCAGTTACTATCAATGAATGTCCTGGCTTTAAAGGTCGCAGATTGGAAGCAAATCGTACCTTGAAGCATCTAGAAGTTATCCAATACTTGACGGCCACGCCTTTCATTGTAAAGCAACTTTTGCCATTCAGCTGGATTTAATCCGCCTGTAACCAACCTATTCCAAATGAACTCCAATCAACATTCGTTTTGGCTTAATCGTCAACACCATCAAGATTGACATCTTGTCCGATAAGGACTTGGGCCAACGGATTGAATTAACCAACTTTGTGATTCAAGGCAGAAACCCAAGTAGAAATGTAAGGCCTATCAATTAGGTATTCCCAATCACGCAGCGATGATTCTCGAATTTGGCGGATATCTATGCAGGAAATCCATCATAAAATATCAAGGTAAAGACGTAGGTAAGAAAAAACGACGGAGCAGACAAGACCTGCCCCGCTTATTGAGCAAAACAACGTTAGTTGACAGAGCGTCACCGGAGCAGACCATTTAGCGAGCCCGAGAAGCTGAATGAATTCAACGGGATGCTTCCGGCAGCCTTATCAACTGGTATTGGTTTTGGCGAACACATGATGATATATTAATGTAAAGCACTATATTGGAATAAAGAACAGATGAGACATGACCACTTTTTTTAAATGGAACTGCGTTGGATCACTGAGTGACAGGGAAGCGTACCGGTCATATCGTAGGTGAGTCGGAATGAAGACATCCGGGAGCCTTCCATCAGCCGCCGTTGACTCACTGACCAGTTGTGAAAGAAGCAGGTCGGTGCAGTTTCACATTTGACTGATCTTGCAAGCGATTGATATCTTTTGGACAGCGGCTACTTGGTGGAGTGCGAATCGTGGTCTTTAGATTTCGGCTCACGGGCGCAGTGAGGTGAGTTCAAATCTCAGTCACTGGTTTCCAAAAGAAACCATTTTGAGGTGAGTTAATTGACTGAGTTTGAAATACTGTAATGTCTGTTGCACTCAGAAGGATTTTCTAACGTTGATGCAATAAGGCATGGGCACTGATTGTTTTGGGCTAGCAGAAAGTTACGGCGCCAGTTCGTTAGTTAGCTGGTTCGTTTGTTTGCGAACACCGATTTTTCGCAGCAGCTATTCAGCCTCTAATCAATGACATTTATATATCATTAACCGCAAAACCAATAGAAGAATAAATGAATTTTGGAATGAACAAATAAAATGAGAATTATAGTGCTTTGTAATACCAGCTTAAAGATTTTTGAAATTAAATCGAACATTAATAACAAAACAAGCCTATTCTTGGTGAGGATATCATCTGCACTGTCGGTCTGAAATATATAAATCAATACCGACGATTATTAAAGATGAAGTAAAAAAAACAATGAATCAGAGATAACAGCAATATCATGTAAAGACCAAGACGACAACCATCATCAATCGAATCGTTGACGGAAATCATTGAGATATTAGAGAACTGGAGAACTAACCCCCTTAGCCAAGATATCAGCACCATTACCTTCAGAATCAATTCTTGCCATTGTGAATGCAACATTGCACAAACCTCATACAAAAAGTTACCTGATCGATATATTCTTCAAGGTCTTGTGATTGGTGGGATGGTTGCCTAAAAAAATATCAAAAATGTTACCACTATAGATATTGGTTTTATCATTGGTTCCAATATATTAGAACACTTGCGTTAGAACTCACTTTCGTTCACTGCTTCAGTGAGAGAAATCTATTGAGCTTCACAAGTCAGCATGCCCACCAAAGACTCTTTTTTCCAATTGCCAGTAGCTTGATTTCATTTGATCAGGAAAGTATATCTTCCACCTGAATTTCGATCAGCGGTATCTCCAGCTCAATCACTGCTGGTTTATCAAAGTAACTCAACTAAGGTGGCAGCTTTGTATTAAACAGTTCTTGGGATTGAGTTCCAATATCTCAATGCCTTTTTAGCAATTTTTAGAGGGATCTTAAATGCTGCACCAACAAATATACTGGCGAACCAAGAGCAAAAATATGATTGTAGCAAAAACAATTTGCAGGAACACGGAACGATCCAACAATTGATTTGTAGAGTGATGACTCATTGCCTGAACTGAGGCACTTCTGTTTCAAGTGGTGCCCTGGAAGGGTTTGTGATGCTTCCTCCAGCCAGCCACTGAGACTCAACTATTGTGAACTGTTGATCCACGTTTCTGACGTAGGTCTTGATGGACACCCCAATAATTTTGTTATTTTGAAGAACACCAAAGCCAAGATATGCGCCAGGAATCGCTACAAGATCTTTATGTGAACATTGAACTGAGATATGACTGAACCGGCCTCACCATTGCATCTGAAGATTCGCAATAAAAACGATTATCCAGTTGAACTCTTAGCTTGCGGCCGAGCTTGTAATTTGAAAAAATGAATCACTCCATGCTCAGCTGAAACACTTCAAAACTGAATCGACTGAGATTATTTAGCGTTGCCTTGTACCAACAAAAATAAAATGTTTAAGTGCGTAAATTCATTTGCCTAATTTTCAAGCTATCACAGAATATTCAGCATTTCAAACTCACTAGGCTCTTTCATGAAAATTCTGGCGTCGATATCACCATCAAAAAATGGTTGTGCGATGTCCATTCATTCAACCTTGAATAAATTTGAGCAACTAGTCTGGCATTTGCAGAATCACTAGTTAGTACTGACTTCATTGTCAACACTTGACAAGGACCAGCAGGTGGTTTCGCGGAAACAAAATCAACCAGCAGGCACGTATTGCAGCTAACAATTGCGTGACTTTTTGATTAGCAAGCCGCTTTATCGATAGGGGCTGCAGAATTTGGTTTCACGGCAGTAGCGGCAAGTTGTGCAGCCGCCATATATGGCCGAAGGGACTTGTTATTGGTGGAATCTTTTGAATAATCTGTAAGCCATTCAACTACGTGCGCAGCTTAATTGACTTCATTGTGAAATATTTTTGTCGTGTAAGGAACTTGGGCGCTATAAATTTCCGCAGTAGCGATAGCATCCGCGGCCTGATCAGTATCATTCAAGAACCCCACAGATTCGTTTGAACTGACATATTTTTCAAAGACACCATTTTAATTCTCATTATCGGGACTGATGTCAATATATTCATCCTCCTTAACATAGTCGTGGTGTGATGATTCGTGTCAACAAATTGCAGTTTTGTTATTGATGTCATTAGCAGCCGTAGCTGATTACCTCCCATATCGGCAGCCCAATTAGTTAAATTCTATCCGCGGGTAAAAATGTTTGATCACTAGCAGTAAACGATGAATCCTTGAAAGGAAATTTGGTGTCATCAAATACTCAAGATGAACTAACGACAACTCAGATGGTGCTCCGAATGTAGATTCGGCGGGCCTTCCTACTCATGCTGTGGCCAAGACAAGCGGACAGCACTTTTGTGTCACCCATCATGGTTTGCCTGAGTTTGTAGTGGATCAAGGCATATAGAGCTCATCCTATCACCTTCACATCGCTCCTGTTCCAATTGTACGATAAGATATCCGAGCACAAAAACTGAACTGGCGCCGGGATTGATGGATGTTAAGTTCATCAAAACACTACTCACATTACAGCATCAGCTTGAAGTATTCAGTTACATTCACGTTATTTGCCATTCTCTTGGTCTTTGCTAAAATTGTTTTTCGCCAAATCTTAGGGACCCCAACTTGATAGGCCTCATAAGTAATTGAACGTTGATTGTTGACTTATTTTGTGTGACTAGGTCGGATGATCCTTTTGCATGCAAACTCGTTATCAGATGCGGCAGTATGAACCAATTTATCCAATAATCGTGAGGTACATAAAATATGCAATTCAAACAAGGCAATTGCTGATCGTAGTCCAGCATTCAACAAAACAACAGATTACCTTCAGTGATGATCATCAATCGCGAGAAAATATCCATTCATTTCTACATCAAGGAATGGATTGGGCCTAACGATAGCAACATGAAACAGACGAAACGCAAGTTTTGGCTGTCTTGTGGACTTCTTTTCAAACATTTTGATGACTGTTCCATTTAGAGACGGCCGACACTTGGAACCGCTAGCTGCAGACACTCCATAAAGTTTGGATATATCTTTAGCATGAGTCACAACTGAATCACTTTACGGTTGAGGCCAGTTTCCAGTAGTTTAAGCAACAGCATCTGGGACAAAGAAAAGTAAAATCCTCCCGATGCTGCTTTCTATTCTGTATTGTACTGATGAAATAAAGTCAATGACTTTGGTCAGACAACCCGGCACCTTTACTTGATTTAATTGAAACTGACATTTGATTTGCCCCATGGAGAGCCTAATGGACATGATATATGGATGCACTACTCAGCAGCTTATCAGTGCCACTACCTTTGTCATCATCGGTCGTATCTCCATTATCAGTAATAAGAGCACAAAACGATGTTATATCACAGAATCAATCAGCGTCAGCCCAGATATGTTGGAAACACCGAAATCCAAAAAGACCCTTTTAAAATTCAGCGTCAACTTAGTTGTTTCTTTCAACGACCAAGGAAGCACCCAGTGGTGATGGTCGGCCTACGCAGCGCAACTACAGCAGCAGCAACAGCTGGAATTGACGGTCGAGCAGGAGCTGGCCGTGGTGCAGAACACAGAGTGGATAACCTTCTGGTTGTGTGACATAGGTAGCATGGTACTTTCTTTTGTTTCGGCTTCTTGTGTGGATCTTTAAAAGAAAGAATGGCGTTGTTGAGCTTGACCTTCCCGCAATCGCATCACTTCCAAGATAATTGACCAAAACATTTCCATCAGTAAACATATACTTTGACAATCTCTATAATGTGGAAGCACTTTTTTGTGGTAGGTGGTGTCCAGAACAGAAGCAGCAATGAAATTGGCAGTAACTTGATCAGTCTTGTAGACGTTGAGAATATTGCATCAGAACAAATGAAAAGGTTAATTGTATTATTTTATACTGGATAATGCGTTTCCCCACTTCGCAGATAATGGTGAGCTACTCATAATAATATCTGCTTCAAAGCCAGTAGTTCCATATAGCTTCTAGATGTTAACCAATAGTTGACGGCCGTACCGCTCTTAGAGTAGGACCCTTGCAACATAGCAGGAACTGATCGGCCGGTAACTAACGTAGAGCAAATGCAATCAATCGCAACCTTCACTTTGTCTGATTCGACATTGTCAGCAAGGATAGCATTTTCTTTGGCAAAGGGTTAAACCAACTGACCATAATGTGCAGCTGTAAGGATTGCGACCGAAACCTCAAGCCTAGTAATAGCCGCATTCCGCAACTTCTCTAATATATGTTTTGCAACATCCACAATTGATCTCATTACCTGTTGAAGCCAATAAGTGATAAAATATTAAGCAAATGAAATATATAGCAAATGAAAACGTAAAAGAAATAGCCAGGACCCTAAGAAAACATTGGAATAGATCACAGCGTTTTACGAATGAAGACGGGTGACAATTTGCAAAGAATGGAAAGAAGAGACCCGGGTGAGTCACATCAATATCGAAAGTTCAAGCGATCTGCTTAATTTTGACGCTGATCTGGTGACGCAGCAATAAACCGTTCGAGCTGGCCGAGCGGCAAACAGGTGTGAGAGCGAATCACCCACTCCATGGATGGGCTTAAAAACTCAGTGAAGTGTGTCCGGATCCGCGTCAGGAACTTCTGGAAAATATCGTTTATGCGAGATAATAATAATTAAATTGCAAATTGCGGCATCTCCGTTGCAGTTGGAAGATACCTCCAGCCATTCAACAATGAAGCACGAAAAAGAATGTTGGTTTGGGCGTCATCATAGTAGAACAGCCTGTTCCGTTGATCGGGAGAACCATCTGTCTCAAAACACGTTTCAGGGTAGAATCGTACACTCTTTTATGAATTCAACCGCGAAATATAAATCAATGAGTACGAAAAAGCGATATTTAAGAGAACAAATTTAAATGGATGTCCTTAACAACTCCAGTGGGAGCCTCTCAATCCATTGTGTTTCGTGCCTCATTGACGGTCACCGACCTGCTCCCGTGAGTGTCTGTGATCTAATCTAAATTGTTATAAATGGGGCTGGCGAATTGGTTTACGTTTTTCTTTGAAGTATTCATTATTACGTGAGTGCATTGTCGTTTATTTGCTACAAAAAACTCAATCCAAAATAGCGAAAGCACAGTGGCAATAATCAGATGATCCGACGAATGCGGGTACCTTTATTAATGTGGTTCGCGTCTTAAATATCAAAAGAGCTCAGTGCGCTGCGTTGGCTCAAGTTTGCTTTAAAGAGGGTGTTACTATTGCAAAAGCATTGATGAAGAGAAAGTTAACGTTGCGGTTAATTCCATCTGGCTTTGGTTGGTCGCTGGCGGATTCGTTGCTGCGGTATTGAAAGAGATGCTATGCAATTGGTGATATGGCTATCAATACTTAGTGAGAATGGAAATGCTTTACGGTACATTTTGTCTATTAGAGGGTAAAATTTTGACTTGCTAACTTACGCCCGGTATGTAGCAAAATAGAAAAGCGAAAAAGAAGGACTTTCATAAAGTGTTCAATGAGTTTTTTGGCCGTATTTTCATGATCTACAATATCGACGAGGTTGCTGCGCATTTCTATTCTGCTTCTGTTTCAGCGCCGCTACGCTGAATCGGTTCATACCAATTTTACAGACCATCAAGAACTTAGATTTAGTCCAGGAATTCTTTTTGTCAATTATCTGTGTGGCGATGCGTTTGCTGGTTATTCAAGCAGCAAAGGGTAATTCTCCATCGGTAGAATCACATTGATGAAGCCGAAGGAAAGAAAACTGACGTCCTGTCGTTGCCACACAACCAGACATTATTTTGTCTGTGTTTTGCAACACCCTCTGTTCTTGCTGTATCATCTATTCTCGCTAATGTTTCTCTTGCTGCAGCTTACCTGGATACACGAAAGATGGTCGGAGGCTGCTTTTTAGTTTTTCAAAATTACATAGCAAGCTCATGTGCAACGGCCATCAGATCAATCTTGATTTTGGTGTGCCTCAACATATCTGTGCTGTCGCTAATTGATTCAGGGACGTAACTCTTGGTTCAGGTCTGATTGACGTTATTGAGGACCCTAACGTTGATATCAATGTCATTGGTGCTGTGACAGTTCTGAATGGTTGATCGTTACAATATGGTTTTATCCTGCTCTTTTTGCAAATATAGTCTTTTCTTCAGCCGCTTGAAGTAAAGGTGCTTAGTTTTCATTCAAAACTATCATCTTTTCTAGAATGGTGTTTTGGCTAGTAAAAGAGCTGCATCATAATTATATAAATGTGTCGTTGCCTCATAGGCAATTTCGTTAATTACTACAAACTGGCATCAACGATCAGGTCATCGATGTTAAGCCGCCCCAAAAGATATTGCAAAGTCGTAGGGCATTTCCGCTGCCAGCTCATAATGTTTGTCATCTCGCAAAGGAAAACGTGGAAGATTATTAATAATTTCTCTACATGACAGGCCAGAGCTAATTTTGGAATACTTCATGTTGATATTGTTAAGCAAAAAGTAAAAATTACTGTTAATGTGAGTCGTTATTCTGTCACCATTTCTGTTAGTTACTCATGAAAGGACATGTTGCTCTCATTGAAAACGATGATGAGCTACTGCCACATTTGTATATTATATCAAACTTATCAAATGATTACTGGGGAAGACGATCGATACTGTCCGTTCGGTTAGCAGGTTGGCTTGCAAGTAGTTCAAACGATTTTATTAAACTCAAAAAATGAACCAATTTAATGTCATTCTCATCTGACTCTCATCTATTTGGTGTCGGTGCACGTAGCCAAACAGTATCTTGACAATGGCCTAGACAATGTTAATGGAGAGTAATGTTCTTGATTAGTATTAGAACGATGGAGCGAGGTGTGCCGCGGGATGATAATTTAGGTTCCAGCCAACCGGAGCGCTCTCTTCACAGGGCGTCGTTGATTTTATTTCGGATAAGGTTCAGCTGCTACTTTGTTGAGGGGATTGGATGTGCTGCCTATGGCAAAATTCCCAATCAAACAGCAAATCAGGTACGACGATACAGTACTCTTCTGTGCTATTGTTGACTTGAACATGTTTCGCAGAACTAACAAAGTCCACAACACTCCAAGCAGCTGTCACTTTGTCTGCTCTTCGTGTTGCTTCTATGAAACCACATTTGTTTTCAAAGTCCATGGATTGTTCTCATTGAAAAGCGGTTCAAGTTTCCGTTGGAGTACGATCTAAGATCCCTATTGTTAAATGGAGGGATCAGTTAATTGCAAGGGGTGACGAAAATAACACAACTGCTAGAACCTCAAATATGTTGGCCACAAATGCAGTAAATCCATTCAACAATGACGACGAAAAGGATAATCGATATATTGACATCACTGCAGAAGATGAAACTACTGATCATTTCGGTGGCAACGATCTAAATTCAATAGAATGAGTTCCATTTACAGATGATAATAATGAACCTGGCCACAGTCACATTAGTGTTTGCTCAGATATCGACCAACGTTTCGGATCCAAAAACATTCGCCAAGAAGATCTTCATCAGATTCAACAGGTCCATCAAAGAATTGCAATTGATTCAACAAGTATAATTAAAGAGAGGGTCTTCTCGACATTTCTTGGCGATGCATTTGTCAACCCTAGTACAGTGGCACCAAATCGTGCAGATCCAATCGGAGAAATAGCTTGCCAATCAAATCTGCAGACGGTGCATAATGATAAAGCCCGCCAGTGGGGTCCTCTTTTTGTATGTTTAAGGGCTGTCGGCTGCCGTTGCGTGGTTCCGATGCTGTCACCGCTATCAGCTGAATGTCCAAATCCTACCCAAGTGACTCATCTTCTTGTTCTCTTCAACCTACTTCTTTAGCTGATCCAGTTAGTGCAGACACTTGGAATAAAGATGTGATACTCTCTCTTTGGATTGCAGCATCTGCGCCATTTTAAATTGAGCAATTGGATTTGAAAACAGTTTATCAGCATGGTTATATGGACGGAGAAATACAAAAATTGCTACCCCTCAAAATTGAAAATCTAGCGTGTGCTCTGAAAGGTTGCAGGGTATAGCAAATGAATAGTTAGCTCGAGCGACAATTACCATCTTGGTTAAAAGAAGTGCTAATAGGACTTGAGATAACTGTGATTTGAAGGCCCTCAGCTAAACAACTTGGTTTTGATCTTTCAAGGAACCGTCAGTCTCGCACTTTAAACATGTATATCCATTATTATATTATTGCGGGAATATCAAATGCCGTGATGAAACCGGTGAGATCATGCTTGTGTTCGATGATCAAAATGATGGATCATTGAGGGATCTTTTGTCGATCTCATTGACTTGATCCTAGTGACAGTACGGAATGTATTGATTGGCCTATGAAGACCGACATAACCCTGACGGTTCAACACCATAAAATCAGTGACTCTGATTTAGATGATACACCAAGAATGATAATCGAATAGAAGGAACTACTTGAAAGACATCGCTCTGATTGGGATGGTGAGCCGTAATCGATTTTGCAACCTATTGAAGGTTCAATGCTTTTGGCTGAAGATTGAGTACGGTATGATAGTGTTTATGCTGGTTGATTCCTAAAATGATAGTTCACGCAGCGTTCAAAATCAACTAACATTGTGTTAAATTCGTGTGGAAACTTTTCAACTCAAATTAATCAGCAGTTGATTGCAAACCCGCTTCTCTGTTTTAATCGGTTAAGTACTTTTGCAGTGATGTAGCCGGGGATATTGATTAATAGCAATCAGTTGGTGGCATTACGTTTCTGATTTAATCAATGAAGTTTATCGAACTTAAAGAGGAAGGCCTCTGAGCATTTGCTGACTTGCAAAACGCAGTATTTTTGACTGAGTCAGCCGGTCAAAATGCTGTCTTCCCAATTAAGTTTCAAAACAATAATGGTAGATGTGCTGCAACGCGGCATTATTCTCGGAAATAGCAATTTATGTCTCAATTTTGTTTACCACCCTACCCATCACATAAATTCTAGCGGCACGTGAAACCCTTTTTCAAGGGATGAAATGAGTAGGAAAGGGGGCTTGAGAGTTGCGAATATTGATACTGAACGTAATCAAGTGATATGTTATATAGGGCGTTTAGTGCAGAAGTGATTATGCATTTTCTGAACGTTTGAAATAAATGGGGTAATCAATGCTTGTCTACTTGTTGTCGACAACCTTTTGGCTTTATTTAGTTTTTATTACTTGTTGAATATCTTGTTGACATTGGTACCTTACTGATGCTCAGATGTTCTACGAACTGTAGTGCTAATATTTCTCCCTCTGTTGAAAGTTGATCCTATTATATTTCGTAGCGAATTCAACATAATATATTAATGTAACGAAACTGATGAGAAAGAAAACCGTAGAGGAGATCGCCAGCCGTTGTCATAAAAAAGTGGGTTTGCTCACAGAGGGTCAAAAGAGCTGACCGGTGGGAGACAGCGAAGTACTTAATGTAGACATCCGCAAGGCTCAGCACACTTTTGGGTGCCATCATTTTTACTAAACGATTAAGCGGGAATTAAATAATCGTTCTATTTGCTTTTAATCACTTGATATCTGTTATTTTGTATTATGTTTAGGCTTATGTAGCATTGGATTATATTGAGCAGTGAATATTTGTAGGGAGATAAATGGTTCGGACTATTTGGTGTTCTCCAATAAACAAAGACGCGAACGAACCGATAAACCAGGTAATGCTCTGCGGACACAAAGGAAACAAACTTGCCATTCCTCATCAGTTCAGAAGACAGAAGGCCTGTAAACTGTATTTCATGTTGCAGGTCTTGATATGGAGCAGTTTGTTTCACCCCAAAATGTTTTGATCAAAACGGCTGTGGCTGCGAGTCAATCCCACTTCACTGCTTTTGTCAGATGATTCTTGCAAAGAGCTGTACGCACTCACGGCTGGTAGGTTGTCGGCAAACGCCAGCGGTCACTCGTAGAAAAACAACAATATTTTACAACTTTGAGCGGATCATTTGTAGTTTCGTTACAGGGTTGCAGAAGCAGTTGTGCGCTATTCGGCTGGCGGGAGGCGGACACTGAGTCTTTGTCGCCGGCTCTTGTTGTTTACATATTTTAATTAATCCCAGCTTTCTATGAATCGGCTGCTGACTTCCAGCACGTTTGGTTTTATTATACACTATCAAACTTCACTATTTTATCGCGGAATCGATAGAGAAATAGAGAAAAGTTGCGAAGCTGTCGTTGAACTGCAAACCGTGATATGGAAACCCATTCAAATCTCAACTGTTTATTGTTAACACTGATCGTTTTGCCGGGGTTTTTCACCCCGATCAAATTGATATTTTCAGTTACAAGTTTGCTGGAGTCAAGGAATTGCTGGTGTGTTGAATCGGAATGGTGGATCATCATTTAACGTCTTTCATGCTACCGAATACGGATATTTAATTTGAATTGCAGCTTCTACAATTAAACAAGTATGGTTTTCATTGAAAAATGATTGTGTTAACCTAATTGAAGAATTGCCTTGGTAGAAGAGACTCCTCAGCATTTTATGATTGTGTGGTTGGCCCATCTAGTTCTGCGCTAGTTACTCCCAATAAGACTAATCGAATATGTCAAGCTGGTTAAATGAATGATAGAATTTTAACCTAGTTGTTTATCCTTTTTGCTGCTGCTGGTTCAAAGTGAAATTATTGACAAAAATGAAGAAGCACTTAAACTATTAATATATATTGTGCATGTCAGGACGCAGTTTCTGTTGCAATTTCCCGTTCACAATGTCACTTTGATGCCCCTGGTTGCTAATGATCCTAGTAGTCATCTTCTTAACGTCGATCGTTCTCACTGAAGGTCTCTCGTTGATGCCCCAAACACCACATGCCCGTCAGCAATTGGTTCGCTGGTTCATTATATTTGATTGATTACATTGTTTTAGGATTGAATAAAACAAAGAGTCTCTTCTGATACTGAAATTGCTTCAAATCTCTTAAAAGAGTTTCGTTACAGTAAAAAAAATATTCATCAAATTACAATTCCTTACACCACTCATTATAATTGGGTAGCTGTACGGCAAAATAAGTCATACACAACGACAGCCAAATCAATGTTCTTTGAACCTAATTTTCTTGATTTCATGGGGATGAACCTGTGAAGTTCGCGGTCATTCGAATCGATTGGGTCACCACCAAGGATGGTGGTTTTGCTTTCGCCATTCTTTGAATGAATTAAAATAGAAACTGACCTGGAGCATTGTGGAAAGCGTTTAATTGCGCGACTTAAGCGAAAGTCGCCAAGGAAATCAGCCGGATAGAAGAAGGTGGTATAAGTGCTTCTGGGTTTTCCTTGGTTGCTGCCTAAGTGGAAATGCATATTGAGTTCTCTTCACTAAGAGCGGCGCTGTTGTTGTTTGTTCTTCCAGTCAATTTGATCAAACTAAAATTTTTGAGGACGATCTACAATTTACCGCTATCCAGCCAACAGCTCTACCTGCATTCGAGTAAAAATTATTTCTGCTGGTGTTACGGAAAAAGATCCATCGACTGCTACGAACGTCAAATATATCTCAAGTCCAAATGGTTGAAAGTTATCGGGATTGGCTTCAAACTAAAAATCAAACATTAAGTCTAATGACAAACTATTATATTGTGATTCCTTGGATGATCATTCGAAATAAAGTGTTCATTGCAAGGACTTCCAGTTGAGAGACCAGTTGATTGCTTTGATGACGAACTAGCAGGTGGAGTAGACCCCGGTGATGCTCTTTGTAATATTGACGAGCAACCCCAGAGCTAAAATGCTGTCAAAAAGATCATGAAGACGCGGAAGAGCAAGATAATTGGTTCTCAATCCAATCAAGAGAGACAATAAATGAGAGATGGCTTCAGAAATATTTGGCTGCTGCCCTAAATGCGGTTACTTCCATCAGTTTATATATCTAAGTCGCAAAACAGAAAGTTTGTAGCCAATCAAATCTTGTAGCAATGTATGATTACAAAACTAATCTTTTTGCTAATCTTCCTTTTTTGATCAGTGTGGTTGGCTGTCGCTGGATCTTTAGAGTGCGCGCTTCTCCTCCTGCCAATTTGGAAGAAGCCAAACTGGTGTGTCAAACATTTACCACGCATGAAAGTATTAACTTTGCTAAAACATTCCGTGCTTCATTAAGGTATACCCGCTTGAGACGTTGGCTTGCTGCTGCGGAATCAATGTCATGCAAGCTTCATCAAATATAAATGACAAATGCTTTTCAGGATGACCGTTTCGACGCTGGGTTTAAGAAAATCTACCAATTTTGATTTCATATTGAGTAATATCAACTGAAAGCTTGAAAAATACAATAGTAGGATTACGGTGCCAAACAATGATTTCTGTCATGAGGCAGGAGAGCGCTGAATCCCTTTCTAATTATTCTTGCTTCGCAGCTTGTGAGCTGAAGAATCTTGGTTTCAATTCTCAAAGAACAAACACCACCGGACAATAAGTTGATTGCGTTGTCATATGATTTTTTGCGGAACTGACCGGCAAAAGTCAACTGGGTAACCAGTCTTTGTTGATTGTGGAAAATAAGAAACTTTGAACTATCTCGGCAGGCCATCTTGCTTTTTAATTTGCTCAGAGTAAGGGAGCCACTTCTGCGACTAAGAGATCTTACATCAAGCTGAAACATCAATAGTTGCAATTGGATAGGTCTCATTCACCGGCTACACCAATTACGACTAACCAATCATCCATGCAACTCACCAAAAATACGTCAGAAGGAGATGAAGAATCGTTGTCAATATTCCGAGTAATCAAAGCTGGTTATGTTTTGCATCAAATTGATGATAGGTTGATATTGCATTTCATGTCGAGCTCTAACCAAATAACTTGGAGGACCAAGGAAGATTCACTTTGGCTGTCCTAAAAGAATCCAGCGGTATTTGACCTCTAATTCAATATTTGTTAACAACAAAGGTCCCATTGCGGTTGAGTTAGTGGGATGCTCTGACAGTGATTGAATTGCAGTCAATGGAATTCACCACTCAGGCGGTCGCTCAACTTCTGATCTTCATTAGAATCAAGTTATGCCCAACTCAAAAAGCGGGCCCTCAGTTGCTAGCTGATTTCTAGAGATGAATAATTTTTACTAAATGAGGAGTCCGAACAAGTTGCATTGCTAAATAAAATTTTTGATCTGATGAGCAACTGCTGCAAAACCGATCAGTTGCAGCAATAGGAACTTTGCTTTCAAAGTTGCGAATCATTCTACCTGTTGCAGGAACGTCAAGCGTTCTTCGGTTTAGATCATATTTGAGAAACGGATCACCTATTGGGGGGCTTACCTTTGCAAAATCAAACACTAGGCGTATAGATCCAGATATGTCAAGTACGATCCGTTGTGAACAGGATTTACTTCTGTCAATGAATTTCTTCAATGCCTCTCCCATTAATGATGGTGGCGCTGCCGCTTAAGGTTTTTCCAATCGAGATATTATTTTTAATATTTTGCATATCTTGTTGATTTTCCATCATCCCTATCACACGCATGGTTCACTTTGTCCAATTTCATTAAAATTATTCGACCTCCAATGTGAATGAATTATTGATGTTTAATTTTCAATGGCGAATGTATTGAGTGGTATTAATAAATGGTTGAGTATATTTCCGATTTGCATATTGCTGTGTATCGTTATCGATCAATCTTCTGTTCGGTTTTCATTTAACATGGGATTCCATAAATGTGGCATAACCTGTGGTTTTGACAAATGGCTGTTCTTCGACGTGGAAACAGCAGAACAACCCAGCCAGGGTCATTTTAATTTTGACACCGACCAAAAGAATGGACGTCATTCCGCAATCTTTTCAGGATTTAGCATGACTTCATTGTAGAAATCGAAAGCCCCCCGTTCAGAATAACCTATTTTCGTGACTTATCAATTCTTTCTTTTAAATGGCAATGGCTTTGACATGGAGCCATTTCACTGCGTCCGTGACCAATTCTTTGGAACCAATGGATTTTACTCCACCTTAATTGCACTACCGCAAACGCAAACAGCTGTTTTCCGGTCAGTAAATCTCTCGAATAGATTAATCGGAACTTTTCAGTTCCGCATACAATATTATGAAGGGCTGTTGTAGGTCTGCTCAATATTGAGAATCCGATTTTAAGTAGCTGTTACCGGTGTGCTCCAGTGACGCTAAGAGAATTGAGCCACCTTTCTCTACGGCAACCAGCGGTCTGTTATTCATCTCTTTATTGTATGTAGCTATTCCGCTTCTATTTTTCTTGAAGGATCTCTAAGATCAATTACTTTTTGCTTTGAAATGGCGGAACTGGATCTTGCTGTTGCCAATGTGCTCCGCAATTAAGCAATCTCTCACGCAAATATGATTTGATGTGCAATGAAAGAAATTATCACTAGGATGTGCTATCAGTAACTAATTATGGCGAATAAGAATAATATAAACCCAACTAGTATTAGTTCCTAAATGGCGCAGCTTTAAAAAAGCAGGTCAGAGCGCAAATACTATTCATGACCGCATGGATTACATCCTCCTGATGTTGGCAGCCACCATTGCAAATTTGCCTAATAACCTGTCAAAACCAATACAGGATGTTATAACAGGTGAAAAATTCTTTAATATACCCACAAGCAAATTGAAGTCATCAGAGAGGCTCACATGATGATGAAGATAATAAAAAGTTACTAAATTAACGTTTTGACAAAGTCTCTTTGTCGTTTGTTTGAAATATTGTCAATTGCCTAACCAGCGTCATTAGTTACTGTGAGTGAGTGGGATGTCTGCCGACGATAATGTGCGAATTATGGATATTCGTTTCTGTGAAAATGTGGAAAGCCAATATGATTCCAATAAGTACAATTGCTATGCTAACGAATTGCGAACTGTTTTGTTTGAGAAATATATTGATGCACTACTTCAACACCATATCAATGAGGATTTGATGATCTTGTTAGATGCCAGCTTACAATTGCTGTATCAATTAAAGTCTCATTCTTGCGATTTTAGCCAAAAATTTGTATGAGCCAACGCATGAGCTCCGTTTAAATGATGAATCGCGTTAAGCATCAATGATTGAAAATGTTATCGTTCTGTTGGGTAATGATATTATAATTTCTTTAATTTCGGTGCTTAGAAAATCATTTGAGTTCTCTCAATGAGACTTTTAAAAAATGTGGCATCAATTAGCTTGGCTGAGAATAGTAATTGTAAACACCAGATTTAGAAATCACATATCTCTCATTGGAGATTCGCTTATCAGTAACGTCTTCGCTTTATGTGTATCATCGTCGTTTTACAAGCACTACAAATGTCATCATCATAAATGGTTATTAAACTACCTGAATTGAAAATGAAAGCTGGATCAAATAAGCTTTGAGTCTTGTCACTGCTACCATCATCGCCATTATTGATTGCATTGATCAAAATCTCTCATGCGAGTTTTAAGCCGTGCAATATACCTATTAATTTGCAAACATTTTCAACTGATCTTCATGGACAGCTGGAGGACCGAAATAAACGGGATAGTCAATTGATCCATTCACGAAGACCCTCTTGGCATTTAATTCGCATGATATTGCAGTGGAGTCGACAGCTAACAATTCCATTCCATTATATTCCATTTTTTGAAAGTGGATCATTCTCATCAGAATGGGATTTGCCAAGGTCGTGAAGCGGGCTTTTTCAACTAATCTTTGCGGAACTGCTCCGAACAACTTGCTTGACGATTCATATTGAATTGCCATCTTTTGTTGACTGTTGCAGCATTAAATGATGGTCGTGGAAATGATAAATAAACTTCATTCTACTCAATTGAACTCGCTTTGTTTGATAAAGCCGACAACCATCCTAAAAATTTTGGCCTGGTAACGCATCTTAGAATAGCGTTGGGAAACAATTTTTCGACGTTGATTCAAATCAATGCCCTTATGATCAACAAACGGAACCGTTTAGTTTAGCCAACCGCCTTCAACAAGTCCAGTTTCAACTGTGCACGATTCTGCTGGATGATCTTCAACTTGCTCAACTGTTGGAGGTGATATCATCGGAGTCAAGTTAACTTTATCTTTGCTGTTGAACAAATTATTGATTTGATGTTACATTTTTTCTTTTGGAGCGATGCTTCCAAGGTTGTTTGGTAGTTCTCATAGTTAGTCTGGGTTTCATCTAGGATTTGTTAGCATTATCACCTGGGTTCGCAGAAACCAAACGAATGATTAACTGTGATTCAACTATTGGTTTAGTAACAAGCTCATACCACATGTGTTCAGCAGTACGAACGGCAATCAGGCGTGTTCTTTCCATGGAGGTTGTAGGAACGGAATTACGATATCATTGTTTAACGGCTTATCTTTTTCAATATTTTTTTATTGAGAATGCTCTTGTCGGCTGAGCCAGACAGAGAAGCTTCAAATGAAAAAATCTGTCTGTTAGAAAACCAGTTGAATTAATCGTGGAACACCGTGCGGGTTCATTGATTTCAACTGGTATTGATTTATTTGACTAATAAGGATAAGTTTCATTGTTTGATCGCAACCACCTTGTTGTGAAAATTTTGTTTGAGTTCTTCGTAAACATGAAAGCGAAAACCGTTTGATAAATTAAGCCAAAAGGAAATATCAGTAATGTCCTTTCGCAAAATGGTTTGAGAGACATTATGATGGAAAGCTTAGATATGAGCACTGATTCAAGAATCGATTTTCACATTTTGTTTTCTTTGGCTAGTAATTTCATTTTAATGTTTATACTTATTTTTCTTTGCAATATAATTGTGCAAGACGATCAAATGTCCAAATGTAACGTTCACCATTTTCATTGTGAAAGCGTGAATGAGTTGGAGTGACGTATTGGATGGTTCCTGTCTCTCTGCAGAATCTTTAAAAGATATTTCTATTCAACTCATTTTCCTTTTTGGAACAACAAAATGATTTGTTTGTTAAAATCAGGAATGATTTGCATATTGATACTCAAATATGGGTTATTCAGCTACTGGGATTTGAACCAGCGAATTCACCAACAATAAAAATAAATATATTTTCCTCACTGATTATAGATTACGCACACTTAGTTGGGCCAACTCCATTTGAATAGAAATATTAACCAAAATTTTATTTGTTTAGTTGTAAAATTTTGCAATGTCGGTTTTGCTTAGAACCGTAAAAGATGCTTCTCATTCCTTATATGTACTATCAATATTGCTGGTAGTTCATCCATTTTGGGATATTAAACTCAATTGTTGGAAATCACAGTCATCGAGTTTCAGGTGAATTCGAAGGAAATTATATACTATGATGACAGCCAAATTATTTTGAATTATTTTGCATTTAGCAACAATAATAGAATGATTTTCTCAAACTTAGTAAAACTTGTACTATCTTTGTAATTCATTAGTTCGATCATCTGATATGATCATTGTAACCATTTTCCTGATATTGGACACCAATAATGTTTAGGTGAGTTTAGAATGATGTAGCAATGAAATAATTTTCAGCAACAAGCATTAACTTTTCCATTTTTTAAGCAAATATCTTCACTATTGACTCCTTTGATTAACGTGTTAGGGATCTTTTGAAGAGGTACCAGTTCAACATTGTTCACAACATACGTTGTTGCACCCCAACCGAGTTCTTGACAAGCAAGCGAATGGCCATCACTCAAATTAATATTGTCACGAGCTGATTTTGATGGATCTTGAATAAAAGATACTTAATGATGGCGTCAGTCAAATAATTGAATCATTTCTTAAAGTGAAATTGCATTGGTTTTCTGCCAACGCTGCTGTAATCATCAAACGACCGTATTTGAAGGACTTAATTTCCGTTCAAATGAAATTTCTCTTATCAAAGTCGTTGGCCAATCAAATTAAATCTGATGAGTTTCATAACCATTGGGTGTCATTAATTAATTAATGATTCCGATGATTTCAATAATTGATCTAAGCACCATTTCATTGGTAAAGTCGAATGTGCCGCCAGCTAAACTCTTGCTCTATAAATATTTCGCAATATCTTTGCTTTTTATTTCATGAAGACCAACATAAAGAGCAACAGATTTAATTCCTGGATAATGAGCTGAAACAATACCCTTTTGGATTTGAATTTTGTGGTTATTTAATTCAACAATTTTTGCTTATAATATAGGTTTAACGGTTCAAGTTCTTCAAAACACTTACAAACAAAGTTTTTCAGTTATCTTAATGAGGATCTCAAAGTGATTGCATTGAAAAAGTTTCTAATTGCTTTTGATTCAAAGGCGGCTTTCAATATCGATTGAACAGAACAAGGAAAGGTTTTTGGTGGTCGATTGGGATTGGTGGCTGCAAAGAGTCCTATTAGAATAACTTCATTGGTATAAAGAGAATTCGTGTTCCTGTGCGTGAAACAAGTTTTAAGCGACAGCAATAGAGCAGCGGTCCCAAAGAAATCAATCTTGATTTAGTGAACTCAATAACTGCATTTTAATTGTCATTGTTGCCAATGACGAAGCCTCCGCAACATTCAATCATTGTGAAAAGTGAAGATTGGAAAACTGTTAGGATTGGAACCTGAATATTGTAAATTATTTTAATGTAATTGATTACAATACTTTAATAAGTAATTCATTAATATATATTGTTATATATAAACTGTTTCCCTCTTGTTTCTACATATGTTTGTCTGTTATAACACTTTCGTTGGTTATGATAACCACTTTGAAAAATGTACAACTAGCTCCGACTTTCATATCGCAAATCTAAATTGGAGATGAAAATCAAAAAATATCTAGTCTGTTAGAAGTAAAATATCAAAAAATGAAAAGAAATCGGAAAATATAAAGGAACTAAACAAAAGAAGCTAGATTTTTAGGAGATCATAAATGAACATAATGGCTTTTCCTAGCCTTAACTGATGTACAAGTCATCTGAAAAAGTCGAATAATTTTACGATGAAGTCGATCAAGTCCAGATGATCAAAAGCAATATTTTCATGTAAAAATAGATACAGGCCAAATATAAAGTACAATAGCTGAAATAAATGGTAGATAGACGTAAAATATTGATAATAGTTAATGTTTCGATATATATGTCCATTGTTCAACTTTTGCAGTATTGCAATTGTAAAGATAGATGTTGAAGCACAATTGGAATTTGGAATGAAGGTGGAAAATAATTGGAAAGAAAACCTGTTGATGATTATGTTTGTTCTTCTTAGAAATGGTGCTCTTTCTTCTTGAAGACGCCAAAAAATTGGTATCAAAATAAATTTATATTATTCCAGTATGTTGCCCGCGTGCTTTAACAACCCGAGACAAATCAAATTCGTTATCAGCTACGGAAAAAAAGAACGAATTCAAATGATGAAGAAGTTATTTATTCATTAGCTCCACGAACAGCAGCTTTGGACAAAACAAACCACAGAAAATGTCTACTCCATGATAAACATGAATAAAATGGTTCCGAGAGCTTTAACACAAAACTAGTTGCAAAAGGATTGCTTGAAAGACTTGCCCATATTTAATATGAAAGTTCAGTCCCTACATAGAAAACAAAACACATTAAGATCGAAGGATTGATTAGCCGCCACTAACAGGAAGAAAATCTGCCAATTTGTCCCCTACACGGCCTTCATTTGACCAGTTCACAATCTCGTTTCTCATGATTTTGCAGCTAACCATCTAGGTCAAAGGAAGAAGTATCAAGATTTAAAAAAGGATTTAACTGGTTAAGTGAATCAACCCACATTTGGTTTAATACCGTTGAAAATCCTGTTGATGCGGCCAAGTACTATTCAAACTCATTGTAAAATCTATGGTTTTTCTACAATTGAACTGGTTTCAACACTATTTATGTTGATGATTATTTGATTTTTGCAAAAGCAAAATTTGGTATTGACGATACAAAGATGTTGCATATGAAGATTTTTTCAATGAATGATGAGAGTTCACCAAAACATTTCGTTGGAATTAGTATTGAGCGCACAAAAAATGAATAAAAGATTTCTTTGAACGACTTTTTTGAAAGAGTGCAATCAAATTTGCATGAGCAAAATGTAAAATAATTTCGACCGCTTTGAGCAAACAATGAGAAAATGATGATGAATTAACATTTATTGATGTTAATAATGATTCAAAATATACCTCAATTGTCGGTGGAATACAATTTACGGCAAATACTCTTTATTAAGATATTTCATTTGCTTCATTACTGCTAAACACAAAGTTAGTTCGTCGATGGACGAATCATCTTTCTGGTGCGTGTGGAGCGTCACAATATGTTCGAACAAAAAAAAAGTTGTCCACCTATTACGTTGATGAACATATTGAATAGAATTAACCCTTTTTTATACTTCTTGAAAAAACGAAATAATTAACAATAAAAAATGATCTTCTTGACCGCTCTCCCGAACCAAATATTGTAATGAAGAGTGATTCGGCTACTGACAAAATAAGAAGAAAAAATCGAAGTTGCATTTCGAAGTTAAATATGGAGGTTGAAAATAGTGAATCATTTGAATAGGGAGTCGATTAATATCCTTTGGTTTTGAATTTATTTCCATCGTCTATTCAATAATATAGTTATATTTTATATGATTCGTTACCTAGAAACACCAATTGGAACAATATAATTACTACTTGTCCCATTACTATCACAATTCAATAATAAATTTGAAAAAAATTTTATCATTAACGTAATGCATAAAATATCTAGATTCATTATCACCATCGATGAATTTGTGGGACCCAAGAAATGGATCATATCATTTTTTGATATCGACAAATATCGTAAATGCATAAAATTAACTAAAGTTGGAAGAAATTCAAGTGTAAAAATAAAAAAATTTTTGCTAAAAATAGATGCAGCGCAAACGCTAAAATAAAGTAACTATATCTTACAATAGATAACGTGCAAAATTAAAAATAAAATAATTTGAGTTGAAAATAGAGAAAGCTATATAGATGATATCAGTCAAAGTAGTGATAATTATATCAGTTGTTTACATTCTCCAATTTAAGAGTGGTAAAAAAAGATGATGTTGTACACGTGGTAAACGGAATGAATGTGAAAATCAAGTGAAAAGAAATGCTTTGATTGTAATTTAATTTTTTCTGCTTACTCATCTTGACAAACTTGAATTAACATATTAATTTGATAAATATAGATAAAATTAATCTAATAATTTGACAAATGTTTGAAATGCAGTTCTATCAATTAACTTGTGATGAAAGTCGCAGATGTTCTTTTTCGTATTGTCATATTCGAGTTGTATTTGCTTATTGAAACCATGTTCATCAATAAAGTGATACTTATTGCAAATATGCTTTGAACCATCGTCATAGGAAACTGAACATAATGTGGAAGGACAAACGTTTTTCTCGGTTTAGAGTAGAATATGCCACTGGTGTTTTATCCCCTTCTTCTTCGCTTTAAAGAAATAGTCCATTGTTTGTGAAAGAAACAAACTTAAATTTTTTCAAACCTTTTGTATACCAGATATTTCTCACATTGATTCCAATAAGCAAGTTTACAACATCATCTATATTTACAACCTCTACATTCAAAGATTTGAACACTTGCTATATTTCGCCAACATTTTCCTTCCATTATTTTGTTACCTATATCGATTATTGCTCAACGTTTTTCTACTATACCTTCACCTTCGGACTGCTTCACATGAAGATATTCAATTTGAACATTAGGAATGGATCCATGTTTTCTTAACGTGAGTCTATTTGTACCCATATACTCTGTTTAATTTTGGTTGAACTTACGCCACTTCCATTTTTTATTATATCGTAGAAAAATATATTTGTTACTTTAAATCTTTGAAACTCAAAGAATGATTCTTTGATTTGGCACTTTTCAAATTATACACTCTAGATGAGTTGGTTTTGATCGTTTAAATGTTCATTGGTGATATAAAAAGCGCAGCTAGTTGATAAATTTTCTATAGAGTTGTTATAATTAACGAAAGCTACGCACGGTACTCGTATTAATATAAACATCATTCAAATATTTCATTTTATGAAGTTCATCAATTAACTCATTTCTAAAATAATCTTAAATAAACAATCTCACGTTCTAGAGCAATTTCTATTCTTCACTTTGCACAATGCTTTTATTACCTCCAAATTTCCTTTTTGGCAACATTGGCTTTAAAAAAATTAGTATATCAATTCAACCAATCAAGAATCAAAGTTTGGGACTGGTGCTGAAAAAGGCCTGTTTGAAAATGGGGTATCCCATTGAATCACCAACCACATTGATACTGATGACCTTAACCAAATTGAATTCATTGCTAAAACTGATACCAATAAAACTTCGAAAAGACTTACTGATTCTGTTGTGGCATTCATCAAAGTTCTTTAATATGCACGGTTCTTAACAAATACGAAGAGAACAACGGTACTGACATGTTATTTAAATGGAATGTAAAATGTTAAATGTAGGGAATTGTCAAAAAGTCAATCTTGGAAAATCTGATTATCTCCATCGATTAATCTATTCAAAGACAAAACTTTGCAAAAGAAATCAGCTTGGTTGCACCTCATATGCCCTTTTTAAATTTATTACTCATTCTCATGCTCCTTTCTAGTTAAAAATCAAAGAACAACAAATATATATTTGAAACAATAAAATAGCTGGCAAGGCATTTGTAGTTACCCACAGAAAGTCACTTTAATCAATTAATGACGTCTTCAGAAACAACCATTGATTAGTGCAAGATGCAATGTTACCAAACTTATCATAGTCAATTAATATGACCAATGACATTGCAAATCCAGTATTCCGTTAATCTGATTTTGTATTTGGTGAAATATTGCGATAAGTAATTGAATCGTAAAACTTAATATATATTGTATTTTTATTGAGTTTCCATTAAAATGCTATTAATGTATAGCTTTCTAAACCTATGAGAATTATTTTAAAAAATAGAGAATTATCAGTGCCATTATAATCTCAGATCAAAAATAGATTTAAACAAACCTTGTTACCCAAAAGTAAATAGTGAAATAGCAACAACGAAAATAAGAACTTTGAATAAGAAGAATTAAAACGTAGAAGGAAACATTTATTTTGAGTTCGAAAAAGATTATTATTGAGTTACGTCCATTCAAGTTAGTTGAACATCAAGTGTTATCATTGAATAGCTTTCGATAGAAAAGGATTAACAAAATTAAAAGAAAAAATTTTCATCATGAGCATAGTAGAAAATATGATAAATATATCTATTGTTTCAATCGCACAATCAAGACCTTGTGAAAGTTGATGTTGTTGTAAACAAGTTGATTGGTATTAATCTGAAATATATTTGTGATGCAAAACATTTGAAGGAGATTAAATTTGTTGGTTTCACACCTCATCACAAAGTTTAATTTGCGTTCTGATTTCATCAAAATTATTGGAATTATTTTTATACTTAGAGGACTTTTTGAAATGGAGCTGTATCAAGTATCTTGGTAGAAATGTCAGTGATATTCGATTTTGTACTAATAAGAATGACTTTTTGTTCGCTGATTACATATATGAACAGCAATAAGATGAAATCTATTATTGGAAAACTTCCTTCAATTACCAGCATATCAAGAAGAAGAAATATTCGCCATCAATGATTACCACCATATAAATTGATAAAGTCCGCCGCGCTGTTCAGTTCAATTAATATGCTCTGAAAAACTAATCTACCTGATATTGCGGCAGGAAATAAAGAGTAATCAGACTCGGCAGATGACAAAAAAGCCAGTGCTTGTTTTCTTCAAGGCCTAGTAAGCAACATTCGTTGATCATTCTGAATAAGCCACTTTCATCTTTTCAAATCATTTTATCATTTCTCAAATGACGGCCACCCACATTAGTTGAATGAACTATTGTTTTAAGAAGATAATAGTTGTATGTTGCAAGTTATCGTTTTTCAAAGAGGGTAAAATCGGTTTATCCTAGTTGAATCATATTTGCCAAGTATTGAATGCAAGAGTAATTCATTTCACAAACGTATCGCAAAACCCTGAACGCCGCAAGATAGACGATCTCTTGATGGAGAAATTAAAGGGCTGCCATAAGGCGATGTTGGAAAAGAAACATCATATCTAACTGTTATTCCTAAACGGTAACGTCTTCACAATTCACTGATACTTTAAATGATAATAACATCAAAGTTTGTAGATCCATCTTGAAATTGAAGTTCCGCGGTTAGAAAATTTTTTCACTTTTTTTGATTTTTGCAGTTGCAAATGCGATTGAATCTTTTCAATAAAGTCATTTATATAAATGTGAAATCTTTTATCGCGCTGTTCAATCTTATAACCAAAAAGTTATATAGATGATCTCATAATGATCATTGCAAAGTCATTCTTGAATGATGCCTTTGTTTTAAGACTATCATTGTTTGGCTTTCTAACTACTAAAATGTCATCATGATAAGTGCATGAAAACCCACTTGAATGCAAAAACAAATTGGGTTGTCACAATCGTTAGGATTCGTTACCGCCAGTTTTAACAACACTTATCACTCTGATGAACCAAAAATGGGAGGATTGCTTTCAACCATACAATCCGGTTTTTAATTTCTAAAAATCATCGTTTGATGCAGACGTTTCAGCAGAAGATCAAAATAATCTGCATAGTCAATTGGTCCGTTTAAGAAAGATTTCTTGGCATGCAACTGAGACATATTGTTGCTTTTTATTGCTGCCAACGAATCTATTAATCAAAAATCTGTATTTATTCGTAACTGGAGGTCAAAACTGAACATGGATATGGCCAAGTTTTGAAGAGATCCTATAGATAATACTCATGCCTTTACTGTTCAGATCCATTTGTTGGCTGTTTGCAGTGAATGGTGATAGATTGTTGCTTATTGTGTCTTTAATTCATCATGGTTGAACTTAAAGATAATCATCAATCTGCTCAATTGAATTCATTTTCAATGCTAATGCAAATCATCATTTTAATTACGTGGCCGTCTTGAATCATTTGAGAAGGATTTTGAAATAATACGTTTTTATTTGGACACCAAATATTGGTGATCTTCATCAAGGATGAAAACCATTTGAGAGAAACTTAAATTGAATTACTTTCGAACTTTGTCCTTTCCATTTATTTCTGGCATTTTTTTCAAATACAATGTATTAAACTTCATCTATCACTACGACTTCAAAATAACTGGAATGAAACAAATAACTTATTTATCAAAACCCTATCCATTACTTACTTTGTGTGTTCACCGATTATTAGTTAAAGTTATTCTATTATTCTTTTACCCAATGGTTTCTTTCTGATAAACTAATTCCATTTTAACATTTTCAAATTATTTGATCTATCATCAAAATAATTTGTTTGCCCACTCAATTTTATTTTACTGTATTCAAAGAAATGAGATTGTGACCTTTCAGAATTGCTTTGAAGAATATTTCCTTGTATTTCCTTTCGTCATATTTGCCGATTAGTTATTTTTTCTCGATATTTTATTTTTTACATTCCAGATAGTATTTTACAGTCAACATTAATCTTATTTTGGATTGAAGGCCGCAAATAATTGAATACCATTTTAGATACTCTTTAATGCTAACGTAAGTTGTATAGGATCAAATTATTTTTGAAAACACGAAATAAGCACTTTATATATCAATCAATATTAATCAATTGCTAATGTCAATCATTTAAAATATTCATTAGAAATTTAAACTGATTTTCAATATTGACTGTCTTCAATGTTTGAATTTTCTTAAAATTTCGCCATTGCCCACAAAGACTTAAAAAATAAGGTTATTTTAATTCAACTTCTTATATTTGAAAAGTGCAGCATTGGCGCTGAATGGCCTTTGTTTATTACATTTTTATTGAGGTGATTCACTAATTAGCTTCATAGCCATGTGATCAACTTAATTGCTTTCGTTGCCGCTGCTGATCCTGATTGAACTGAAAATCAATTTAGTCCTAGTGTTCGATCATTAACGAAAACTGCTTTTTAGCTCAAATTATTGAAATTACGGTAAAGTCAATGGAATTGAGTTGTTCATCAAGGTAAATCCTGAGTGGCTGAGTGTAAGATATTTTGAAACCCTAAAATTTTGGAAGGCAAGTGAATGCATCAAATTATGAATGATGTGACAAAAACCTCAAAAGGAAAAATACGATCGGTCGAGCACGTTATCTAGCATTTAAATGTATTTCCCGTTTTGTTTCTCTTGCTGACGAAACACACAATGAAGACGAAGACTAATTAGAAAACAATAGTTTTGCTGGCAACCCCTTTTATTTTACCGAAAACATGAGATTCTTGTCAGTTCATGACTTCTTCACATATAGCGATAAACTGAAAGAACAATGCTTCCTCAGAAGTTTAGTGGATCAATTTAAGATGAGCAATGGATGTGGGACTACAAATATCATGCTAACTAAAATTAAATCCTTCAGCTGTGGTTCTTTCTGTCGACTCTGCTGAATTGGCAGTAATGAAAAAGAAACCGGAACCAATCGAAAAATTAAATTCACCCAGATCGTGGAAGGGTACAAAGTTCCTTGAAAAATGTTTTTAATTCCAATTGTGGTTAGTTGATTTGATTGATAACTGTTTCAATGTTCAATTTGTCTTTAGTTCAAATTTAAAATTCATGTTGAAGTTCCTGTCGAATTTTCAGCTGACCAAAACCTTTAAAGACATTACTGAACTCTGTCAATGATGAAAATATTTGTACGACAAAAAATACTTGTAACGTTTGATGGACAAATCTATGTGATAACAAGTCTATATGAAGCCCACCAAGAATATCATTTGTGTTGCAAAAGACTCTGAAAATGGTTGCAAAGATCACATCGCACGGCAGCAATCAATGAGAAGAAAAAGGTGACAATTCCTCACTGTGAGAGAATTAATAAATGATTTTTGGTAAATGCAAACTAACTTCAAAAGGAATTGGTTTTCAACACCAAAAGTAATCTGTCCACAGTCACAATGACGACTGTCATTCTTCTGGCAATAAAATATAGCCTGAAGCAACAAGAATTGGACTCCAGCCAAAATAATAATGGACGAAACAAATGTAAACGCTTTGCTTCGGTTTTAAGCAAAACAAAACTTTCAAAATATTACACCTCCAAAGAATTAATCATTGGGCAAAATATCCCTGCTGATTTGGTTGCCTATTTAACGTCTAAACTAGGTTTTGTGCACTGCAAATTACTTCAATAATTAATTTAATCGTACCAATAAGTGCTAAGTGTTTGTATCGTATTTCAAGAGATCGGTTCAATTATATGCATTTGATAGTTAGTACAGCTCTCCACAACTGTAGTGTACCATTTCTGCATATTGTATTACAAATAAAAGTAATTTTTCTAGATAGAATCCTTCTAGGAAATAAAAAATAAAATTTTTTGAATAAGACAATCGATCTGAGTATACAAATGTTTTAAAATTAGAATATATGTTGTATGGGAGCATAGAATATGGTGAAAGCGTGACTTTAAGTAAAGTTACTTGAAATGCAAACGTGAAACGAAAATATGCTTAACATTAAATTGATGTAGCATAACACCAAAATTGGCAATCGTTTAGAAGAAACTGGAAACCCTTCAGATTAAATCGCATAAAAGGTAAATTTAAAATAAAATAACTATCACTAATGATTGTTAAATCGTCAAAGCAATAAAAGTCAATTGGTCCTAAATATAAGAATTGTTTAAGCCGATCAATGTAACACCTGAAAAATGGAGTTGTTCCATATCTTTTACGGGAAAACAATTTGACAAATTGTCAATTATAAAAACTGAAAGTGATACTATTTGTTCGTTTTAGACCTTTTCGCAGATTGCAATAAGGACGCAAATTCATCAAACAAAATAACGTAAATCTAATAATTTGACAATTGTCGGAAATGTTGGGACGACTGCAAACTATTGAATGAATGGAATAACTTATAGCAGAAAAAATACTGCCGAGGAGATCGGCAATTCTTTTCGTAAAGGACCACCTTAGATGACTGCATGTTTCTGGAGCGGAGCAGTCACAGGCACCGAGGGACCAAATGTGGACATCAGCGAGCGTCGCAACAGACCCCTTTTTTGCAGTGAGGAGTACTCAAACGATGCTACCATTGCCGTAGCACATTTGAATGGTCCTGCAAAGTACTGTTTTGCGTTAGCCGAGCTCTCAGCAAGAGGGTGTGCCAATCCTCATTAGAAGAGTTCCCAGCACCGGCTCGGTGGAGTCCGTTACAAATATATACGGCGGCTTCTAAATGAAATGACCTTGACGAGAGAGAAATAGGTGTTTCTCAAAAACTGCTCTCTTCGTCCCACAAGCAAGGCTATCTTACTTCTTCAAATGAAGAGGATCCGAGAGGATCTTTGAGCTGTTCGTGAAAAGCACTACGAGCCCTGTTGCTTTGTTCCCAATCACACATGTCTCAGAACAGCAGTTCAGCCAAGAAAGATCGACTCCCATATTCATTCGACGGCCAATGTACCTTATGAAATTGGGAAAATTGCGAAATAAACCAATCAGATATGGACAGAGGTACATGATGATACTTCATGACTGGTTTTCCCACTGGAAAAAGAATCCCGTGATACCATCAAGTGGTATCCTTTCTTGAAACAATATCACCACAGCTCTTCAACGACATATGTAGCAATGCGGCGGCAAATTGGTCATTAAATGAGATTTGCAATCGTAAATGCTGCGTTGGCCAACTTTCTCATAAAATGATACTTCAATAAAATAAGGCCGGAGTTCGGTGATTGGCCCAGAGGCCTGCCAGGTTGATAATATGGATGATATCATTGTGCACGATTTATTTATGAACGTTTGCACCATGATTTTGGAAAACCTGCATTTTGAGCGGAGCTGCTTTTACTGCTGTGATGTAGTAATCCATTTAGATTGACAGGTCAGCAACACCATGGAAGCCTTCTTCTCCCTGTTTCATCCAACTGCGTTTTAATTATTGAGTAAAGTATATCCATTAATTCATGTTCGGTCACCAAGATCATCAACTTATGCCCTGTCGGATTATTCCAGAAACTGAACGGAATACGATTGTTTTTGGTAAAGAGTTAAAATAGGAAGAGGATGGAGTGATATTATTTTATTAGCATTTTTGGGCCCCTTGTTTGATATTGGGTGGTGTACTAAAATATCGTATGAATACCCAACATCAAAAGCAATTTGTCACAGCAATTAGTTTGGGGCAAAAGGCAACACTGGATCAAATGAACGGCTGTGTGACAGCTTTTCAGCATCAAAATGAAAGCCTTCTAATTTAAGTAGCTTTTAGTAACGAGTAATCATCATTTGTGTAACCTGCAATCGAGTGTCATGGATTTTAGCGTGTTAGATCATCAGTGAGAGGTGTGTCATCATAGAACCCGAGATGCCTTCCTCGCGTTGAGCATTATTCCGTCCAGTAAAAACACGGACCATTACTATCTGATTCTTTGTTCTAAACAATTCTCCCCATATCATTTGACCTGTGTGACCGTTACATCTATTGAGCGGGCAAAAAAAACATCGTGGAAATTCCACGCAAGCGTTCAGTGGTGATTTTTCTTGCAGAAATGAAACGGCCCATGCTCTGAGGAAACTTTTTACTCTTGTTGTACACCGGCAGCATCTCCGCATTTGGCATGTTGGTTTCGCTGACCCGTCTGCTTCCACGGCGCTAAGTCATGTGACGATACTCCCTATAACAATTTTTTCTACTGTTTTTCTCTCATTTAATCCATTACTTTAATATTTTCTTTTGGATTCTTTACAGCTGCGTCGAAGACTAATTTCGAATGTTAGCAGACGTAAATAAAAGGAAGCAATGGATGGTGCTGACTTCACTGATTGGGCTTCACTCCCAATTTTCAAACCTGCTCACTTTACTCCGTTGGGTGAAGGATCTATCAAAGGATGTGCTATTGGAGCCCCTGATGTTGATTCGCATGAAGTATCGGTAGCTTTAAATATCATTTGGCATACGGTTGTATTTGGCAGATGTGGTTTTGCACTATTGGAGTAGGTACTATACTATTGGTAGTATGGCCGCAAAACATTATCACATTTTTCGAAGCTTGATGGCTCTATTTTAATAGATGCTGCCATTCTCAGCACCAAGTCACTCCCTTATTACAAGTGGCGAAAGTCATTATCGAATTGATGAAATTAAATACAATCCCTTGGTGATTCGTATTGCAAGAATCACAACTCTACAGTACCGAATCACTTGCAGCGATTACCAAACTTCCTCCCGATTGGGACCCCACTGTTGCAAGAAATATTGTTACTCAATTCACATACCACCACAATATTTCATTTGCTAATGACAAAGTCTCCGCCCACCATTTTGATCTAGAAGCAGTTGCTAGTAGCTCTGGATCACATCCGTTAGCTTCTGACGGTATGGACCCATTAATGAAATGAAATCCGAGATGAATGACATGCTATTGTTGTCCAAATTGGCATACCCGGGTAGTGAGCGTTTGGCACGACAGCCAAATTCTGCGGATTCATTTTTTTGAGCCATAGCATCAACCGCGACAGCGTTCTAGATGTTTCGCAACGTAATCAGCTTGTGTTTCCTCAGCCAAGCAAGGAGCCCAGTAACCTCTCTTTAAAATCCAACCGCCTCTAGTATGACTTCAGTGCTTTCCGTAATAGTTGGCCTCACCTTGGTTCGTTCAACGGCTCAATTTTTCAATCGGGTCGGAGTCCTGCCATTGGCGACATAATCGATGAGCTCAAAAATATTGCTGATGAAAGATATCTGAGTTATAGATCATTGGTACTTGTTCATTACGCTCCTCACGGTGCAGGTGTAACTTCAAACCCATCGTTTACATAAAATGGGCATGGATTTAATTAGAGCTGGAGTTCCTTTTTTTGAATGGTGAATTAGCTGGAAATCCATCCGCTCCAGGATTATATGCATGCCTTGTTACCCCATCTACTGCTCGGTAATTTACTACCGATTGCCGTCAACGATTTGGTTTTGAAGGTGAGAATCGTTCATCAGATATAGTCCCAAATCTATCGCATTTCAGCAGCTGGATGATAATGTGTGATTCGTCACAAAGAAAAAGGCCCAAAAGTCATCGATAAGTGCCCCACATCTCCGACCAGCGCTTTTCTTGTTTTTCCCGCAATTGATATGACTGCTCCAATGGAATTTCCACCGTGGATGAGATTTGTTTTTTTTTCCGAAAGGTTGATGATTGCCGAAGATATTTTGTTGTTGTTTTAATTAGTAGCGAAATCTTGGCTGCCGGCAGGATGGTAGAAGGAGTGTAATTTCTCCATCCACGATTGATTAGAGCGGATCATGCTGATGGAAGTGTTAACAGACTCGCATCGCAGCAGTTCAAAAATTTGTTTTCGATTTCAAACAATCGAACATGGATTGTCTGTTCGTGCAGAGTGTTTTCAAAGTTGGCTTGTTGTACGTTCGCAAAAGACAATCGTGAGGAGACCCAGGAAAACGAGGATTGGTACTACTGCTCCCAATTAACTTTGGCATGATGCGGTGATGAGGGAGCGGTTTCCATGAACTGGATTTCCACCAAAGATGCACCTTTATCCAATTCACTTTTGAAATAATATCCGAGCAGAGCAGCAAGTCATGCAATGATAGAGGAGTATGCACTTGCAGTTTAAACCGTGATCGAACCACAGAACAGGCAAATGAGCTTGGTGAAACAAGTGACCCTGGTGCTTTTGTTGAGTAGCACAAGAATAGAACGGCGGACGCAGTTAACAGTCCGCATAACAGCTGTGGGGTTGTCAGTTTTTGTTGCAGTTGTACCTATTGCTGCTTGTGTTATGTCGGTTCGTCTCGCCCCCGCTAGAAATGAAAAAATAACTGATCAGTGATCGCTTCACTCGATACAACAATGAAATCCTTCAACGAGGGTGCAAAGTGTATTGACATCATCCAGAAGGGGAAAGGAAGCATAGTATAGAAGACAGTAATTCGCTTTTAAAGAAATCAGTTGCAACCACTGACGGTACTTATCAAGCTGTTGATCTTGTTGCTGGTGCTTATTTGGTTATTCAGCAGCTTCTTCAATCCAATAGAGTTCTTCAAAAGTCCTTGCTGAGGTTGAAAAATAGTATAATTAGTTGACGGATCATCGAAGCAATACCATTGGAGACCAGTCTAATCAGACTTCTTTCGCTCTGCCCTCATGGCTACTACTCTTGACAAAATGCATCAGAACGGAGCCATTTCATACTGTTGATTGTCAAACAAAGTTTCTTGGACCGTGTGAGAGCAACAAGTATCTTTTCGGTGATCTTCCAGCTGGAACAAAAGGATTTGGAATTGCTTGGGCGGTTTAAATGATTTCGGTACCAACTAGTGATCCTGCCGTAGCCGGAGTAGTCGCTCAACGATTGTCTCAGCGTATCAATATGATTAAACCGATCCATTTATTGCAGTGATTTCCCATAAAATTGTGAGAGTCACTCTTGTTCAACCAACTTCAATGCCATCTTTTGAAAATGAGGGAGATATGACAGCTGCCTTTTAGGATGCTGTTATCGACGCAAAAAGTTAGATGGAACACCCTGAGGAACTTCTTAATATCAGTATTCTGCAAAAGAAAGAAAGTTCAACAAATCAGTTTTTGAAGGAAAGCAATCTTCTCTTTCATGTCTAAGAAAAATCGTCATTCAGTCCAATTGTTTTGGTTACAGGAAGCTTCAGATCAATATGGAGTGTCATGGTGTTGAAAGACTAAGCACCACCGTTTGGTTGGAGTGTATGTGAATGGCTGTATCTGGTCAGGTATGGAACGCTAAATCCCAGCAACGGTTCAACAGCTGAAAATGGACAGGCCTCTTTTGCAGGCTACACCAGCAATCAATAACTTGTACATTATCCGTTTTGAAACAGAAGACTCGGTTTTCGATGGCGAACAATTAGCACTTATCTGTTTTTTTGTTGGACTGTTCGTTTTGCTTTGAATAATTTAACGCTTTATACTGCGTTTGCTATTGGGTTACTCATTCTATGTCACGGCGCACCATTCAAAATCAATTCAACTGGTGAAAAACCATGTTAGGCTAATTAAACTCAATCTCACTACCTATTCATTAGAAAGCAACTTCAGTAGCTAACTAATTTCGATACTGTGACGGTGATTCGCACAGAGTCAATTGTGATCGAAAATCTGTGGGTCGATATCCGTTTGTCACTAACCAAAAGTCTGTCACTTGGAGCACCATGAACCAGGATTTAGCGCGATTGCTCATTTGTCAAACTAAAGTCATTTCACTTACTGAAGCACTCAAAGACGCTGTGGTGCTGATGATGGTTTTCACATTTAGTGACGCAAATGGTGATAATTCAATCATCGCTTCTGATATCAATTTGCTATCAAGTCTCTTATCCATCCCTGCAATCACCGCTACTCAATGCATACTTCAATCGTGCATCACTTTTTGAGAACCGGGTCCAATCTTGCGATTTCCCTCGCAATAGATGATTTCTAAAAAAGCTGCTGGATTGTTGACCTAGGCGGTAAACAGATCGCCGTTGACATATCATAATGAATTGCTTCGATGATTGAATTAAAGTTAGTTTTAGCATTGTTGCTCGATACTGTGCTGAATTGTATGTCGTTTCTAATTTTCGTCAGATGATTGATGTTTGTCTGATGTTTGGATGGATATAGTTCTGACTTGATCAAGACTGGCTTCATCGACCAAAACTATAGTAATTCCAAAACAGTGACAACTGCGATATATCACGGATTGTGCGATTTCAGTTTCAAAATGATTAATTTTGATTTATGAGGTACTTCGTTTTTCATTTAATTTTTGACTTATTATATTTTTTTTCGGTTTATTCTTGGTTGGAGATTCATTGAACGTTAGACCCCATGAATGTGGCTTCATCAGTCATTCCCAAAAGAGGTGTGCGCAGTGAATGAAGCAGACCGACGGACCAGCTATCGTTCTAGACCAACATATCTGAAAGACGGCGCAGCCCTCACTGCTTGAGAGGTTAAAACGGGTTTTTTACAGCAAGCCGTTTGCAGATTGTCAAAACAAAATATTTTGCTTCCGCGAGGTTGCAGGTTTTCAAAAGACGAGGTTGGGGAACAAACCGATTGCACTCCGCACGTGATCAGTTTCCTGCGGACAGCGTTCCTTTTCGCTATCTGTTAACCGCTGGGGCAACAAAACCGAATGATCGGTTGTTTAATCAAATGGCTGACTACATCCACTCGCGGGTCTGAGGGCTCGCTGCGAGATTAAGTGGGCCTATTGTAAGGCTTCAGATCTCAACGCTCAGTTCCTCGGTGCCTGTCACCGCTGACATCGAACCGCGCTGTGTTACTTATCGCAGGTCCCTATAGATGAGCCTTGGGTTCGGATCTACGGATTGTTTCCAATCTTGGATGTTTCCCCCAATTTATTATTTTGGACTCGCTACATCACAATGAAATCAACTGCAGACCGTGAACCCTTTTTTTTGCCAACGAAAAAAAGACTGCTTCAGTGCATCTATCTGCCTCTGCAGCATCCAAACTTTCAAGGAAAATCCACATCTAATACATCAAAGTGGATTGTTCTTGCCCATATTAGCGTCTATATCAGCATAAAAAGAAGCAGCTGTCAGATTCACTTGACGATGCTCCAATCCATTTGAAGCTGCAACAGCAAAAGCTGCCTATCCCTTTCGTACTTGACTACCACACGAAATTACTGACGATGATCAATACCGCTAAGAAGAGAATTCCCTTGAGCACCTATGCTGGTTTTAGCATATTCGGCAGACGCCGTTGAATTCACTGCAATCGCCCAACGAAATCCTGTTGAGTTTTCTCCTATAAATAGAAAATCCAACAGGATAGTATTTTTGCGAACAATGCTTATAGCGATGATTGACTTGAGTTTTCCCGAATTGCGTCCCGCAGATGTCGTCTAGCTGTAGAAATGGCAAACACAGCAGCAGCAGATTAACTCAGAGGAGACCAGGTTTTAATTATAAGTCCTGAGTCATTTGTTAACTAATTCTATAGATTTTCAAGGTCATCATTTTTTTTTAGACGAACTCTTTCAATGGAGAGAGATGTTCAGCAGCTGATGGAACACCAGTCTCAGCATCAACAACTTGAGTGGTATAGTCAGTCGAAGGGTGAGGTTTCTATGATATTAATTCATTATCTTTGACCCCAAAATTTCATTCACCATCAAAGAGCCGTCTAAATAATATTCATTTTCATTGTGGAGTTGAAGATATGCTATATCAAGACAGGTGTTGTCGCCTGCTTGTCATTGATAGCAGTCGACTGATTTCTGCTATTTCACCAGCAACATATGCAATAGCTGAAACGGCAGTTGGAATTGGTGGTTCAGCGGCAGCGAATGATAGATTTTCAAATGACATTTGGTTTGCAGTTCGCGCCAAGAACAAACAACGTCACACCTGTTATGACGAATCGACAGTCTTTAACAGTGTCCAGCAATGACACAGCCAACAAAGTAACCGAAGAGACATCAAGCAAGCTAATTGGTTTGCATGATATGATTGGGGTTGATGGCTTAGGCCGCACTTCGAAACACCTTCAACAGAGGATCAGATTATCGCTTCGTACAAAAACGTAAAAGTAAACGTCAGGAGACCGCCGTCATTGATGGAAATCAAATACATCAAAATCAGTGCACACTTCTCAACATTATTTTAGAAATAATCAGGAAACTTTTCTACAATTATCACTCTTCTGGCCGTTGTGCTGATTGATCTTCTACGACATTCAGTGACCTCATTTCTGCATGACTGAAAGTGCACTGTCATCTCATGACGATTCTGTCCGATAGACGAAGTTCGGTCAACAACTTCATTGTATGCTCGTTATTTAATCGAGCAAAATGAGATGCTTCAAGCAATTATCATTTGGTAAATATAATATAATTTCGCGAGTTCGTCTCATTTAATTTCCCTGTGGCATTTGCAGCGACCGACATTTCATGAGAAACCCTCACAATAAATTGAAGAAAGGAACATTTTCCAGCAGCATCAACGGCCTTTGGAGCACGAATCTCAACATTGCGAAGTCCAACAGTAGCGCTAGCGTCTAACCAGGCAACTTTGTTAAAATTTTGGTTCCTTGTTCTTTCCAGCAACACCGACTTTCTCAACCAACAGCAGCAGAGATGCAGTTGATTTGGGCTCAACCCCTCCAATAGTTTGACGTCCATAGCATGCAGGTTAAAGTCAATTACCAACGATTAACGCTAGAGCAGCACCGGCAACGACATACTCGCATAATTGCTTTCCTGCAATCTTACAATCCAATGTTCCATCCAAATAATCAATATCATCTTTGAAGCACAACGGTGCTGTTCATTAGAATCAGCTGCATTGACATTAAACTTGCTTAATTGAGAGGCTAACAATATCCTTCTACCAATCCACCATTAACTGCATTTCTGTAAAAATAGATGGCAGATTAACGACTGCGTGGCAAGTACCATCTCTCTGACTTGAAAAACAAATTAATTGGCAAAAGCAGGGAGCTCCAGCGCCAGCCTTTTCGGAACCACTTGAATGGTAATGGACAAGTTTCGCATTTAACATCAGCATTCAAGATACTTTCATTGACAAGAACGAAAAGCTCGTCTGAGAATTTTTGGGGGCATTTTGATCTGGGACAGCAAGACAACCATTGAGTGGATCCAATAATTTAGCCGGTACTGGTCGTGGTGGCAAACTCATTCAAGGCAAATGATGGTTTTGTTACAGGCGGAGCATCTCAATCATGTTCCGGTTGCATTTCGGATGGTATCTCCCAAAAGAGATTGTCGAAGTGCAACCCGAGATTTCAGTAACTGCATCCTCACCAAGTTGACTAGCCAGAACTTTTACTTTAGTAACTAACGTTGTGCTGAGGTATATGCATGTTTTAAGAAGGACTTCGTTGTTAGTCGTGTCTGATTCAGAAGCAGCACATCAAATAGCGGCGTCTTACTCTGCATTGCACCTTTTGCGGAGATTGCAAAGATTGACCATCTTCCGCGAAACAATACCAGCTTAAACATTATTGGAATCATATAGTATTGTCAAGTTGAATAATGCTTCACAGTTTCCCCACCGATTCTATAGCATTTGATTTGATGGAGCCGCATCGAATCAGCCAGTAACCATCGTATGAGAAAAAAACTTCACAGAGAGGTTAACAATGTCTAACCGGACGTCATCTTCGGCGATGGGCACTTCGGTTGATATCCGGTTGAACCAACGGACCAAAATGAGCCGCTTGGTGATTTAAGACAAGAGCCCCAATAGTAATGATAGCAGCATGGATTACTTTCACTAATTTTCGGCGGGCATCTTTCGTGATATCCGTGATAATCCATTTAGGTCAATTGATCATACTATATTAAGGTAACGAATTGCATAAAAAAAATAAATGTGGAACTGATTGGCAGGCCCTTCCTTAAGGCACTCCGGAATTGCAAAGACCATTGCTGAGCTGACAGGTCAAAGACATCCGCAGATCAAATGTTGAGAAGCGGGAGGCTCACAATTGAAATTGTACTTGAATTAACTCACCGGATAAGAACATCGGCGACGTTGTCTTTTGTAATAATATAACGAATTTGTGTCACCTTATTTGAAAAATGTTCTTCAATAAAATGATATGGAATATCAATATGCTTCGATCGATTATTAGTATATGAAAGAAAACAAAGGTTGAAAATTGAATGAAATTTTCAAAGAAAATTAATAAAGGCTGCTGCTGTTATATGTTTATCCAAAAGAGTTCGATAGAGAAATTTTCTTTTCATTTCTCAGCCAATACTACATATTGAATTTTAGTCGATAGAAACCCAACCGATTGTTGGTTTTGGGTAGACCTTGAGAGGATGTTGCTATTCCAGATTGTAAATAAGCTACATCCGCTTTGCTTTTGATTTCGTCAGTTGGTAAGACGCTGCCACTAGCAGTTGTTAGCTGAAAAGATGCTTCCGCAATAAACTTTGCGATTGTTTCATATCCTCCTTTCCCAAGAAGACTCAGATCAGCTTGATACAATTGTTGGTTATTATTATTATAATGAATGGACATGGTTCTTGTTTGACAATGATATTGATAAACTCGGTAAACACCAGACAAATGTAGTGTTGATGGGCTTGATATATCTGCCGGAGGTGATGAAGCCAAAGAAATATCATTTCTAACATCAGCGTCCGTGATTACAAATGAAGCAAAAATTCATCTGCAATTTGAACGATCTTTTACTTCAATGATCTTCGATTCAACATGATCCTTAAATCTGTGGGCCAAAGATGTTGTTAATTTTCTTTATTTTTATACTTAGAAGTTCATTTCGGTTGTCTCAATTAAATTGATGATTGGACTAGTTTATATTAATTTGAAAAAGCGGATTCCATGATGTGTTATCATTTATGGCAAAGCCGCTGATAAGTAATCTTTCGGCTTCTTCATTATGGTCTGTCAGTTTTCCACAATTTCGATATCTTCACCACAAATATCGATATGAAGCAACTTCAACTAGAAAACAAAAATGAATCCAACACACTTTGAGAGAAGTTATTCTGAGCAATAAAAGAATCTTTGCTTCTGTAGAACCAAATGATTGGGGCTTGCTTCAAATCATGTAAACCCTTTTTCCATTTCCAGACATTGTAGTTTGGTTTTGATCATCTGGCAGGAAGCTCAAGCACGACAGGATAGTTATTCGGTTCCTTCAAACACACCTCCCGAAATCTAGTTGGCATTAATGCAGATGCTATTGGCGGCTATTCAGAGCATTATTTCAAAGGTATCACGAAACCAAACTTGAATATACTCATCAACATAGATACCGCCAACTACTTCAAGAAATTCTTTCACTATTGATTTCTCCTTAATCTTTCAAAGACATTTGTTGTTCGTCTATCAATAAATCCCAAATTTTCTTTGACACATTTGTCTGCGACCAAAGATTGTGGATGTATCCAATAACGACTATCGTCTTCAATTGAATTTTCTTTGATTGCCATAGCCACTAGCATTTTTGAACTTTGTTGATTTCTTGAAACAAGAGAGGTGAATCTTCCAACCATATATTTTGATGTTCACACCAACAAATGAGTTTCTTCGTCAGCAAAAGAGCCTATTTTCTTCTGTCAAGGGCCATCATTAATTTTGGAATCACTTGAGAAATCCTTTGTTGGTTGCAAAATAACGTTTTCTTGAATTGGAGATGATTTCCATAATTTCAAGTGATCATCATTTTAAATATTAGAAAAAATTATTCTTTGAAGATAGATTTTACCTGTTCGGACGCATTCGTCAGGTGGTTACCTGATGTTCATAGTTGATCTGTGTTTCATCATAGAGTTGATTTCAAGAATAGATAGCTTGGCGAAAAGCAAACAAATTATTAATGATGATTCAACTAGTCGATTAGTAACAAGTTTATTTGACGCATCTTAATGAATGGAACCACTAATAGAATCTTAGTATTTATTTGAAGTTGCCATAAAAAGTAATACCAATATAATTGCTCAGCGGCTGAGGCAAGTGAATATCATTCTCATTATTAATAGTTTTGTCTGTTGAGTGCGACAGAAAAGTTTGAAACAACGAGCAGTAAGTTGATAAAGAAACAGTATAATTATTTATAAAGCGCTTTGGAGCTTCAAGATTATCAACCACAATTGAATTACTTGATGTGAGTGAATAAATATGACTCCCTCTTTCAATTCCATTTCTTTCGAACTTTCTGCTCTAGTGCTTCTCAAAAATAAAATTAATTTTTGTTTGACGAAATAAAATGAAGAAATGTACCATTGTTGTTCTTGGCTAAAATTTTTTGTCTAACATTATGATTAGAAACATTCATTGGAGCACTAAATGCTTGATGGACATTTACATCCCTTTTGCATTGCTTAAGAATTTTGAGTGTAAACCAAATCAGTTAGTTCTACACATTCTACGATACAATTCCAGTCATTCGTTCAAAATACGGAATTGACAATGCTTCTCGGTTTTAGAACTTCGCCAATGCAGGATTTGATAAAATGTTAAACTTGTCATAACTTTAACTTCTTCAATAATCATTCTTTATCTATTTGAATATAATGATTTCGGTGTTTACATTTACTTTAGATTTACCTTTAGTTGTGGTTATCAACTTTTGGTTCAAGCTATTCTATTCCTACTCATGATCCATATCAATTTTCAGTTAAAACCTTTCATCATTTCATTTTGAGCTTCATTAAACTGTTTTTCATCCTAATCGATTAAGACATTTCATGATGCTACAGCATAATATGCTTCTCTCTTCCTCGTCTTCCATATTCTATGATTGTTTTTCTGAATGTTGAAATTTTATTTTTTGGATTCAAGACAAGCCATTTTCTTTGCTTAACGTCTTATTTGTGATAAGAAGAGATACGTAGCTTAGTATTTTTATAAATAGTGATTTTAAGGATCGAGCGAAACATCATAAATATATCACTAGAGCCGTCATATAACTAAGTTATATATTGAATTCTACTAATTAATTAGTAATACTAATCTAGGTTATTATTCTCATATTTCACAACTCACCGGGTATCTTGATGCGATTCGCATCCCGAGAAAAATTGGCAGGGGAGTTGAAGCAGCAATGAGCGCTGTTTGTCAATCTGAAGTAATTTGATATTACGAACTAGGTAATGGAATTCAGCTATTCATCATGAAGGCTTCAGAACCTGCTCAGTGAAGGCAATTTTGATGAAGCTAAATGATTTAGAGAGTGCAGAAATCCATCAAATATTGAAAAAAATATCAAAGAACTCAAATAGAAAAGTAACAACCTTATAGTGTATTATCCAGGATTTACTTCTATCGCTCATTGTGCTGCTGATGGTTCAACGGGAAGAAACGGTATTGCGAAGGATCTACGAATCGATGGTTTAGCTGAGAACGCATCGGTTATTACCAACTGAATGGCATTTATGAATTACTAACTTCGTCATAGAGATAATCAAGCAAAAAACAGATGCAAAGTAAACAAGAACATCAGCATCTTTTAAATTGAAGAAGCACTTGAAGGAAGAAATTAGTATGTCACCAAAAGGTAAATCCTTCAACTGTGGAGCTTTTGGTCATTGCAGCACAACGTACAGAATCAGAATCAGCTGCTAATGCAGTAAAAGAATTTAATTAGTTGAGTGTCTTAAAGACTTCAAAGTTGTTGTTGAAAGTTCATCAAAATGAAATTTTAAGAAAATTAATTCAATTGATCTTGACTCTCAGGACTGCTTTCCTTTCTATTTAGGTACAACTACTGATGTTCGAATCAGTGCTGATCTATTGTCTGATCTAAAACAGCAATAAAGACAGCTAAAATGTGCGAATGGTGATGATATTTGTGCAGCAGAATAACTTGCGCTTGTGCATTCTCTTTAATTTTCTGAAGGGCAGTCTGTTCCTAGCCGGCCAACAAGTATCGCTAGTTGGATGAAGCTGGAGATTATCGGTAAAATGGTCCAACTGAAGGAATCAAACTCAGAACTGCCAGAGTTCGTCTGAATATTGCTGAGGGAAGAGGATCAATTAACAATGCTTTCTAGGGGAAGAACAGCTGCAACATGATTTCATTCTGAGCATCCCAGATGATTTGCTTGAAGGTCACAAAATCCTCTGCGAGTGTTCTTAGGATCATTTGAATACATTCAACAGAAATCAATGCACTCCTTGTAATATTTATAGTGCAGTGAGGAAGTGTGGTAGTTCTTCTTTGGTTCCGAACAGAACACAGCTTTCAGAATTACAGAGCGACAACATTTATATTATTAGGGACCATACCACGGCTGCATTGGGTGTCCACTTAATAGTGGTTATTGATTTACATTTACCGAACATCCATTTAATTTCTTCGATGGTGAAATCTTTTTGTTCAAAAAAGAAACAACTCGATCGTTACTGGATCACGCTTATTTTTTAGAATACTACTCAGTTTACGAAACAAACCACCTTGTTTAATTAAACCAAATGAAGAACGGAATATCAACATGTTTCAACTTCTCCGCGGCCAAAGCAGCTCCGTCTATCAAAATACTGCAACTCCTTTATCTTACTAAGATCAAAACCTAGATATTTAAACATTCAATCCGAATAAAAAATACACCAATTAATGATTGACTGGAATGCTCCAAATCAATAGTGGACTTAGCGGTTCCTTTTCATTTTTTTCCGCACAATAATATGAGAACAGCTGTGATAGCGAATCTTCAAGTTAGACGTATGCACAAACAAAAACCACTGCTAAAGCAGATGCTCCATTTGGTGTCAACAAATTTGGTTTCAATCATGATGTCACGTAAAAAACTTCAATGAATGACATCAATGTCACAATTCATCCATTCAACTCATCGAACAAAATTGCATTCATTCTATGCCAGATCCGAAACAATGAATGTTGAACATGTTAATTCAGATCCGAAAATCTAAATTAATTGTCCAAGTCAAAAGATTCAATAGCAGTTGAATTCATTGGAAAAGCCAACGGTGTTGATAATGATTCAACGACATCTTGGTGATCTTACTAATCATCGATTGCAGCTTATCTGTCGATCTCAGCCAACGAAATCATTGATAATTAGAAACCATCTAATGAGTGATCCTTAGAAGTATATGGCTTGTATAATTGATTTGTTACATCATTGCATCACGAATCAGATTCGGTTGGTGGTGCTTTTGTTGTTGGATGGTATATATGAAAATGAGCGTTGCAAAATATTTTAATGAGAAGTCAATCAATTCAATTCAGTACATAATTCAAGTATCGCAGTTGTTAGGATATATATTTCGTCAATACACCTGTCAATCATCATAGAACATTCTTCCAGTGGAATAGAATTAGTTTTGCATATCATATCAGAATTATAATGTGAAGCTGAAAAAATCAATTTTTGAGGAACGACGATGGAACGCCACCTACTATAACGGAGGCAATGACAGATTAATGAGGATTCAAAAAAAGGAATATTTTTCTTTCCTTAGACAAGATAGGAGTGTAATCGCATAAGTTTAACTACACTTACCATTAATACAAATGTAAGAATAGCATATTTTTCGGTGCAAATCGATCAAGTGCAGATGCAAAATAGAATAGTTTGAAGTGAGGGTGACAAAGTATCAATGGAAAAGTGGAATGGCTTCACGGCGAACAGAGAGCATGATGAAGATCCATAGACTTGAAAATGCAACAAATATATCTCTTGATTAAATCCTGGTGATCTAGAAGCTTGAAAGGTAGTTATTATGGTACATTTGGTAATTGGAATGAGTCGCGCAAAAGTTCCAAAGTAAAATGTTTCATGTAGATAGATTTTGTCGGTTACCACATCGTCAAAAATGGTAGACAAAATTGAGAGATTTAAAGAACTTGAATAGAATTATTTTATCATCTTAAGATGAGCTTGGAAGTAGATGTAGCAACTTACCTGGCAATAATGCATCGTTATTGTACTTAGTTTTAATATAGTTGAGTTGCATTTCGTTGTTCTAAACAGGTTCTGCAATAAAATGATATCTAATTCCAATATGCTGGCGTTGATCGTTCAGTGTATAGATGAAACCAACGTTTGATGGATGATTGAGTACCACCATATTGCTTAATATTGGCCACTGACTGTTTAAGCTCAGTAAATATGGTTTTAGAGATTAGACCGCATTCCATTTCCTCAGTTAATGGGACATTGTCAGCGTCAGTAAAAGGCAGCGCATCAATTGATTGCATTTATGAATAACTTCGAGAGAAGTTCCCATTTAGCAATGTTGGATGTCAATTTCACTTTCGGTTGGGAAATAATCATTTGCCCATGCACTGTCACTACACCAATGATAGTTAGAGGGATCCTTCCAGAGGTTAATTTTCTATTGTTACATATTCTTCTTAGTCAGGAAGTCTAAGATTGGTATGAATATGTTTAATACTATTACTATGGTAATGAATGGAGAAGTCCGATGGTTAATAAGCAATTTGTGAATCTCTGAAAACACCAGATTGATGAAGCTTTGATTCACCACTTAGCTCTCCTCTTAATAGTGATGTAACAAATGGGATATCCCATTCATCTGTACTTGCCATAAATTATAATGTACCAGCAATTTAATTTGTTTCACAATTATTACTGGAGTTACGCACTGAAGACTTAAACGAGATTCGAAATTTTTGGTTAAGACCGTTTTGAATCTTTTTAAACTCGGCACTTGAAAATCCTAACGAATCATGTCAAACAAATTGATTGAAGAGTTTTTTGTAATCATTAACTGTCTGCTCAATGCGAATCTCCTGGAACGAATGTCAAGATCCCATAGCTTTTATTGCAATATGGTCATGTGAAAGGTCATTGGCTTCTCAAATTCGATTCTCCTTTTAGAGCAATTGTCAAATGAACAACACAAATGGATACTGATCATCTTGATTTCCAAATCCAACATCAATCAATGAACGTGTGACAATCGTTTTGAGTAGGTCAAAGATGATTTGGGATTGCCTTAAACCAAAAGCGTGCGGATTACATCAAAGGGGCAACCCGTTGTAGATTTTCTTTCCTTTTTCTTTGATATGAACTATCCAGCTGAGAAATCAAGATAATCAGCTCAATCAAATTGCTTTATTGAAAACGGCGGTCGTCGCATTAAATTAGCTGACATTGCAGTTTGTGATGGTAGCTAATGAAGCGAATAATGTCAACCGATCCAATTTCGTTTCAGCAGGATATCCATCATTAATGCATTGGCGAAGGATTTTAAGGCATCCCTTCCCAACATTTTCTGCGTCCGTCCGGTCAGCGGCATTTGTTTCTCGTTTACCTATCCATGCCTATGTTTCTTCCGCATTGTGTCTGCTAGTAATGATCAAGGAACTAATCACTACACATTAGTGTTGTGACTTGAAAATATTTCGTTTACTTACCAACTATGTATGTTGTTTCTTGTGGGGCTGTCACCACTTCTGATTGTAATCTACGAGCAGATGGTATGAATATGCGATCACTATAAGAAATCTTTCATCCACTGACCGTCAACAAGTCCTCTATTGTACTTGGGTGCCCTTTTGTCGGTTAAATCATCACCGCTTAATTAATTGGAGATGTTCTTAATTGATTCATGATCTATCTGATCCTGTTGATAAGAAGGGTCTGTACGTTGTTTGGTGATCATTTCTGTTGAGCCGATTTTCATTACGGATGTATTAGAAATATTACATTGTTTTCATAGAAGGATTCAACTAATTAAACAAGATGAAAAAATTAGATTACGGACAAACTCGTTCAAGATATCATACGCAATAGCATCGGTAATAAAATCCGATTTCTCTTTGGATGTAGCAGTGGATGAACAACAAATATGATCGTTCTACGGCTCACTCATTTCAAGATGCCTTTCATTACTACATTTGTAGGTTGATGTCCACAGATGAGCTTTAGACTAAAGATGGGTGGCTGCTCGAGAAGTAGTTGACTCAATCGTGAAGCGGCTTGCTGTGTCAATTGTTTTTGTCAGTATTAAATTCTTTCGTTAACCTAGTTAAAGCTAATTCGCTGGTCACATTCAACTTGTTCGCAATGGATTAATTGTGTTTTCCGCAAAATGAATGCAGTTTCTGTTGATGAATTACAGGCCAGAATATTCACCTTTGGTGTGAGTCATAACCATTTTTTCTTTGCCTTTTGGTTAGAAAAATACCTTTTGAAGACCAGACTGGGCAACCTGTTTAAATTTGTTTCAGTTAGTAGGAACACCTTCCCTGAAGTCTAATAGTAACTATTGACTGAATCACATTGTTCCGTAAAATAGAATCTCCAAATAGAATGTTCCAAAAGTGAGTTGGAACAGAAGATGCAATCATTGGTTGAATCACATTCTGTTGCCACTGCTTGTTTCTAATCTCAGTTATTCAATTTCGAACCGGCAATTGACTTGCAATGACTTCATCGATGTAACGCTTTTCTTTGGAAATCATTTCAAACATGATTGCGTGGAATTCATTACTTTATTTCATGATGAAAAGTGTTGTGTTTCTTAATTTCAGGAGACAAGTGTATAATGAAGCCAATTCAAGTAATGATGCCCATGTAACTGGTCTCAACCTGAGAATATCACGCACAATAATCTTTAATTGATAACCTGTATTAGTGAAAGAATAGGCCCGCTACAATTTGGACTAACTAACTCCGCAAGAGCATTCTTCCCAGTAATAAGCTCAGCATTGAGCTGCGAAATTCGGATAGCTGAGTTTTGTCAAAACTGAAAAACTCGCTTCGCAATTTAATTATGGCAGGTTCTATGTCTCAATGAGGTGGAGTCATTTGGTCTTAAAATATTTATTTGATTCGAGGAGCATTGACCGTCGTTCAAGTGATTTTAGTGCAAATCACATTCAGTGTGAGAACCTTATCGGCTTGCATTGTTCTTGCGGTTTAACAACAACAATCCATTGATTGTCTCTTCTACCGCGATAACCTCCTCATCGTGGTGAATTCATGGTTTGGCTCCGACAATCTGAACATTGATGCTGTTCTCGGCCATATTGCCCAAACCTATCTATTTTCTTGGTGAGTTGGGAGTGAGCTTGGGATCGGATAGAGTCAAAGAACGAACATTTACACCATTCTCTCATATTCAACTATTTTCACTATTGACCACGTTAAGTAATATATTTCGATCAACATCATAAAGTAATAGTTCAACATCGTCTACAGCAACAATTGCTTTACCTAAATCAAGAAAAATGTTTTACATTAAAGCGATCAGCAATCCAACGAACATGTTTCAAATCTAATTTTGATGAGTTTTCAATATTCATAATTGGACTCTTCGAAATACTGAATTTGTTAAATCGTCTCATCCGATTGATATTCCCAAGGCTGTTTGCAATTTCTGCTGCGGTAACCAAATCAACCACACTTGAAACATTTAACTTTAAGAAACGTAATATCGCCTTTCTCAAAACTATTGATGAACTTGATTCAGTCCCATCAATTTGTAGCATTTCTTCTATTTTAGAACTGTAACCGTTTCTGAAGTTGTCATTGATCGAAATGGATTCAATTTAATAAGTGACATCGAATCAGTTGCCGGTCGTCAAATGATTCTAAGATATTTTTCAGCATCGTTCAGTTTTCACTGAAGAAAAGCAGCTTTAGCAGCCTCGTCTTTATATCTATTGGAATTGGCTAAAGCAATCTTAACTATAGATTTCAGGTTTTTGTCAATCTATTCATTAATTGCTGAGTAGAGCACGTTTCGCAGAAGCTTAACTTTGAGAAAATTTCCAAGACTCAGAAGCTGTTGATAGATCATAATGATTGATTGAACACTTTTTACTTCATTGGAATTTCAAACTAACATTGATTCTGAACCGGGTTTGATTAACTGATCAACAGGTCTCACAAATTTTCTTGAGAAGTTGGATTGGCTTCAGCAGCAGCAATGATTTAAGTCAAGACTATCCTATCGGTATCAACGAAGTTCACAATTCTCTCACTGCAGCAAGTGCTCAAGCACAGTTATTCGCCACCAGTCACAATCTTATAATCTCGTTTGATTGACTTGCGAGAATGAACCCATCACTGTCATTGTAGCCGATGTGACATTTAGCATGGAATTCAGTGGACGACACTTCACCTTAAACTTTCTAAATTATTTTCGTATATTATTGCTTGATATAGTTCTGTAAATATATACTGCTAAATGAATTGCCGATAATTTTTGATATCGTAGAACATTCGATAAGAAACACAACTAACTCGAAAGATAAACAACTGTCTGTGCAACTACATAGCAAGTAAATAGCAGAGCTTAAAAAATGGTTGTATCTTGAATGAAATCAAGAAACGATCTCAATAGGAACGCCTCCTTTGAGTATGACAGTTTCAGATTGCCGAAGCTATTCGTTCCCGAAATCGTAACAAATCATAGATGCATATCATCTAAACTAAGGTTTCTGATAATGTTGAACCGCACCAATATGATATCTTCAATAGAAGGTAGATACGGCACTACTGTGAAAAAGGATTAGATTTAATATAAAACGAAAGAAGCGGTGACTTTAAAAGTATAATATTTTCACTAAGAATAGATGAAGGTATGATAATAATAGTAATCGAGGGCTACATCAGTAGCGCATTTGTTTATATCATGCGAAGAAGCTGTTGCAACAATTGATGTTCTTCCTAACTTGAAATTCGACTGTTCGTCACACATCATTGAAATGCAAAATATTTGGAGGTAAATAAATCTCTGCTGCTTTCATAAAGTGGATTGTTTATTTAAATATTGTCAAATGAACGGAAAACTTCTGTCGCCATTATTAATCAATATGAAAATATCTGATCCCCTATAGCAATTCTTTTCTTTATTATCGACACAATTGATTGTTACCGATTCATTTTTAATATCACGGTACTAGTCAGCTAATTTGGGATAAATCGATTCCACGCTTTTTAGTAGGTACAAACGGCAATTTGGATGACTTACTTTTGCTATAATAGTCAATTCAACGATGTTTCACTGTTTTGTAAAATCATTATATTAGATTGTTCTCCTTCATCTATTAGATTCAAAATTACAAAATGCTAGTAACTGCGACACGAACAGAATTATCTGCCGTCAAGCATCTTCTGATCCAATTATTTCATTGATTGATCCTCAACAGCCATGAGCTTCACATCATTCACATCTACCACCGCTACCATCGTGGATTTCAAAACTGCACTCAATGAACAAAACTTGAACTGGTATCTATTTCATAACATTATGAGGTGTTACCTAAAGTTATTGCATTTCTTTTTTGTTTCTAAATATGCTGATAAATGAGACTATTCTATTCTAACGTTGTCACTTTAGCTATTATAAAAGAAAGGCATTCTATTTTACAGCTGAACATTGTTGAAATTCCGGTAAACTACTCTAACTATAATTATCTGGGATCTCGTAAAGCCAGCTGATCATGTGTAAAACTGTCTCATTGACACAAATGGGTCCCTGATTCGGCATATATTTCATTTTACATCTTTTACAAACTCTTTCATTCAACTTTATCGCTGTTTGTGATAAAGGCGGCGGTGGTTACTCCGTATTCTGGCCAAATGATGTGATAACTATGGAAATGACTCTGATATAAATAGATCAATACATGGAAGACAGCAAAGAGCTCTCTGCTAAGTAATAATGTTCGATTACTTATTAATACAGCTTAAATGTACAAGTTCAAATTTCATCAAGAAGTCGCCACATTGACGTCATCTTGTAAACTGTTAACTTGCGGAATTACAGTCGGTGACAGCTCTTATTTGAAAGAATGGCCCAATATAAAAATATTTGAATGATCCATATTCTCATTTGTTGAGCTTTCTGGAATGCGTATAACTTGATCCAGTATTGCATTCTTCATACTCAATGGACTAGCCCGTTGCATGAAAATCGTAAAGCAAAACTCAAAAGGCACAAAACAGGTAATGTGCCGGGTGAAGAACTAAATTTCTGCCCCCAAGTGATGCAGCAAAAAACATAGCAGACCTAACAGTTTTTGCTATTAAAAGAGATGTAACAGCATTCGATCAATATTTTCAATGACCTCTAGGATCGTGAAATGTGGTCTGATCATCAGTGTCATATTTGGTTTGCTAAAGGTGCCTTTACTTCCTTCTGTTATTGCTTCTAATAGTTCGAAAGATCACTCTTGATCAAGTTTGGTAAGAAATCAAGTGTATCTTTTATTTTGCGCTAACGATGAAATCAAAAATAAAATGTTGGTAATGACCCCCCATTCTTTTGATCGTTGCTTTTAGGAAGTCCCATCGCGTCATCAATGTCATCTGTAACTTTTCTGGCAAGTAAGTCATCATCAACGGAATTCAACGTTAGACAACTATGTTAAAGTCGAATCAAGGTTGGGCCGTCAGTAGGAGTACGTTCTGCGCGCTTTCGCAAGATCTTGTGTATTGCTTTGACTCAATAGCATGAAGATGCTTAATTTTATGCAATCGCCCTTTCAATGTTTAGACGGTGTCCCTTGTTGCCGAAGTTGCAGTCGATCGATCAAAGCTATCCCGTTAAACAATTGGCCCAATTTAAAGTCATAACTTATTATCTAATTGGCGGTTAATGACGCTGATAAAGGCGGCGATCAACGGAATTAATGTTAATTATTGGGAATTCATACCTGAGCCATATTGATCAATAAACCAATGGCCATGTTCGCCGATGAATCTTTTTTCATCAATTGCTCCTTTCAATAGTTCAGGACCATTTGATTCAGGTTTAAGCATTGAATACCTTTTTCTCTTCTAGCAGTATGACTGTTGCTGATGGTCGTGGAACTAATAAATAATGATTTTTTTTAGTATTAAATTCAATTCCGTGGTTATAAGAGGATAAGCATTACCATTTTCCTGTCCTTGGTGAGCAATCTCAGGCGAATGAGTGAATGGATCCACTTTGACTTTGAATGGTCGAAATGCTGTGTTTCATCAATCAAGGAATCCATTGATTTGTGGAAGCGGCCTTGGCAACTTTGAATTTTCATGTTGGTAGCTCGGTTGAATGTTTTTAACTATTTCAGCAAGACCTGATAAGATGAGCAGATCGTGATTCCATCTCTTCTTGCTGACGTGACGATTCCTACCTCATTTGATGAGCTTCGTGGATCCGATGATCATGATCGGCGAATTGGTATCAGGCTCACCCAGTTGTGAGCAAAGAAGCTAGTCATGAATGTTGACTCAACTATTGAGTTAAAAGCAACTCAATTAGTGGTTTGTTTAACAGTGATCACAGAAATGCAATGAAATTTTTCCTATGGTGCTGTAGCTCAGGACATGCAACTATGATGGATTGACGGTTTACTCAGCAGAAAATTGGTTATCATAATAAGAGCAGTTCACTGCTCAGGTCGACAGTGGATTCACAGACAAAGAAAGATACGGTTCTGTACAAGTAGTTGAATCGTTAGAGAAGCCGCTTGCAGATTAAAAGCTTTCAAGTGCTATTGAACTAGCTAATTCCAATCGATAGTCTTAATGTATTGTTGGCAATAATCATGTTCGCAAAGCATTGCTTGTGAAGTTCCTTAAAACATTTGAATTTTCAATTGATGAATTAAAGCAACGTAATGTGCCACTGAAGTGATTCAGATAAATGTTCAGACTGATCATTTGATTAAAGAAGCCCCTTCGAACACCACATGGACACATTCGTTTTTAGCATTCTTGTTCAGTCATCAAAGGATTATCATGCAAATTGCTAGATATAGTATGTTAGACTGTTATTGTGCGATGAAATCAACTGTCAAATTGGAAGCTCCCAACAGTGATTTGCATCACTGAAATCACTCGCTAATCCCATCATCATTTTTTTGTGAGTTGATTGTTTCAATTAAGATGTTTTCTTTCTTGAAAAATAAATCAAGCGCAGCGACTTGATTGATGTAATCTGTTTGGATTCAGAATTGTGTCAAGATGCCTGCGATGAATTGATTATCTGTTTGATGAAGCAAGAAGATTTGCTTCGTAACCTGAGCGGGCCTCTCAAATAATAATGACTCATCAATTAGTAATTCAGATGCATCTGACTTGAACATGTGAATGTTACCAGCAATAATACCAATTCCATGTTTTGAGTCAATGAACCGGTCATCCTCAACAGTAGGCCGCACTGAATTAGTTGAGATATACTCCCCAAACACTACATTTTTGAGTGGCAGCATTTGCTTTGTTCTGCTTTGTTCAGAATGTGAAATGAAGCTTTACATTCGACTAATGATTTGTTAATACCACTATAGGTGCAACCATTGTTGGCTAAGATATTGATTCGATTAAAGAAGCAGTCACCGTTGGTTTTGTGAATTGCAAGCAACAAATATTTTGTGTTGAAAAGCTAATGACAGTGCACTCAACAACCTCAATTTGTCATTCTCCCACACTCAACAACAGCCACACCAATTTGAGCAACCGATAGTTCGTTTCCTTGGCTGTGTACGCAATGTAATCAGGTTTGGCCAATGTGACAAGACCAATGATCATCTTTCGCGTGATTGGAGTCATTTCGAAATTTAGTAGTTTTAAACAAGAATCACTAGCCGTTATTCCTACTGTGCAAGCATCGTCACCGTTCACACCTTTGCATAATGTGTTTGCTTCGTAGGAATGAGGCTTCAATTCCACACTGATATCAAAGTGAGCTACAGCATTAGAGTCAATGCCGTATTACTTCATGGCAGTCATCATTCATTAGATTGACTTCGGGAAAACCATAGCTTTTTCTGTTTCTAACGACAGTTTCGAAACCGTGACACAACATTGGATTGATTGAATCGTTTGATTTGTTTGAGACCTTTCTGTTATTCTGCAATTTCTGCTTCAACTGCCAGACCCCCAACTTATGAAACATCCAGTATTTGTCAATTTGGTATTTGCATTGCTAAAGCCATTTCGGAGTGATATTGATTTGGATAGATTTGTTGGCAGTCTCTTTCTTCTCACATCATTTCATTTTCGGATGATGCCGATCACTCATAGGAATCGCTAATTCGTTCGGCCGTATTGAGATCATTGCCAGCTGAACAATCGATTTTGAGATTGATTTCAACATCCTTTGTATCGATTTTCAACAGCACTCGAAACCCGCAGAATATCTTTATGCTGCTGAATGAAAGCTGAGACAGTTGTAATTTCAAATTTCAACGGTTTGCGATTGAATTCAAACGTTTGCGGCTTTAATGGAACTGTAAGCAACAACACTTTTTTAATAACGGGTAAGATCACAAAGTGTTGATTCATCTTAATCGCATCTCATTACCATCGGATCTAACCGAATATCTCACTACTTTGCATTAAAATGGGGCCTTGAGTGATGACTCAAGAATGGGAGCAGATTATCTTGGAGTTCCACAGGCATTGGTACAAGCGATTAGTTCGATTTTCGTAAACTGCATCAGTATTAATGCAACTGGTCTTTTTCGTTTGATCCAAGCTTCAAAAAGCCGCTGTGCCTTACCAGCTTCAAACGTTTCAATTGTCTTTGATGGAATTGACCGATAGTTGTTTTTACCGACTTTGTGGCCAACATCGAAATTGCGAGCAGATTTCACCATTGTATAATGAAAAAAAAGGAAATCTGTTGATATTTGAAAGATTTTGTACGACAAAACTATAAGTTGCAGTTCCTCAACATATTCTAGTATACAATTCATTTAAATCGTGTCTCCAATAATTTATTTCTGTGACAGTTCATTCGTGAACAAAAACAACGATCCTAAAATCAAACAATTATCAGCGATTTTCATACCACAAAACATAAGGTAATCATATGGATGGGTCACCCTGCGTTGTAAACAAAAAAGCATCTTGAGTTGGAAACATATCTTTGAACCTGGGTAATCCAGATGATTGATAAAGTTCAACCATCAAACTAGAAACCATCTTAATTAGATGACATTAACTAAAATCGGAGAATGGTCAAGAATTAAAATTGAATATATTTACCTATAGATAGATGTGGTGTAAGTGAGTAACCGGAATAATTATATGAGGCAATCGCTAAAGAGTATACCGAACAATGAGATGGTCAAAGAAGCAGGTTAAAATCGTAATGAACCTAATGTTAGATCAAGATTTGTTAACTATATTAGATGTTCAAATCTTGAGATGCACCAGATGTAAAAGAATATCTTGCAATAAACTGGGCTGTTGGAATGGAGGTGCGAGATAGTTATAAAGCAAAAGGATCGAAGGTAGTCAAATTGATTCATTACGCAACCGGATCTCATCCGAACTATTTCAAGGTGATATAATTTAACACTGATCAATATTTTGTCTCCTAGCAGCAATCTGATGTGGATCACAAATTAATAGTACAACTTAGACAAACAATGAGGGATAACAAAGAAAGTTAGACAGACCAAGGAAAAAGAACAACATATAGAAGCCCCTGAATAATGTGGTGTAAAGTTGAAATAGCGATGGTGTGAATGTGCTAAAACCCCTTGGAATTATTGAAGATATTGAGCAACAACTAAACGAATCGGACTCAGGAGAAATTATACTTATTGATGCAGCTACGCAAATCTCATTGATTCGGTTTGTCGCTGGTTATCCATAGTTATTTAAATTTAAATGAAGATAACTCAATCCAAAATGGAATCTAGATGCGCTAAAAACTTTGTAGCAATGAAAATTGTTCTCACTTATTGCAAACCAAAAGAGATCAGCTGAAAAGAAAGATGTTTATTCCCAATAGACCCAGGGGAATCAGACGAAGAGAAATAGCCAAAATACTTCAGATAATAAATATTATCCATGAAACAACTGCTTTTTAACCGATTAAGCTACAATTTTTTCAAAACGATCTCTTCAAGTGTATCGCAATAAGTACGTTGTTGCTTGTGCTCCCACCACTGAATTATCATTTATGAAAATTGGTAGTGTCCAGTGCCGCAGTTCACAACTTCAATAGTTGCCAAATAAGTCGCAACGCGGTATTTTAGCATGGACCAATGGTCTTTCCAGTTTCTGTTCAAGCTCCTGCCATGCTTATGGATCAAAACAAGATGTTTGAAATAATAAACGTGCTCCTATTGTTAGAAAACAGCCCCACTCATTGGCTTCACCACAGTCTTGAATGATCTTAAACCAAAGCATAACGATGGTCGAATGATGATATATCAAGGTTTGAGGCAGAACTCTAGTTGATCAATTTCGATAAAAGCCGCAGATAACTCCGTTGCTGCAGATCCAAGAGATCATGGTAATAAAGCAATGACCATCTCTTATCAACAACTTTGCAAAAAATCATATGGGATATATCCAAGATTCCTCGAATGAATCAATATTGGGCGGACAAAAAGTTGATAGAAGATTTCATTAAATCAATTAATTAGGACATCCAAATGATCTTTCAACTGCGGATAGTAGAAGAGATGAACGCACCTGCAGACAAACGATTTGAAAGAGGTGCTGACTCAGCACTCCCTGATGCTATTGATCAGACATATTATTGATCATTTGCTTGTGCAACAGTTTTATGGCCAATTCCGATGGATATGATATTTGATTTCCAACGTGGCCTCTAAAAAGACATTAAGTTTGTCCATCAAATTGCCATCTTTTTCGTGCTCTGAGACTGTTCTAATATGATTGTCAAACCATAAACTGGTTCATTGATTATTTTTATAATAATGTACAATTAGATCATACTGATTTCGGAAGATTTGATAAATAGGAATAGCCATGAGGTAATGAATATCCAGTGAAAAGTTCTTCGCAAATAGCAGTTGAAGGTATCCATGATGAGCCAAATAACGCAATGACGAAGGCAAGTCAACGTGGCTTCTTCACCATGTGTTACAGTAGCTTGCCTTGATGGACGTCAAACAGTCAGGCACGTCTTGAGTTGCGATCTACCGAGACAGATTTTCTTTTCATCAACGGAAATAATAAAAGGTTTTTGGTTCTCCCAGAACATAGTAAGTGAACCAGACAACCCTGCAGCGGTTAGCAAGCTCCTTGGAGAAGATCATTTGCTTTGTCATTTTCTCTTGATCCACCCACTCATAATCGAATCAGCCTTATTCAAACTAAGCATTATTTCACCAGTGACCGAACTTCCAAAGAGCAAAATAAACTTGGTTATAATCGCACGAAAGACAATGTCGCTGACTTCGTCAGAAATGTTGTTGATACAATTCGAGTTCACGGTCTCGCTAAGCAATTTAATTAATTTCTATTTTTTCCGTTAGTCTTGACTGTCAATTACAACTTGTGAAGAACAGTGAAAAATTTAAATTTAATCCCCCGTCAATGTGGTGCTTTCTGATCATTTCTCACATTAAACCCTGCTACCAAATTCGCAATAGCTTCTACTTTTAAATCTTCCACATTCCATGACACACGTGAATGAGATCATTATCAAAGCTGTATCAATAATTATCTTCATAATTTAGTAATTTTCACTTCTTGATAATTAATCATTACATGTTCGGCAGATCTATTTCTATGAGACGGAATCATAGTTTAACATCTTCACTTTTCGAGTTTTGCCAGACTGTTTCTCGGTAGAACATTGGCATTTTTTCTATTTTTGTTCTATATCGTCCTAGTTTTGCATTTCATCTTTTGGCAATTCTAGTAGAAATCACCGTATTTCGTTTTTTAAAGTTCCCATAAAAGTATAGGGTTTGTTCACTGTTGTTGATATTCCAAAGCTGGATTCCATAATTCACACATTTACTTTCCATATTCACGAAATTGTGTATGTTTCAACCAAATTGACTATTCGAGACATATACAGGCAGAATATCGTTCAAAATTTCAAATAGCATGTAGCTTTATCGAAAGACTTCAAATATCAATATGAGATTACAACCCTAATGACATAAGTTATTTGGAGAAATATAATATTCAAAGACCAATTGAAATTACTTTCCGTATCAAAACTCCAGTTTCAAGACTTCTATTTATCATTCCATTTGCCGCTCTTCCTCAGTTAAAGAAAAAGGATGTAGCAAAGTTTCTTAGCTCCAACTATTTTGCGGCCAACCAATTCGATGTTGGAGACCGAATCAGATATTATCAATTGTTGAGATCCCACAGTCATATCAGTATTACTGGAAGAATGATTGGTATCAATTTCGTCAAAGTCAATAACTCAGAAAAATGACTTTCAGGGACCAATTAATGGGTCAGCCGATGGAAAATGCTCCAACTATAGTGCTGTTGGCTTATCAGGGCGAGAATAGCAGTAAACCAACTGAAACTTTTTTATATGAAATGATTCACTTCATTGAGAGTCCTGATAGCTTCAAAACAGTATTTGCAAGTAGTTCGACATCAGATTGTGGGAAAGCGAATTGGGTTGAAAATTAGTCTGCAGATCTTGGTTACGTTGATTCGGGAGCAGCAACTCTCGTTGTGAACAACGTTTAAGTATTAATTGATCAAAATGATGCAAAAATTTCAATTAAAGCTGTTATTGGTGATGATATATGTGCAACAGAAGAATCTACTACTGACAGGGATTTAGGCTTATCAGGTCTCAAGGAAATTACGGACTCCTCGAAGGACTTCATTAGATTTTTCATGTTGAATGAAAATGGTGACTCTGCTCACCTTGAGGCTGACAACCTATCGATTCAGAAACCTGGGAAGATTATTGCGGTGGATGAAGAAATCAATAAAATTAAGTGCTTTAATGGTTGGTTACTTTGAAAAGGATCGGTTCTTAACTTTGAAAGAGATTTGCTTCAAAATGACAATGATCAAGATGTTTGTTATTACCATTAAGTGAAGTCCATAACGAAAAGTGAATGCACTTCCAGCAGTATTAATAGCGCGTTCAAGATGAGAAACATGATGTTTGGTTTTAAATACAAGGCAACAGTAATAATTACAGAACTGAACGGAATTTATTACTGGGCAGTTCATTTCCGCTAATGTATTCGGCCTAGTGAATCATGGATAAAAGAAAATCAATTCGGATTGCAAGTTAATCACTATAGCTGGTCCTTGGTTCATGTTTAAATGAACAGCAATGCATCGATTAAATGTTTCGCTACAAATTTTCAAAGAATATACAATGTAACAAACAGATCACATTGTTTAATCAAAACAGATAAAGCATCGAATTCAAATAACATTGAAAATTTCTGCATGAAGAAGAGAAAACATCCATTTAGTCCGTGCGGCTCATGCGTGGTTTTACAAACCATGAACGAGTAACATCAGCCGAGCACGGCCGAATGGAAATCAAAGAAATATTCGTTGACTCTAGTTTTCGAATAAAATTGTCCGCACCTTGGATTAGCAGACTTAACAATTTTGCACAACGATATTGCAATCAATAACTATTGCGACTTTCAAAAGAAAATGGATTGAAAAACCATAGAAATGACAATGTCGATGCTCGATTTCGTGTCCGAATGGCTGCATCCAATCATCGTGTCAGAAAATTGATTTTGAGGAAAGAAATCAATCATCCATTCTTTGGTTTATTTCAGCAAGCAAAACTGCATTTTGAATCAAGATCATCAAGTTACTCTCTAATGAAAGTCATTTGGACGAACGAATCAGATTTATCGGCCTAAATCAAATAGATAAATTGTAGCTGCAATTATTAACCGATCAAGCAACTGAAATAATAATAAATCTACCAGTCCAACAACCTTATATTTTTGGGTTGAAGCTAATCAGTCAAAATCGGCAGACAAAAGACTTAAGAAGAAAAATGATATTGAGATGACTGACCATTAATCAACGCAACTAGTAGTTCCACTACCTACCACGTCAATTGAGAAATCAAATTCAATTGGTATTTCTAGTGATGATGAAATGAGCAACAAACGAGTCATAAATTGTCTTTTTGAATCAACGTAAAGGAATTGGTAGCTGCCTGACAAGGGTTCTGAAATTGATAGCAAATGCTTGAAGAAACACAGAGCAGCTATGAAGTTCTACAAACTACCAAGTACCATCTCGAGAAAACAATATATAGCTTAACAGAATAAAGGAGTCCAATGGTGAGTAAAACAGTCGTTTCATTCTGTAAAAACAATCACGAACTGTTAAACAGAATAGAATTCAACCAAAAGAATTGTAGACCGGTAAAATTGCACATATTCAACCAGGATCCAAAATTTCAATAGGTTCACTTGTTGAAGAAGTAACGCATTTGATGGAATCAGATTCGACATATATCATTCCAGGTATTTTCAACGATTTATAAGTCTATTAGAATTTGAGATTGTATTTTGAGTATACAGTTAATAAATAATTGATTAATATGTTTCAATATTATCCTTCGTTGAATCGTCTTTGCAGTAACTTATTGCATAGTTTATAGCTTCTGATGATTATGAAATCTATCTAGAAAATTTGGTGGCGATCAGCTCGTTTTATGTCACAAATAAATAGTTAATGTGAAAGAAAGAACTTAGATCCAATGTAAGACTGAATTTGTTAAATTATAAAGCAATTTTAGATCATGAAGGAATTAGTCTTAGGAGAATAGAACACCATGTGATCATAAGAAGTCGTAGCTGCATATCGCTCACGAAGAGTGGATAACGCTCACGCCTGAAAAAACAATACACTTCTGCAGAACTTGAATATCATTAGGAAGAACTAGTCAAAGTGAATCATTTATAATTTCACTTTTAGCAGAAAACAGTTTAGGTTTCGAAGGAAACAATAGTTGAAGTATTGATCAATTAAAGCACTATCGAACTAAGGATTGAAGAAGTGGCATTAATACGTGTAGATGCAATCCGCTTAATGGGATTGCATTGAAGAATTTTTTGTGAAATGAAAGAATTGAGCGTCCTTGAATTTGTGCTTTTCATCGCCGTCTGAGATTGCCATTTTCGCTGCGGCGCTTTATGACGATAGTGCAATCTCCCAACGTCGTTCAAAAATAAAGTGCAATTTATCTTGCGGTCCCTGCTTGTGGGATCAATTGATTCAGGTGGTTGGCCGTTCGTAGATGTTCTTTCAGCAACACCAGCAGATCTCTGTGAATGGTGATGACAACTATATCAGCTGCAACTAGTGGCTTCCAAACAAACAAATTGTTCATCAATGTTTGACGCAAACAGCAACTGTCTATTAGACCGAAACATCCACTGTGCCGCGGTGAAGACAAGAGTGGGCGTCGCATGTGCTGCCGCTGCATCAAAGTCAACGTAGATTTATCAAATCGGTTTGCATTTGTTGTACATTACAGTGATAGTGGGACTCAAGTTGAGGCGCAACCCATATATCCATACGGTACTTCTCACTTTCCTCTAGAAGATTGGAAGGCATTAAGTAACTTCATCAATGTATAATTCCTTTTTTGGTCCGCATCAAAATGGAAACGGCTCCGCAACTATTTCCCAATAAATCAGCCGGAGCAGCACTAGGTGTGTTCCATACATCAACGGAGAAGCACCACTGTTGCTTATCAACACATGGCCATGTTCTAACTACGCTGGATCAGATGAAGCGCAAAGGAAGTTGGTGGGTTGGAATCAGAGATTATGGTGATATAAATCATGATTTTGAGAGATGCTCACCCAAATCATTTTTGATCACGATAGGTGCACAATGAAATTAATGCTGCTTCAATTAAAGTGTGAAGATATTCTATAAATAAAAAGTCAAAATGGGAACCGTTTCATTTATAGTCCACACCAGGATAAAGAAATGGGAAGCGATTCCAACGTGAAAAGAGACTTCAAGACGGCCGGCTAAGAGGCGATCACTTTGCAGGTATTCAGCTGGCCACAAGCATTGGAGATCAAATTTGTTGTGAAATCACTTTGTTGATTGAAATTTCTTCATGAAATGAGGGTTTGCACGCTCATCAATCATCCATGTCAGCTTCGCTACAACAGTCGGAGGACAATAAAAAGTAATACCAAAGCTACTCAATAGATAGGATCATCTTCGGTTGAGTTACTGAAATAGAAGGACTCCGAATACGCCGCGGAAATTGAAAATCTAAACTCAGTTGGAAGCTAAATATCCGTTATTTGTAGAACGGCGGAGCCACGAGACCCAAAACTGCATCACCAGTCGCTTTGCCAACCTGTTGTCTGCAGCTGGGTTTTCCAACCATGGGACTTTAGAAGAATTTCAGCTTGGCTGTTAAAATAAAGAAGTTGAACTGCTAAAGGACACTGTACCCACAGGTTGACTGCTTCGGCTTTTTCTTGTAATAGCATTTTTCTATCCACAGTCTCAATGTATAGCTAAATCAAATTTTTTATAAGAGGTGCTGGAAGCCATCTTTTAATGCGCTGCGACTCAATAGAATCGTTATAGTGCGAACGTTTCTGACATCAGCAATAGTGTTACTGACTGCAGCAATCTGACCAGAATAAAAAGTTAAGCCGCCAATTCGATCATCGCAAACGCAGATATAATAGGAAGCACCACAATGGAAGGAATACTGTTTGAAATTGATTATTTGCTTTATTGTTACTTCTATCGACTATGAAATTAGCGTCCGAACAACTTTGGATGCATCCCGATCAGTTACGGTACCAGAACAAGCAGCCGGAACTGGTGCTGCTTCAGTCGCTGACTCAGTGCACACAACTTAATAGACAAATGCCACCTTTTGTTAAAAAAATAGCTTGTTTCTCTTTTCTTCGTTTCGGTTGTTTAACTGTTTGTTATCAACAGGAACTATCGATTTGGAGCTGAGCCAGAATCAATCTCCTGATCGCCAATAGGACTCGGAACCTCTTTTGCGTTTGTGAAAGAAACACGGTGCAGGTCAGTGACTTAAAGAAATGCCTTTTTATTGTAGGTGGCCACCAAAACAAAAGCAGCTTACAAACGGCGTGACATTGATCAGCGGTGGAAACCTTGAACTTCTTGCAATTGATACGAGAAAAAACTTTTGAAATACAGTTCATTGAAGGATATGCTTAGAACTAGTCGAATGAGTCGTGGGGACAGTAGCAGCCGTTGGAATGCCGATTGTTCGGTAAAGCTTGTGGACGTTAAGCAATTCCCTCAGACGGTTCAACATATTGGATAGCTCCTCTTCAAAATGCAGCAGCCGCTAATCCGCCAGCAATTAACCTGCGACATATTGAATCCGAATCAAGTTAATGCAGTCTAAATCAACTTTATCAGTCGGAGTAACTGTATCTTTGATAAAAACTAAAACCCAAGAAGTTAACTCACATTGTTTGAGATTGAAGAATAAAGGCTAAATATCATAGCCTGCGAGATCTACCAGTTTTGGTGATGCTTGCCACTGATCATTCGCAATTTAGCTCGTGACATGCTGAAACCGACGCGTAATAGTTTACTTTGGCTCACTAGATAATAAGAAAAAATAGAACAAACGAAATCGCCATGCTCTCTGATATGGAGGTGCATCAGGTCTTCTAGCTTCCCTGAATCATTCCAGTGACAGCAGCTGCGGACCAAATTTTGGCTTCCGGGAGTCTTGGATCACATGACCCCCCGATTATTGATTTTCCATTGGCATTACTCCCCATTTAAGTAAAGTGGATTATTATTGTCTTAATTCCTGTTGACATAAGCACAGATAATGAAGCAATATATATGTCCAATCATCGGTGTATTGATACAGGTGCTGGTGGCCGAAGGGCAACTGGCTTGGTCTTTCTAGGTCGAGTACCAATAAAAATATCAATGAACGACTTGCGAATTGAATGATAATCACCATGGGCTGATTGGTAGATACTGAGCACAAAGTCAATTCTCGCCGTTTGATCCTGTTTAAGAAACAACACGATGATCATCGGCATATGTTTGTATCGAGTTTGAAGTTACAGGTTACGTTCCAGGATCATCGAAAGGGGTTGATTATGTGGCTGCTGCAGTTAAACATTGAAGTCGGATTGCAGTTTCATTCATAGGTTTAACTAGAAATTGGAGTGGGAGAGCTTGTGTCTGCGAGATTGCGGTTAGAATTTAATCAATTAGGTAAGGTGAAGGTTGTACATTGTGCATCATACAAAAATGCCCCTGGTTTTTAGCAGCTCTTAAATCGGATGCCAGCCCCGCGTCGTCAAATAAAATTGATTGGGATTCTTTGGTTCGTGATTCTTTGTAGTTCAATGGTGTTCTCAGCTGGAAGAGAACAGAATTAATACTCTATGAAATGGACTTTGCCAGATCTGCTTTTCCACTGTCAACACGGATTTCCCATCAACTAAAGGCACTGTCTTGTAAGACGATTCACAAAGAAATGAGAAATAATATAATTTGATTTCCTTCAAATCAACTATTTCGCATTGTTTTTTATGCATTCCAATAATCAAACTTGGAACAACTTGTACTGCGACAATTACACCATTGCTGATTTAAACCAATGATATTCTTGTCAATTCATTTTGCTACAGATACGGCCGTAGCTCAACTGTTTTTAGTTAAGGTGATTGTATCATCGCATTTGCTTGTGATCAATATATTCTGAATCTGATATGAGTGCTCCTGAGAGTCAATCCATTTAATACAATTCTTTTTCTCTTTTGAGTCAATGTTTTATTATTTTTACATTGGAACTTCATTTAATTTGAGCTATCCCAATGCAACAGTAACCCTTTACGATCTGAATTGAAATGCTGTTCCCTTGTTCACACTACCAATATTTCATGCGATTTCAAATATGCCAGAGATTATATTCTTTCAAAAGTAGTTCAAATCGTTCAATAAAGCTGCTCTATATTATTTGTATAGGTCTGAAGGATGTTTCATTTTCTCAAAAATAGGTTTGATAGTTACGCAAGGTTATGTATTAAAAATACATTAAGAGAAGGATGATTCAAATAAATTATATAATATATCAAAGTAATTACATTCTGATTAACGTAATTTTCAATGTACGATATGAACATTTAACCATTTTCTAATCTTTTCTTTTCCCAATGTTTGATTCTCTTCGCAATTTTGTTCTTGGTCGCAATGATTTTAAGGAAATGAATATGCCACTGAACTTACCCATTTTTGATAAATTTGGGACTGGCGGAGAATGCCCCCGGATTACAGCTTGCTTTACTAAGAGAATCCGCTATCACGTTAATAAAGGTGAGTTAATCGAAATAGCGTTAATTGCGGCCACTGATGTCAATCAAATTTCGAGAATACATGATGGAATGCTTCAAGGCTCAATGAAAGCTGTCTTAGAATGAAAATTAATTAGAAAATATAGGGACGAGAGTTCTCTTGAAATGTTCTTTAACATCAATCAAGAATTTCTGAAACTTCAAAACTTTGAAAAAATGGGCGTCTTAAAATCTTACAAAATTCATTCATTATTGAATTAAATCAAATCAATTCAAAAAGCAAACGTGCAACAATTCAGCTTGTTATCTTTGATTTCGTTCTATTAATCTGTACGATGCGGTTTTTTAAGATAAAGAACAAAGTTGGTGTATTTTCAAACAGAATCCGTGGTTTATCGTGCAACGCACTGAATTGAACCGATCGGATGTCATCTATATCAATTAATGACATGATGATACACATCGAAATGTTCAAGGGACAGGAGTCGTTAACTGACTGATGGGAATCCATTTATCTGAGACATGATTTGGATGAAGCAAAGTTTACTTTTGCTGCAATTAGGCGCTTCATCAGTGGTGGTTTCGCTCATTGCAGCCGAAGCAGAATAACACCAATGAAATTTTAAGCCTATCAAATATTCAATCAAGTGTGCCGATGATTACAATCCTGTCATTTAAGATGGAAGAAAATCAGTTTGAGTGATAACTATTATGATCATATCGTCAATCCATGCTTAATAGGATCATGATTCAGGTTTAACAGCTCCGGTTTAACAACGCAGGTTGTGATCACTTTTGAATCAATTATTGATCAAAAAATCGCAACCTGATTAACCAATGGTGTGGTTGGTGACCATGTTTTAACCACAGAACCAACTGTTAAAGTTGGTTGCTCAAATCAGTGTGATATGAAGCTGACTCCAAAAGCACGAGAGAACGTCATTAGTGTTGTCAACTTAGCTGAAAATCGTTATGATTCTGACACTGATAGGAACAACCTATTAGCCGAGAAGTAAGGGGAGGGTATTTGTAATTGTTAGAAAATCAATCAAATGTGGTTGATAAGTGTCAAGAAGGTTGAAAATAATGGGAATCACAGCTCTAAGTAAATTTTTTCTCGAAGTTCAGAAGATCGACCTTCGTTGTTCAATCAATCAAGAGAATACCTGCGGGAAAATTTAATACGTAAAGCAAAAATGAGTAGCTCACTGAAACTTCACTACCTTCAGCAAAAAAGCATTTATTCATATCGATATGAACACTGTATCAGCGAAATGTGAATAGGGGTTTTTAGTTTTCACTGAGACACAGCTTTGATAACTCCACAACTAAACAAAATCATTTATTGGTGAGAATATCCTTGAAGATATAGAATACCCAACTCCTGGAGGGTAGGCATTATTTAAAACTAAACATACATCTGATTTAACTATTTGTCTAATTTTTACCTTCAAGTCAAAAGCGTCTGCATTATTAATTAAATCGGTTTTGATATTTTAAAAATTGCTAAGGATGACTGACAAATCCACTCCCTTCATCAAAACAGACAAAGAGTTCACTACCAACTTTTCTAGCAAAAGTTGCAAGGAAACTTGAGAAATCCATCAACTCACTCAATTTTATATGAACTTTGAAAACAGGATATTGAAACTTCAAAGCAATTAATCGGATTGAAAATGAAACAAATGATGATTAACATGATTGTTTGAACTGAATATTTGATTTCTGCATTTAGATAGTGAATGGTTTTGATCAAGTATATTCAAATCCACATTAATTAAGATCCTGCATTGGAAATGCCCAGTCCAGCCAAAAGCAAAGCTGAAGTCGTTGCTCATATTGGTGTTCACTTCATTCCTTCCATTCTCACTGTCGGACATAACATTTTTAAAAAGACATCGGTTGAATTATTTAGGTTCCAACTGATCAAAGGATGTTAAACACTTGTCAGAAAAAACCTGAAACAAAAGTTTCACCACAACCTTTTTTTCAAACAACAATTCAACTTTATTTATTTAATCAAATTAATAACAACTAATTCAAAACATTGAAATTTGAAGATCAATAACAGATAATCAACTAACATTTAAACATCCGATCATTCTTTCTTTGATCAAGAACTGTGGGACACAAGCTACAAATATATTAATAATCAAAACGATATTGAGTTAAGTCAACCATTGAACAATCAAATGACTAATGCCTCCCTTAGAACACCAACTCAATAATCAGATTGCACTACTGTTCCTATTGGCGAGGATATCTCCAACGAAGGTGTTACAACTTTGCCAGTCGAATTAACATCAACCAATAATTTGGTCCCTAACAAACCATATGCAGTGGACAACGGATCTGCGGCGAAACTCAGACCAACCATCTGATATTGACAATCAATTAGTGATGAAACTCAGACCGACTAAGAAAATTACCAAACAGTCCCGGAAATCCTACTTACAATGGAAAGGATACATATTCATAAGTATCATTGTGTCTACTGGTGAGAATTACAACAGCTTGATTCTATCGAAATCATCAGCGATCGTTGAAGGACTTGAAGAACAACCAATAGAATTTTCCAAAGAAAAAGTTAAACTTGTTGAAATAGCATTGCAAAGCTCAACTGTTCCCTTTGTTGATGAAGAATGGCCTTCATTGACTTTAAAGTGAAATTGTACCGTTCAATCAATTGACCCAAATCATTTAACAAGCCCACAAAAATCAATAAATGCAATTGGTCTTGGCTGACCAACTAAATTTACCGGGAGAAAAGGATGATAATTTTTTAGTTGTAGGATCATCAGTTAAAGACAAACAATGCGACGAAAAATTGTTATTCAATGAGATACCTACACAAATTGTGATTAGCAGCTTAAGATTGGAGTGGTTGTTAAATTATTTCTTCTTTAGCGGGGCGACAGCTCCATTGATGCTTACACTTCAAGTACGAAATTCGATACGTTAAGAGTCATGGTTTTATTAGCCGCAATTCAGAACATCAGTATCCGCCAATTCAATGCCATGACAGCTCTCTGTAACTGACGAATTTTCAATCCAGTCCTCTTAATTGAGATGCCGGAACGCTAACATCAAAATAGATTTCTCAAATTGAAGTGGAGATTCTAATTGGTTGAACCAAACCCCATAGAATTGCTTCGAAAAAATGAAAGCAGTTCTCAAACCGAATAATAACTGCTCCCAAAGTTTTTAGGAATGGTCATTGCTCCACCATTCAAGCTGATTTGTATCAATTTATGTCGTTAAAATTTTAATTTTGGCGAAATTAGAAGAAGCCGTTGATAGAGAAAATGCATTATTAATGGACATCGGTGTTGCCAATGACATGGCATCTCAAAAATTATTTCTTGAATCTGTTATTGAGCGAACAAATAATGGATACTTCATTTCTTCAACCGACTTTATTGACCAAACTGAATAGCATATCCAAGTTCAAAAATCTGTAGAATTGACCACACCTGTGGCTAATAATTCAACATTTGATAGTGAATCAACAAGTCTTGATCAGAATGGTTATTCAAGTTTAAGATCAAAATTTTGTGCATTGCTGTCCATGGCTACTTCTGCTGGTTATGAAATGTCGTTTGCAGCATCAGTTCAAGATAAACATTTAGTTACTGCATCAAAGCATGATTATGATGGTGCTTTTGGGTCATCGCAGAAATTAAATAATATGATGTGAAAACATCACTACAAATAGCTTCTGTTAGTGACACTGGTTGGGAAAGTGATGAAATCACACGGATTAGTCAAAGAAATGATGTGACCATCAAAGCCGCTACGTTGAGGTCAATGGTCTTCGAAAGGTAATTCGTTTCTGAGTTGTCATCAACTGAAGTCGAACCAGTTTGCTTGACTCAATGAATGATAACTGGGTTATATTTTCAAGGAACATTTAACAAATGGAAATCACCAATCGTCTGCACTAATATATATGGATGTGATTCTTTTTTTTCGACATTATTGCTGATTGATATACTCACCTTCGATTCAACCCTATTTGCACTAGTCTAGATTTTATTAGTGAACATTTTGCAATAAGGAAATAATGCTTATTTTCTTTAATAGAAAAGTCAATTGGCGGACTCTCCTACGGAGACGGTTGAAACGACAACAATTCAAACTATTCTTAAATAATCGAATTTTTTCAACTTATTTTTGCCATACGACAAACGAAATTGGAATTGGTGAACAACTGTGAAAGAACCAAAATCAGTTGGTTTGCAGCCTATCACTTTGCAGTTCATCTCGTTCATGTCATTTTCCATGTTAGCTTCAACAACAACTCATGCCACCGTTGTATTTTAAAAACTAAAGCAATGATATATTTATTATCATTTTAAGATCTGTACATTCCTTAGTTTACCACGATTAGTGGAAGATACTCTATTACTTCATTTACTTTTGACCTTTTTTACTTAAAGATATTTTTGGTTCTGTTTAACATGTCCATTAATATTGTTTTAGGATAGCATTAATGAATCTGTTCGTTGGATTTAATTAGTCGCATTTTGGGATGGCTTCTGATGGTATACTTATTCTACTGTTTACACTCTAGATAGATTCTTTGTTTCAACTATCCATTTAATTGTGATATTTTCAAAAATCTAACTTCAATTCTCGCTGAGTTGTTTTTAGGATTCTCAAAAGGTAGATAAAATAAATCTATTCTACAAACCGCCTTCAAACGAATTATCTATTAAATCAGGTTGAACAATTAAATATTGAACTATTTTGGATTATAGGGTTTCAAATATAAACCAGATAGAGCTAATTAAGTAATTGCGTTTTCCGCATTTGGCGCTCGGTATTTCAAGCCGCTCTGCTCCACTGACGCTCCGCAATCTAACCCCCTTCTTTGCAAAAAGGGCTGCCGATCTCTTTTTTTTTCCTGTTTGTTTGATAGATCTTGACTTTGATTTGATATCTTAGATTGCCTACAAAGGCAAAAAGGCCAAATTGAGAATTGTCGGTGGTAAGAATTGGAAAAGCTGATTTGAAGTCGTTGAAATCAAATTTTGGGTTTGGACATCTAATCAGAGAGGTGGAGAGGTTGGGACCTTAGTTTAAAGCTCCATGGATTATTTTGCTAGTATTGGGGAAGATGTTATTTCAGACAAGGTTAAGATTGAGTCGGAATCTATGAGCGCTACCATTATTACTGGCGGATATGCTCCTGCTGTACTGCAAGGGGTGCAATGCAATCGGTTGAATGACCTTCATGGAATACTAACCTTGGAGTGGGTCGACCGTATCATTGGTGTCGAAGCAGCTGCCACAATGAGTAGCTAATTATCCTTTGGATAGTGGAGAAAAATATTATTTCATAAATCAATTTGTACAACTCATTAACCTGCTCCATTGAGAATACATTGAATTTCTAGGCCGCTCATCACGCTTTGGTACGAATCCAAAGAGTATGCGCGGATTTAGGCGCTTCCTATCAAATATGTTCTTTTGCCGATTGATTCAGCGACTAGACTAGTCAATCAGATCAGAATACCAGTCTTGGTGTCGCTTTCCTTGAACTCAGAGAAGTTGGTGCTGCGAACGATGTGATGTCGCTAAATTAGAAATGGATCGTGCTGCTATGCGTAACGCAAAATTGGTCACAGTTTCAGTTGCTCCAAGATAATGAGGCGGGCTCGCAATCAGAAATAATTGAGTCTATTAAAATTGTGATTGGCGGCTCGGACAGCTTTGGAATCATTCACGAATATGTTTTCCCCAGCTGCTGTTGCGGAAATTACATCAACGGGGCTTCACTCTGTACGTGGTTCAGACGAAGTTGTTGCAAATGATATATCCAAAATTAATTCGACTTTCGCTGCTTGCTGGTCAAAATGATCTTCGTGCGAGAATAGAAATGAAACCAAAACCCCGAATAAGTCCTCTACCAGCCAGGCCAACGCGGCTTTTGTTCAGCCTTTGTTTGATGGTCTTGGGCCGCTACAGGTTCACTGTTGATAAGACTAGTTATGTTTCACCATTGTTGGCCAATAGTAAAAATAAGGTGTGGGTGATTCATTTGCAACCCATTAGTTAGGTGCCACCTGATTGAGTAATATAATGGTTGTACCAAGCGATTTGTGGATAAAACGGATTATAGTCTCAAATTTTGATCGGGTTCGCATCCAAGGAAGTCAATGATTTCTCTCATACTGAAGCAATCAGAGTGGAAGTATTCGTTCTTTACGAGTCTGAATAGGATGGCGTTGCCAAATGTTGACAAAGAACAATCAACAGTATGCCCATCTTTATGTTATTTGAGCCAAAAGACGCTGTTTCCTTGAGGAAAGATGATGTGGGGTGTGCTCTCCTTTGAGTGAGTTTGATTCTCACTAATAACGTTGCTCGTTTGGCTTCTCCTTTTCAATGGGTTGATAATTAAGGAGAACCGCGACCATGGTGAAAAATTTGGAATCCGTTAATTCATCCACAACATTCACAGAAATCAGGCCAACCAAGTCAGGTGACGCAAGTGTGCTCTGGGCTCCTTGCTGGCTACGACATGAGTAGCAAGTTCTTCTGATCATTCAGCTTCGTAAGCGATGTGTCGTTGTTAGATTCTATTGCTGGCATGATGAGTCGAAACTTCAGTTTAAAAATCTTAATTTGCTGCTGGTAATCCGCCAATTAGATTGGACGTTCAAGTTACATCTACTGCAGTAGGTGCAATAGGTAAAAGCGGTGCACCGCATCAACTCCGAAATGTAACACAGCGGGAAATGTTTTAAGCGATATATGAAAAAAGAACATCAATGGGAATGCCGAATAAATTAGTGTCGGCTAAGATGATGCACTGGCACATGCTGTCACTGACAATGAGTTGAATGAAAGAACTGAATATCAACCATCATCATACGAATGAAGCTCCGAATGTGGGCTCTGGTGCCTATCATATTATTGACCAATTTGTTGAATCGAACAAAGTTTCTCAGCTTCATGAAGATAACTTTGGAAAAGTAGAGAACTGGTTAGCAAGTGATTTACAAGACACGAAACGAAACTGATGTTTGTCGTCTATTTGGGCGCTGAACTAATGCCGCGAAAACAAATAATCCAATTGCCGCCGCCCCAAATCGTAATGATCCTTGCTGTTTAGATGCTCGGCAATGCTGGAGTCCGATAGTAATCGATTGCTTGATCTTGTCTCTGGAGCAGCAAATCTTGATTGTCATTGTATGTTTTCATTCAGGTCTGCAATAGTTGCTTGTTATGCAATAGCCAGAGTTGTTGCTCAAACTTTCTTTCCATTTAAAGGGAAAGAAGATACCAAAGTAATTTAGTCCTGTGATGAGTTCAGATAATGTTAGCGTCTTACATGGTGTTGCAGCATCAAGGATGTTCGACGAATATCCAATGGATTTGACAAATTGATTTTGAAAGAGAGATCTTCGAAATGCTTTACATGATACATTGTTTTTCATAAGTTGATGATATGTATCTTTTGCACAATTGGATTCATCAAAAATTTTGGTACCCACTGAAAAAATTGGGTCCTTGTTAGTTAAAATAAAGTTATAGGGCGTCCAACCGTTTTGGTTTCACAAATGGGCTGGGGAACCTGATATGCATTATCACCGACTGAGCAACAGCGGAGCAGCCTCGATTTGTAGATAGATGATCCTATGGCTGCCTGATCATGTCATTCAACAGCCAAGCCGGGCAATCGCTAACTGTGTTCTTTGTTCATAATAATAAATTTCATATCATGTGTGGGTGCATTTCCACGTTTGATGTCGTACTTAGCAACGAAAGTATATCGGAATTGACGATGACCTAATGAACACCGATTGTTCAACCGAAAATTATTGATGTCTCTCTTTTGACGGCTACACCAATGATGATTAACCAATTCAAAGTGCTATTTCAAAGATATGACTTTTGGTTACACTATGATAAGTCACTACCTTGCACACCAATTGTTGAAAAGCTGCCTTTTGACGCAAAATGATTAATGTATGAAGTTGGTTTTACTGGTAGTCAATAAGTGGATATCCTGGTACACCATGCAGAAGCAATGCAAGATGTGCTCATTATTGCAAGGGTATTTGAACTTTGATCAATCAACTACTCATTACAAGGGTGCTCATCAGCCTAGTCAGTTAAAGTAACTTACTGTGTGTGGGGTGCAAATAGTGGTTATCAAAAAGGAGTTGGGGGATGTATGTCCCTCATTAGACAGAAGCCAGCTACTTGAACTCAAAGCAAACAGTCCGTATTGACAATGGACATTTCATTAGCTGAGCAGTTTTTCCTCACAAAAGCATCGAAAGAGGCTTTGCTTTACTACTGATCTTCAATTTGTTTGGTTGAATTGTTGAAAATGCAATCGTCGACTGTCATAAAAACTCCACTAATGTCTTAGCATGGCTTCGTACTAATGAGTGAAACAAAAAGAAAAGGTATATCACGTAT